TTTCCAGTAGTATGCTGATTCTTCCAATCCTCCACTATCACCACTTGGCTCCCTTCTTCCTTCTCCTTACATTTGTGGCCCGGGATTGTGTACTCGCTCTTCCCGTTGGCAATTATTCTTCTACATCACTTTATCCTCGAGAAGCAATCGGTCCAGCGCCAGACGAACTCATTGTTGGTTATCGATACGTTTCCAAAGTGATTATAACACCGCCGAATCTCCATGCAAAATATTCCAAACTCATCTCTTGATAATATTTCACAAGGCGAAGGCTGATGAATACAACAAAGCAGGAACACTGACAGCTATCCCCGCCACCACAAAATCAATTGGTGAAGGGGCATATCTTTCCCCTCGTCTGGGTGAATTCCCTGGGAAGCTAGACGAGTGAGTGAAGTTTTCCTGCGTTTACAAATGTTTTCAAGTTCTGAGTGGTGACATCGCTAACTCATGGTCCTCTCAGAACCTATTGGGAGGTACGGGTCATATCCATAAAATCCTACTACGCAATATCCAAAGTATTCGGCAGTGCATTATAATCGGGAAAAAATCCAAGATTCTTAACGTACAGACTCCAGAGGTTCATGTTCCGAGTTCTTAGCATTTCCATCTACCCCCCTGACCTTGTGTGTGCCCCAATAGCTTTTCGTCGACGACCCAGCAGCAATCAGCGCACAGCCCGTAAAACTCCTTCTTTACGCCCACAAAAAAGGCTTTGAGATTGGGAAGACGCTACTCTTTTCACGGCATTTCGTGTTTCAAGGCACTTTACAGATGCTCATCCCGCCTATGTTCCTCGTAAAGTCGCCAAGTAACCCCAGTAGGCCAGCTGGTGCAAATAGCCTCGGGCTTCGCATTCATTGTACTCCATTAGGTGTGTCACACATCTGCCTCTAGTTGGCTGGTTTAAATACATACATAGTCTGATTTTGTCGATTGTTTTACAGGTGGACTAGGAAAGAATAGGCCAGCTGCCGACTGGTATAGTTGGAAAATCCATAATTGGCCTGCAAATATTACCAAGACGTAAATACCTTGCGGTTAAATTATCGGATGTACTACATAAGATTGGATACGAATGCTCCTCTGATCTTACAGCAACAACTTGACCCTGGTAGACCAGCAATGTACTAAGCCTCGCAGAAATTTCGAGCAACTTGTCAACCCAAAACTATTCTTTGGAAATGTTGAAACTGTCGGGTCGGAGCACACCTTCAACGTTCAAACGTTTTTAATTTGAATTTGAAGGCTCGAGTTCGAAGGTTCGAGCTTCAAGAACGTTCAAGCAAATCAGATTAATCAATATAGTAAGCAATTTCACGCTAGATATACGTATAGGATAGAGGTATAGCTCGACGCGGAACCGCTGCGAGTATTAACTTACATACTGCGGGTTAAGCAAGCCGATGACTGATCACCTCTGTAAGAGTTCCTGGACAGGTTTAGCGACTGGGACACACGGTAGACTCCTAAACCACAGGACGATACGGCCAAGCACGTAGATAAGTGTCTTTGTCTTTGCCGTGCGGTTTCTGCTGCAGGAATTCCTCCTTCAACTCCTCGTTCCGTCGAAGAGCATCTTCGTACCCCTCATGCGAGACCCACCCGCCTTCTTGAACACCAATACGATCTTGTATCATCACCTGCAAATCCTCTCCCACCTGCCACTCCTGGGCGTCCTCCGCATGGGCTTCTCGTTCGGATTGTGAAAAGGCGATTGGACATGGAAAGTGACGATGACCCAAGTAGTCCCAGTTATCCACGATGCGGATGAGAGTGTTTTGGAGAGGGACATACCCTCCAGACCATGTGCGACCGGAGAATTGGACTGGGGTTATGATGAGGTCTCGGGTGCTGAAAGACAGGGCGCGGTGATAATCTGGATTAAGAGACGCAGTGATTGTGTGGTATAGCTCGTGGCGATTGGCAAGTTCAGCGTCTGCTAAAGCTGCTGCTGCTGGTGCTTGCTGATGAAAAGCTTCTTCTTCTTCTTCTTCGTCTGAACTGGGCGGAATCTGATCTGGAAGGGGTAAAAATCGAGGCGCACGAGCCTGTAAATAAAGAGGTAGAACACAGGCATGCTGCCAGTCTATAATCGCAGTAATCTTAATATTCCCTTCCGCTAAATCATCCTGCGAGAGAAATATATTTCCAAAATGCAGATCCGTGTGCCAAAGGGTTGGGCGGAGGAGAATCGAATCTTGGGTAGGAATAATGTATGGAAGTACAGCGTCATAGCGATTTAGAAGGGAAATATGGGCTTGTTGGTCTTGGATGTGCGTTGGAGGTTCGAAGAGAGTCGGATGAGGATTAGAGGTGGCGTAGTTGAGGATCCATTTACGTTCTCGACTAGATATAGCCTTGAGATAAGAAAATGGATCTGTCCAAGGGCCACGATCAAGATCCATGTCTCGTCGCTCTTCGTCCCAAAAAGGTAGAGAGACGTTGGGACCAACGACGAAACGATCGTGGACAACACCAGAGTCAACGTCACCTCGGTAAAAGACACTACCATATGCCTTGAAAAAAGGTTTTATCATACGCTTTTCGATATTCACCACCTCTCGGACAGTGTCGTCCTTCTGGTCTGAAGACATTTGATCCCAGACACGACCCAGTTCGACACCGGAAGCTTTTTCCATGACAATGTACTCTGATTGAACAGGAGTACTAGAAGCGTCTGCACACCATGCCAACACTCGAGGAACAGGCACCCCAATTGAACGAGCATAATCCATCGTAGCAACCTCGCTTGCAGTGACGAGTTTTCCTGGGCCAGCTATAACTGTTGGAATCCGTGCAATGAGTTCCTGACCATTGTCAAGAGTGAGAACAAAAACTTTATTGTAGGACCCTTCCGCGAGCTTTTCCATCTTGAGCACGGAATTTCCTCCTGCAGCATGCACTACGACTTTCTTCAAAGCATCGACGTTGAAGGAGCGATAACGAAGGGATAGCTGCCGGTTTTCATCGTGAATCCAACGCCCAGAGGTATACGCGTAGAAATTTTCAGGCTCGAAACGCCTGGTCGCTGTCGTACTCATGAGCCTATTGCGTCTAGCGAGGAGATTTCCAAGTTTCCAGAGAGTGTGGACAACCATAGCAAGCAGGTGAGATGTGGCATTTCGATACAACGTTTGAGAGCTGTCTATGGGTGAAGTAGGTTCAGTAATGCACGTGACAGTTAATTGCACATCGATTATCCCTCATAAGATACGTTTATGTAGCTCTCGCTCGACTACTCTTCGTATCGACTCTGACATACTCGCTATCATCGAACGACCCTCCATGTCCACCTTGTCCTCCCCTTCGTCCTTGGCCTCCTCCAAACGTTCGACTTGCTCTACGTGCACTGGGACTGGCGTTTGCGCTGAGACTGGGACTGGGAGTGGTAAGATTACTACCACCACCACCGAATCCAAACATCCCGCCCAACCCGGTACCAATATCCCTGCCGAGATTGCCCAACCCAGTTCCAATTCCTCCAAGACCGCTGCCACCGTTAGAAGTAGTACTGTGACTAGTTGAACTCGGCTCAGGTTTACCGTGGGTTCCGGGAGCAGGCGAACTCGTTCGAGAGTGTGGATATTGGTGATCCGCGCTTGATGCTGATGATGCCTGTATCCCAACACCACCTTTCCTTGTCCCAACACCCACATACGCCTCACCCAAAATCTGCAACGCCGCAGCCCTCAACACCGCCTTTTCCCTCCCAACACTACTACTACTCGGATCCTCCGCCTCCAACAACAATATTCTATCACAAACCTCCCTCAACACCGAATCAATCTCTAATTTAGCGCCCTTGAATAATGCTTGTAGCCCTTTTTCAGCAGCTTGTTCTTCGAGCTTTTGACGTTCTTCGGGAGAGAGATTGCCGGCTTTTTCGGCGGCCTGGATTTGGTCGAAGACAGATTTGAGTTCGAGGGCAGAGCGGAGGGTTGATACTCTGTGCATAGGAGTTGAGTGAATTATAGGAAAAAGATATACATCGACGACGTACGTTTCACTAAAAACATGATATTTCCCTTGAACGTTGTGTAGCCACCCGCCGACGCCGAGGAAAGTTTGGTTTGTGGCGAGGAATTGTTTGGCTTTGGAGACGTATACGAATCCGATTGCTTGTAAGAGTTCGGGTCCGTAGGATTCGTGTGAGAGTTCTCTGAAATAAAAGGGTTGAACAGATAATTAAGACATATATAAAGATGGAACAAACTCTGCTTCGAGTTCACATATTGTTCTCCAACTTCTGGTGACATCTACATCGTTTATACCAGTTGCGCTTTCTGTGAATATCCCGAGCTTGCGTTCGAGGTTTGCAACCAGTTTGTCCACTCGTTCTGCACGTGCGGCTGCTCTCTATCCACAAAATATTAGAATGAAAATAACCAACAAACAAATCAACAAACCTCAGCAGCCTTCTTCCGATTCTTTTCCTCCTTTTTCGCTTTCTCTTCCTCACTAAGCACCAATCTCTCTCCTTTCCCATCCCGTATCCTCGCCGCCCCATCACTTCCATCCTTACCTTCCTCCGCCTCCTCCTCCGCCTCCTGCAACGCCGCCTTCATATCCTTCGCCAGACTGATATGCCCAATGACCCCCACAAACCTCTCCCCCCCGAATATCGCTGAGAAGACTTCTTCCGGATCGACGAACCCGCCCTCCGGAGCGCTTTCCCTAGCTCCGAATTCGTTGTATTTCGCGCGGAGGGCGGGGTCGGAGAGGGTTTGGTACGCGATCGCGATGGATTTGAATCGGTCCGCGGCGAGTGGGTCGGAGGGGTTTTTGTCCGGGTGGTGTTTTATTGCCAGGCGTCCTATGAAATATATATATATAGGCTATGTGACATGATATTTGAGATGATTTGAAGGACGTACGATAAGCTTTTTTGATTTCATCCGTTGTAGCTGTGACTGGTACACCCAACGTATCATAATACACAGTCTCTAAAGGTCGTTCTTGTGTTCCGATTCTTCTCCCGCCTTTCCGAGCACCACCAGACGTTGAAAAATGCGGATTCGAGTTGCGATTCGTCGTTGATGATGATGATGAAGCAGCTGCATTGCCAGCAACTGCGGGATGATCAGGGTTCCCAAATAAATCCTTCGGGTAATGACTCGAAATCTGTGCAGCATAAAACATATGTTCATTAACCTTCTCGCATTTCCAGCATCGGATCCGGAGTAAAGTGCCTTGTTGTGGTATGGGATTCATTGGTATGGCAAAGTCAACGTGAGAGTAACATGATGAGCAGGTGGTAATTATTTGTGGAATTACGGGTCGGGAAGGGAGGATGGAGGAGGAAGACATAGTTTGGCGGCGGGGAGTGGTGGTGGTAAGGAAGACAAATGCGGAAGGTGCTTACATGATGTCTGATGGCCGTGAGGTGTACCGGCGGGCCGAGTTTTTTGTTGTACTCAAACCAAAGTCCCCATATACCCTCCGAGACTCTAGTATGTGGGAAAAAAAGAGCAATCATTCAGATATACACTACTTACAGCATTTTTATGCCATGATATTGTGGTTATCACAGTATAATACACTGTGGGGAATTGCATATTGTGAACTACGGTTGAGTTATGTAAATCTGAGCAAAGGAATCTTTTTGTTGATGTTTTTTTAGTCATTGATATTTTGAAATTACATCATATACTCAACCACATCACAGTGACTCACAAAAGTGACAGTCCCAATATGGGGGAAAAGTAGCTGAAAGAGGAAGGTGAAGTACTGAAGCCACCATAGGACAACACCTTCACAATCATTTCATTTCGGACATGTCACACCTTGAAACCAATTTAGCGCTACCCTACAAGGCACTCTATGTACACGAATCCTACAACATAAATACGGACAAATAATGATACTCCTCACATCCTATAAAATTTAGCCCTAACAACCGTCAACCAAACTGTTCTTTGGAAATGTCTTGTTGTATCCAGAGATGCTCGAGTCCCATGTGGTCAGATTAGGATTGTTATATGCCACTTTGTTGGCCTCGATATAGTCCTTGGTTGGATATGCCTCTGGGTCACATCCAATGTTAACTGCATCAGAAGGCTGGTAAACTCTTATCCAGTCAACCTATGTAGTACCAGATGTGAATGGAGTAGGTATTCTGTGAAAAAGGACAACTTACACGCATGACGGCGGGGAACACGAGGTTGTCAAAATCCAAGAAACTGAAAGAACTTGACATTCCGAGATTTGCAATCAAGGCCTTCATTGAACATCCGTCATTAGCAAAGATACGAAACTTGATGTATGGTGTCCTGGGTACTTACCATTGGCTCTTGGGAAATCGGTCTTGCAGAGATGTTTGTAATGGGATCGGCACCGACTCCAGCTGCCTCCAAAGTCCACGCTTTCTTGCCATCGGATATCCAAGTGATGTACTGCAGAAAGAGATGCAGTGAAGACCATGAGAGGATCGCGGGGACTTACAGCATTATCAGCTTCATATCCTGGTCTGTACTCAATGCCGTATATAGAAAAACAGCCTTCGTTCTGCTGGTAGCATATTTGATCTAGGTAGTGATGTTCAGTCGGTTCCTCGACATTCATGGAAAAAGTATAACAAACACACTCGTCTGAGTGACATAGGAAGTTGCTTGCTGTAACGGGCCTCCGATATACGAGTTCTGAATTGTGATGCTTGGGTCATCGATAATCAACCCATTGCTATTGTTTTGAAATTCATATCCGTTGTTGAAAGGCTTAGATATCGACAATGAATTGCTTGACCATCGTTCATTGAAAGTCACTCACTGCCCACTGTCCACTTTGCGACACACAACCAGTCGTTCCATCCACCTGCCCTTCAAACAGATCAATCTCTGGTGCAGACCGTCCAAAAAAGGACCCATCGTCATGTTTCGGACCAGGGTGTTCTTCCCCAGGGCACGTACACCTGGAAAGACGTTGTCCTGGTAGACCTGAAATGCTAGCATTGTTGTATGGGCCTTGCTCATTCGCAGCGGCCGGTTTCCCATCGATGACCTGACCCGGAACAGCCCCGACGTCGCATGTATCATAACTGTATGGCCACTATGAAGCGAACGATATTAAAACCCTTCACATAAGTGAGGTGTATACAATGATCCCACCATTCCTTGCAAGGTAGCTCCATAGCCTACACGACCCAGGTTCCCTAAAGTCCATATTGAGGGCCACAGCCCCGAGACATTGTTCATCCCAGGTAAAGAAACACTCGCTTGAACAATCGCGCCAGTGAAACAGAATTTGTTCCATGTTGTGAGCATGCCGCCTTGATAGTCCAACCCATGTGAAGGCTGCTTGGAAAGGGTGATCTCGAGGGATCCGTCCTTGGTGATTATAGCCGAAGGATCGTACCAGTTCAAGTTACCGGTCTACCGAATACAGGTAGGTGGAAAGTGCTAAAAGTTTGAGTGAAACGGACTTGCCTCCCAATATTGTAGGTTCACTTTCAGTGACTCGGTATGTCTTCTTAGGTATAAAAACGAAAGACCTCACCTGCTTCCCAATACGGATCATCCCCAGGATAGAATGTTCTTCCGTCTGTATTGAACTCATCACTAAAAACTAGCTGCCATTCGGCGCCATCCATATACGACGGTAAAGTAAGGGCATCTTGGGGGGTTTCACGATCAATAAGACCCCAATTTCCTATCATTTGTGGTATCTATAGGGAAATTAGCGGGAGATGAACGTGATTAGACGAGAACACGCACTCACCTGGCCAGTTGCATTGATCCCACCTGGACCCAAGTTCCCAAATAATGTCTCCTGGGCTGTAGTGTAGTATGTAGATACAGGATATCCAATGCTAGATTGCATGGGGTCAGCAAATCGAGATTATGCGATTCAAATCAGAGAACAATGTACAATAGACCCAAAAGGGATAATCCTAGTATCAGCATACATCCTAGGTTTGAGAGACCGCGCGCGGTGAATATGTGATTCCTTGAGAGACTTCTGGGATTAGGGTTATTGTAGAGGTAGTCATCGGGCTCTGGTTGGTCTATCATGAGGCTCGGGTTCCAGCTTTCCAAAAGGTTCTGAACAGAGATACAATTAAGAAATGATCCGAGTTCATAGGAATAAACGAAGTACTTGTGATCCACCCTTCGACGAAACAGTTCTGGATGAGGGGGATGTTGACGAAGCTCTTGACGAGCCGTGTGTACCTGTGGCTGCCGCGAGACCGTAAGTTTATGAGTTTGACGGTCAGAGAAATGTTTACTCACTCGTTTGTAGCTTCGCTGGCGATTTCTTGGTCGAGTGCCCAGGTTTGGTTGGTTTAACAAGGTTATTGCCTTGTCTTCTGGGATGCGCCATCGTACAAAACAATCGCTCTTAGAGAAAGGTGGAAGAATACGCTACCAGTGCGGTACAAGGGAATGGAATGGCCTGGGTGAGGAGAAGCGTATTGTGCGTGTCAGAGGTTATGATTTATATGATGAGGTCCCGCATGATTGTTGAAGAATTGAATCGAGAGTCCTCGGTCGGCGTATCATGACCGTTAGGAGAGATTGTTGCAACACCAATGAAAGCCGTGAAAGTGGAAGGCGTACCGGGTCCGGACATTCATTTGACAATCGATCGGGAACACAATGAGTACATCAAGAGGTTGCATATATTAATTGAATAGGAAGCTCGAGCGTACGCCTAGTAGTCTGTCCTCGAATTCTTGGAAGTATATAATTGAGCCATCCAAATTTGTTGATGTTCCTTAGATGAGTATAGCCTCATACCTGGCCGTGGAATGCGGGTTGTGTTTGGCTTGGTCAAGTTTCACCTGTAGGAATGAGTAACCGAGTTGGACGGGAGATGGAATACAAAATGTCAATTGTCTGCATACCTTTTTACTGTATGATACACCAAGCTGGGTAACGATTTCTTATCAGGAAGTACCATCCCCTTTTTTGCCTCAGGACTCATGATAACATCCTTAGAATAATACTCCTCCCACAAATTTGGCTGAGCGACGAAGGGATTTAGTAGAAGAAATCCCGCGAATTCAGTCTGAGGACTTGGCAAAAGCGTGAAACTTGAAGTCGAGCTGAAACTCCGGTAACTTTCCGCTACAGTCGATACATCTACATCAGATGAGTAAGTGACCTTGTGACTTTCCTCCTTCATCGTGCTCGTAGCAGGGGTAAAAGACGGCATATTGCAGATGCCAAAATGCACAAGCTGAATCCAGAAGTAGGTCATAGTAACATGGAAAGTTCGACCGCGAGTTTGTGGGCTTTCGCGGATATACTTCTCGATTCCACTAAAAATCATGTCTTTGCCTGCAAACCATCATTAACGAGCTACACGGCTTGGATTGAGCATACCTTTCTGTCGCCCGAAAGTTGTTAAAATCACGTACGCCAGGCGGATATGTGTATAATGGTCCCAGGATGGGAGATTTATAGCATGGAATTGTGAAAGAAACTCTTCCGGTGAAGAATCCGTCTCCGCACGGGAGATCCATGAGCTCAGTTTCTTTTCGAATGATCCTTCGGGATCCGAAGCAAGATTGGAACTATTTGACAGGACAGTGGATGGTTCAGATGACGGAGCGTTCTTGAGAGCAGCTTCCAACCAATCGAAAGCGGACAGAAGCCCGTCCGATCCCTCCTGAACAAGAGATATTCCAAAGATGACGGCTTTGCGTCCAGATATAGCACGGTTAAACTTGCGACGTATATCTTCTAATGGTACAGTATTTGGAAGGTCTTGCTTGGTTGCAAGTCTGAAGATATTCTATCAGTCCGGGCTTAGAAAGATACAGAAGAGACCCGTACATTAGAATGGGGGCAGTAACAGAAAGCGTATGAGCCCCACCCGGTTCCATAACGGATTCAAGCTCCTCGACGCTTTCCTCAAGCCTATCACGATCACGACCGTCTACTAACCATATAATTGCGGCGGACGGGGTAAGTACCGACTTGATCAAATTCCTATATGACTGGGGACTGCATCCTGGAGCACCCGTCTCCCATACAGTACACCGTAGGATGCCTTCAGATGTAGGTACATTGACATTCGCAGTGGTGAATATCAGACCTATTGTGGGGATAGTCTCGATGACTTTGCCGTATTTGAGCTTGTTTATTAGAGTCGTTTTTCCGCAGTAATCCAGTCCCGATAGACCTATTCTGCGGCGATACTTGGCAGGATAAAAACGATCCAAAAGTTGGTTCAGCATTTTAGGGTGAGGATATGAATTGCTGCAAAACAGTCGTATCGTAGTAAAGTATGTAGCCAAGCCCTCTTCAGAACACGAATCGTGGGACACTCTGAAGAGAAATTAGACGCTGGAGCGCTCAAAACTTTCGAAACATTTCCCCAGCATTTCCCCGACATTTCCTGAATAAGAGCACACTTTTCGAGAATTCATTGGGGCCGGTGAATAATGCGGCAGGGAGAGGAGGGTACGCTTCAGCTTGTCTTCCAGAGTTTCAAGACCCAAATTCGGCTCATCAATTCGTATATCAAAGTAATGATGCTTGCCCCATAGTCCGACGGAGCAAGCGACGGGGAGAGTCTGCGTGAATATGCTCACGTCGTCTTCTCGTCCTAGATACCACGATCATCAAGGACTCATGTCCTTCAGGGGATAAACTCTCCAAGTGTAGTTGCGTTATCGACTGCCAGCTTCGCTCAACGTTCAAGTTCTACATGCGTAAGGCCCCTCACGGACTGAGAATGCCGTCGTTTCTATCAGCCTTTCAACCGTTCTTGGTCATATTCCTACTCTTTTACCTTCCTTTGATTTTTTCCCTTCCGGCTACGGCCGCACCCACAAATACCACATTCGACGACACCAATTCGTCATTTACTTGGCAATCTGGCTGGATAGCTGCACCATGCGATTATTGTTCAGCGTTGTTGAATCAGAGTTTGACATACGACGGAACCTGGCATGACGGAGGAGCTCGTACTGGGTTGACGGGCACTTTTGAGTTCAATGGTATGTAATCAACTGTCTCTATCTCATTGATAGTTATACTGGATTTGCTGCCCTTATCAGGTACAGCAGTATATTTGTTTGGAGTGACATCTCAAAACGACACGGGCACGATCGAGTTTACTCTCGATGGCAACAATGCGACCACATACAACCCTCCTGTGATCGCAGCCGACGATCCTACCGTAGGCACTCCTGAAGCGGACCACACCTACAATTCTCTCTTCTTTGTTGCGACTGGTCTGGCGAATGGTTCCCATCAGTTGGGATTCACAGCGGTGCTAGCATACAATACATCGCAGACGGTGTTGATTGACTACGCCGTTGTGACGACCGACGACTCCACCTCATCGGGGTCAAGTTCTGCATCCGGGAGCGGGACAAGCGCAAGCGCAAGTGAATCTGCGAGCGGTTCGTCGAGTTTGTTGATTCGGTCTTAGTAATTATGAAACTCATGAAACGCAGATCCGAACAAAACTGCCTTGATAGGCGGAATAGTCGGTGGCGTTGCGGGCGTTGCTCTCTTATCACTTGCAATATTCTTACTCATCAGGCGAAGAAAGTTAAGGGTACGTTCGGTCAAACCGGAAAATAATATACGACCATTCCAAACTGTCCCCAGTCAGTATCCATCGCTCTTGTAGTCCTGTTTTCGATAGCTGAGAGCGTTCTTCCGTATCCAGGCTTCATCACAGGCGAATCAAATTCGCTGATCACTACTTCAACCCTGTCATCACATCCCAAAGCTCGGCCCCCCCTTCCCAGCATCTCAACTCCATCACCGACAGAGACTTTCGGCTCTTCACCCATCAATGTTCATGACGATGCAGGTCAGTATCACTAACTAAGAATAATAATTTGCCTTGTATTTATACTTCGTTTTTGCCGCTCTAGTCTCTACGCCCTCCACTCGTTTTAGGAGCAATTCCGGTGCTGCCACCACCACCACAGAGTCCACCATTCCTCGAGGCAGACAAGAAATACAAGAAATGGAGCAGCGCATACGGTCTTTAGAGAGTATGGTACTCCTCAGCCATGCTGTCGCCTCACCGACAATGCATCATGCAAGCACGATAATGAGCCCCATCATGAGTCCTCTGTCCGAGCAAACATACGACGCTTCATTGGATGATTTGACGAATCCTCCTCCGCCTTACTGATTTGGGTCTTTTCATCGACCCAAAAAAATTACATTGTTTATGGATTTATTTACTTATCAGCTATTTGTATATATTTTCTTCGATCAAATTGAACGTTGCACGAGGATTCTGAAGGATGACTGCGAACCTCATGCGTAACAAAGACCAGACTATTCGCAGAACATGCATACATGTTCGGCATCAGAACTGACTCGCAGCTTCCAAATCATCAGCATTCAACCAATCTGCCCCCGCATTCAACAGCTGTTCCCAAACAGCATGTCGTGCTTGAATTGGCCATCCAGGTGTATCCCAAAACCTAGCCTTAATACCTCGACTATGAGCATCGTTTATGAATGTAGTCAGATTCCCGAGCTGGGCCTCGCTAATATTCCCTATTCCATGCCAACCTATCGCGGGCTCGTAGTCCGTACTAGCCAACGGGGAGAGGGTGACGTTATATGTTGTGATGGGATCGTTCAGCTCCGTGAGAGGCGCGTCAAAAAAAACGTCTCGAGGTGATAGAGCCTTGATTCCGTCTAAGGGCGTATTTCCGGTGCCTACAGCAGTGATTGCGGAAAGAGTGAGGGTGTCGTTGACGAAAGTGGTTAAGTATTTCAGTTGCCGTAAAGGTTCAAGGGCTTGCACCACGGGGGCGAGTGTGCTATTGATTCCGCTGAGGTACGGCAGGACAAAAATAAGGAAAATGGCTACCTGTTCCCATCCGTCTTCATATCTATTAGGAGCTGTAGAGGGGTACCACCGGAGGTGTCGAAAACTCCGCTGGGAGTTTAGAGTTTTAAGCAATGGATTCTATGTCAAGAGAAAGACACGTACTTGAGCGAGGTTTGATTCGCGGTAAACGCATTAACCGGGTTTTGACGAGCCAAAATAGCAAGCAGAGGTTGGATGTAAAGTGATTCAAATGTGCGATCTGGAGTTAAGGCTGCCAATTCATGGCCAACCTAAATGATCTATAAATCAAGCTACCCAACTGTCACAGATATGTACGCACGAAAAGTGTGTTGTTGATGAACCATACGTCCGCCTCAACGCTCGCAACACCAAAACTCAGAGCAGTAAGGAGAGGTACATCACGCCAATCTAATGCAAGCATGAGCTTCAAACAGATTATTTGGCGAAAGGACCTACAGTCATTATGGGAATGAATCTGTTTCGGGACAATGTTCTGGGTGAACTGAGTAGGGTATTGCAGTAGAGTAGAGTTGCTTTGCTCCAGCATGGTTATCTGATCTAATACTCCTGGTCTGCCGAGAACTTCAGTTCCTTGCGCCAATACAAAGGCTACAATGGCATTTGCCAATGGTTGAACTCGCATTTTGTAATGCTGATTGACCGGGGGAAGAAAGTATGGTGCAAGTAAGTCATGGTGGAGGTCTTTTGTATTGATTAAGTATCATCATCGTAGGTGGATTGATGTTGATGACCATCGCCTGGACTGTTGCACGTGTGTGGAATTTGAAGAACTTTTCCTGGATTGTTCCTTTTTCAAGATCGTTGACAGAGAGACAATGTTCTTCGTGCTGATGTTGATGGGAGAAATGGTCGAGCGAGTTACTGTATATTCCAATAATTGACGCCCAGCACAATTGGACAAACATCATGAAGCGAAGATTTAGGAACATGAGGAGCTATTCCAGTAAACGCAGAGTAAACGCAAACAGCTTGAATTAATCGAAGTAGATCGAAGTTGGCTTGAGGGCAGAGAACCACGTGGCATTCCGAGTCAGGATAAAAGAGTCTCACGCCGGTTCCCTCGGCTTGACCGCTTGGCTGACAACTCCAAAGCACCTCGACCAGTACAACTCCAAAGGGCTTTCATTTTACACAAACAACTATAACACAACGACAATGTCCTCTGACTATGAAATCTCTGACAATGAAGGTGATTATTATGACTCTGATGAGATGATGGAGGACTACCAGAACGACGGTAAGTTCACCGCGCTTCTTTGTCGGCGCGTTACTGATATATCCATCTTGTCCATCAGACCAAGACGAGGACGATATGGAGATGGATGACTATAATGATGACTTTAGGATCAATGCAGGCCCAAAACGCAAGTCGTACGAAGTTGATTACACATCGCTGAGCCAGAGCTCAGTGGAGGAGTCATTGAAGGAGGACGTAGACCATATATGTGGTATTCTCGGTGTGGATGTGAGTATATTTGAAGGATGACACATGTTGTAAACTAACATACACTTTAGCCTGCTGTTGCAGCGTTGCTCCTGCGCCACCAGGGGTGGAACAAGGAATCCTTAATAGAGAAATATATGGAAAATCCTACAAAGGTCCTTGTTGATTCTGGCGCTGCAGTCCCAGAGCCTGCTAGAGAGCCAATAGTTCGGGCTCACTCTGTGGACAGGTCCGCCGCAGGCCCGTCATCACGTCGGGCAATTAGATCAAACTCCAAACTCTTATCGTCTCTGACCTCACCTACCAGATCATCTGCTCAGAAGTCCATCTCATCTCCAGCCGCATCTGCATCCAAATTTCGCAAAGACGCCAAATCATCCGAGGAACCCGAATCATTTGTTTGTCCAATCTGCTTCGACGACTCTCCAGAACTCAAACCGGTCGCTCTCGATTGTGGTCATTCAGCTTGCTCTGGATGCTGGAATGCTTACACCATTTCAAAGATTCGTGATGAAGGCGAACATTGTATTCGGTGTATGACCGAGGGTTGCGCCATCGTCGCACCCGATGACTTTGTGCACAATATCCTCGTGTCGGACGCCGCACCTCCTGGCTCTGACACGAATGAGAATCTTGTTGCATGGACACGTTTCCAAGAGCTACTCGTTCGCAGCTTTGTTTCGTCAAACTCGAAACTCAAGTTTTGTCCGTATCCAGGCTGCACGAACACTGTCTCGTGCCCATCAGCTGCGAGTAAGTCCGTATTAACAACTATGGTCCCCATCGTGTCTTGTGGTGCAAAGGGTATTCCTAGATCCGCCAACGACAAGAAACCGGCACCGTCGTCACCGTCGGGCATCACCTCCCTGTACGATAAAGAGCATGTATTCTGCTTTGGATGTCCTATCGAGAGCGATCACCGACCGGTCGTGTGCGGGGTTGCACGATTGTGGCTGAAAAAGTGCGAGGATGACAGCGAGACGGCAAACTGGATCAAGAGTAACACCAAGGAATGCAGTAAATGCCAAAGCACGATCGAGAAAAATGGTGGTTGCAAGTGCGTAATATATCTCATTCTCCCGTAGCTCTTTCGGTTCACAAGCTTTCTTGACAGCCATATGACGTGCAAGAAGTGCAAGTACGAGTTTTGCTGGGTATGCATGGGTGTGTGTGTTGTGTTTCCAAAAATCGAATTATCGCCCATTTTGTTTATTCGCTTAGGTCCTTGGAGTGAACATGGCACGGCATGGTATTCCTGCAACCGATACGACGAGAAGGGCGGCATTGAAGCACGGGATGCTCAGAGTCGCAGTCGCGCCTCCCTCGAACGATATCTCCACGTCAGTTCTTATTTTTCCTACCCCTCGTCCTTCTGTATTTACCAATACTATTCCAGTATTACAATCGCTGGGCCAACCACGAACAATCCGCCAAGCTCTCTGTCGAGCTTTACGCCAAAACTGAGAAGAAGATGGAGGACATGCAAATCACGTCTGATCTCACCTGGATTGAAGTGCAGTTCATGAAAAAGGCCGTGGAGGAGGTGGAAAAGTGCCGCATGACGCTCAAATGGACATATGCCATGGCGTATTACCTCGCAAGGGGTAACGAGAAAGATTTGTTTGAGGATAATCAGAGAGATTTGGAAAAGGCTGTCGAGGATTTGTCTGAGTTATTAGAAAGCCCAATCGAGACGGAAAACATCCCGGTATTAAGACAGAAGGTAACGGATAAGACGGTGAGTTTGTGGAAATGTCCTTTTTACACGATGATCTTGATGACTGATGTTTGCACCACAGGTTTATGTTCAGAAACGAAACGAAATTGTCTTGGAAGATACTGCGACTGGGTTCCTTGATGGTCGCTGGAAATGGAATGTTTCTGTCGATGGCTTTGAGGACCCTGCTGAGGAAGTTAGGATTGATTAGGTTTAATCCCTCTTACAGATGGTCAAGAGAAGTAAGTAACGATCTATATATGTACTCTAGAAATACCTCTCTATCGGATGTACTCGTACGCGTACGGACTTTCCTTCTTCTCGGCTCTCTATCCAGTCTTCTATCCTGCCTTCTTTCCCCTGCATGACTTTTCACTATCCTCATAGGATCTTCTATACGCTCTACTATTCAGCACACGTTTAACAACGACTTCTTTCCATTATCGCGTAGCAACCTGGTTCTTCTATTCCTATACCTTACATTTTCATCCCAAGTTCCTCTGTACGAATGACAATTGCTGTGTACGCACTGTATATATACTCAACTCACTATAATGATGCTCTACTCAATTGCTATGAGGGTCTTCCGAAGATGTGTACATACTCCTCCACCGTGTTCACGTCTATCAACAACATCCATAATCTTTAGTAACAGCAGACTCGAGACTTATCTTGTGGCTTAGATTCGCAGGCGAATTTCAGAAGTCGGTCATCTGATGGGACTGTCAGTGTAGGGTTTATTCTTAGCATCTATACCCAAGCGGTACTACGACCTCAGTGGAAAGGTGAGTATCTAGATAACATTTCATCTCGAAATGCATCTGAGTACCGCTACTCTCTATACCTAAGCAACAGCCAAAACTATGAGCTCGAGAAGGTCAACTCAATTGAGATTCAGCTTGAAGACCATCTAACAAACTATTGCAGAATGTCTTCTCCTCCACCCTCCATTGATGCACCATCTCTTCCTCCCGACTATCCATTGTCTCAAATAGCACCATCCCCTGTGGTCCCTGCAGAAGAAACGATAAACGACCCACCACCGCCATATCCTTCTCCTCGCACCCGGCGCGCGAGAGGAACGAGGCAGAACAGACGAGCACCCGAAACCTTACAGAGAATTTCGACGCAACACTCTCAAATACCCTCAAACGAGTCTGATAACGAAGTCCAACGGTCTCCTAGAACTCCTCTACGTCCATCAGTGGTGGAAAATCCTGGTGCTGACGCTTCAGAGATCACGCCTCTTCTGGCTGGCAGCAGCTCATCTCGTTCCGCAATTCTCAGACCACGGTCTTTATCCCAATCTAGCATAAACAGCTTCGCCCCTTCGTTGGCATCTCTCGCCCAAACAGCTTGGGTGTTCTTCTCGGAATGTGATTCGGACGATGAAGAGTCACGGTCTGAAAATGGGCATGATTCCGAAGGTGAAGAAAATGGCGGACCAAGTCATGCGGGTAGACGACCTCCTGCCTGTGCAGTCTCAGTCGAAACAAGAGAAGATGGGTCAATTCCTCCTGAGAGTGGAGGATTCTTCTCTTCAAAAGCTTGGGCACGATATTTCCATCCTGTCTTCAGAGGAGTGTATTGGAGGTCACTCACACATCTGGTTGTGGTGAACTTTCCGTTCGCGCTTCTCGCATGGGTGTATCTGTTTGTGTTCACTGTGGTACGTCTGATATACTTGGATGAAATCATGTAGTGTGTCGCTCAAAATACCTAACTAGACCGGGACCATATTGCTAATTGCTCTACCGCTGGGAGCTATACTCTGTTTCTTCAACTTACTCGGAGCTCGCGCGTTCTCCCGTGCCGAGGTTAGTACTCTTATCCATCGTTTCCGTCTGCCTTCCGACTACAAAACGACTAACGACATCTCCCCCTAGCTATTCATTCAAACAAGATTCCACAGTCCTCTCCACTATCCTCTTTCCGTTCTCCATGCTGCTGCCTCAACATCAACACCCTCAATAACACGTCTTATCTCAAATTACCCCATCTTCACGCGCTCCCGCCATCCCAGTGCCTCCGAACTTGAGTCAGGACAGGCAGTGGTGGGTGAAGAAGTCGCGGAGACGTCCTTTTACAAGAACACGTATTCGATGGTGCGTTTACTTGATTTATACTATATAAGTCCGCGCAGCACTCACCTTTTCGTGCCTGTCTAGTTCACCGACTCCACTTCCTTCCAAGCCCTTTTCTATTTCCTAGTCATCAAACCAGCTATCACACTTCTTTTCCTCCTGTTTTTCCTCGTCATTTGCGTGCCGTTGCTCGTTCTGGTTGTCCCTGCTCCGATGGTGTTGAGGGTGTGCAGGCGGATTGGGAGATGGCAGGCTGTGGTCGCTGTCGAGGGGTTGATCGTTGTTGTGAGGTAATACGAGAATGACTGCGACGAGCACAGAGAAATCGACAACACCGCTTGCATACCATGTCCAAAATACATACTGATCGAGATCTACCCTACGTCTCCATTTTTTCCCTCTTGCTCGTATTTTTTGTTCCTTGCGTGCTTGACCAGTGCTAATACTTTTGTCGGTAGCTTAGCGTTCAATAATTAATCCGAGAAGAGTTCATAGACCGCACACTTAGGCCGTGTATAATTCAAGTTGAACCAGAAAAATGTCTGTCCGACTCTCGATTGGCAATTTGAGAATATAGCTTCTGTGGGGTCTACCGCAGCACCAGGAATATTTTGATCTCTGTGAGTAGAAAACTCAGATGGAATGGTAGGAAATATTATCTCCGCCTCTTTCCTTATTATCAAAACTCCTCGTCTACTAAGTAGAATCCTCATCTGTTCATTTGAAACAATTCCCATGACACTGAAAATCTCCATGCATTTCCTATGGCCATAGGAGTAGCAGAACCGCAGTGCCAAGCCAGAGTTGAGAAAAAGGATGAGGAGGGAGAATTAGTGATATTAAAGGCGGCGGTGGTGTCTATCTACATGGGTGTTATTTTATCTTAACACCTGGCACCTGTAATACTTGTCTGTAATTTTCCTTGTGCCTCAATTTTCAGTATGTTATGCGGCTTGATCTAAGACGAATGCGAATGCATATTATGTAATGGAGCTCTCGAAATTCTGAGAACGACGAGGAAATCGACAAACCCGAATCAACCGAACTAGTTCCTAAACAAGTAAATGACGTCATCATTGTACCCCGCGGATCGCTGTCGGTGATTTGATAATAGCAACAACTTCTTCATGCTTATGAGTTATTTTCATCCTTCTTCCTTTCACCCACCTACACCTGTAACCTCCTGGTTTTTTTCCTGAAATTTGTCCCTCGCGGGCAGCCGGTTTGCTTTGGAAAAAACTCGCCACTTGGAATGCTCTACTTGACATCCGATAACTTTCCCATTTGTGCGTTTCCGCAGTGCTGCTAAACTTTTTCTTTTGACAACCACTTTTCTAGTTGTACCATTTGGCGTGATCGGGTACAAACAGCTCTATGGCTGATTTCTTTATTCGCAAAGCTCACTTTTGATCAGGTTCTATCGTTACCTTTGGTACTGTATACGCCTCGCAGCCTGCTTTGCCTACCGCCCAATCCCATTACCTGAAAACCCAACATACATCGCCGAAGAGGATGTTACTATCATAGTGCCTACTATCGATGCTGGCGAGGAATTCAAGGATGCTGCTCGCAGCTGGCTCGTCGGCAAACCAAAAGAAATCCTCATTATCACTGAAGAAAAGATGCTCGGACCTTTACAAGAACTCGCCAACGCCGTTGACCCCGAACGTATACGTGTCTTGACTGTGCCCTTTGCGAATAAACGCTTGCAAATGAGCCACGGTATCAAAAACACAACAACAGACCTCATCGTGTTTGCTGACGATGATGCCATCTGGCCGCCCACGTTACTTCCCTATGTCTTAGCTTGCTTTGAAGATCAAAAAGTCGGTGGAGTCGGTACCAGTCAGCGCGTGCAACCCGTAGGCGAAAAGATGACTGTATGGGAAGTCCTCGCTGCGTTCCGTCTCACAATACGAAATATAGAGATCTCTTGCTCGACGCATATTGATGGAGGCCTCCCTTGTCTTTCAGGGCGAACCGCAGCATACCGCACCATCATTTTGAAAGATCCCGAATTCCTCCATGGCTTCACACATGATTATTGGCTTGGAAAGTATCAACTCAATTCAGGCGACGACAAGTTTTTGACACGGTGGATGGTTAGTCATGGGTGGAGTACGTACGTGCAGTGCTGCAAGGAGGCCGAATTACTGAGTACAATGAAGCCAAATTGGAGGTTCCTGAAGCAGGTACTGAGATGGACGAGGAACACATGGCGCAGTGACATGCGCAGTTTGTTCACAGAACGGTTCATTTGGACTGCGCATCCGTATGTTGCGTATACTATGGTATTACATCAATATTCATTTCTTATCACGCGTCACTCAAAGATCTGGTATTTTCTCTAGGTCGACAAATTATTCAATCCCTTCACATTACTCGCTGGCCCTTGTTTAGTGGCCTACCTAGTCTACAAGAGCACGATTTCGACGGACAATGGCGGTTATCATTTACCATGGTGGTTAGTGCTCCAGCACATTTATCAATTAATACGACTCTCATCCTTGGGTATCAGGAATATTCTAGCTTCTTATCTCGTTTGGCTTCTTGCCACTAGAACTGCTAAGCTCCTTCCACACCTATGGTACCGCCCTCAAGATATCGTCTACGTTCCCGCATTTATCGTGTTCGGATATTATTTCGCTATCATGAAACTTTATGCTCTGTGTACGTTGCACGAGGTAAGCACTAAATTTCTTTTTCATCTTGTCCGTTACGTTCCTCTCGTCAAAAATACAAATACACGTTACACCCAACCATCTTCTTATGCAATTCCGCGTCGTTTCAATCATCCTAATTTCCGTACAGACCGGATGGGGCACTCGGACAGGTATTGGCGATATCGCAGCCGCCACCGCCGCCATGGATAAACAAGACACAAATAGAGGCTCCTTTGGCGCCAACGACAACGAGACTGTCAATAATAGCAACAGTGGCGGGTTACGGGAGCTTAACGAGAAACTCACCTCATCATCATCCGTAAACACGAAAACAAACTTTGATAACGGATATATACCGCCGACGATGCAGAGGTATCCTCTTCCCACCGGGAGTGGGAGTGGGACTAATGGTACGGCGACCAGTAATGGGAGCGGGAGTAGGAGTAGGAATGGTAGTAATGCGAGTGGGAGCAAGACCGGGAGTGGGAGCGGATCAGGAGGAGGAGGCATCGTGAGGCGGGAGCCGAACGGTAGAAGAATGGACATCATAAACGAAAGCTATCTAATGCGTTGACGATGGCGTATAGTGATGATGATGATGGTAATGGCTTTTTGCCTGAATTACTCTCCAGATCTGTCCCGCACTTTTCGACCCAGGTTGATACACCGTGATGGAGAAACGGATTCCCCAGATCAAGCGCCCGGGCTTCAATTTTTTCCTGTCATTTGTCCCTTCCACGAGCTGATTCTGTATGATATGATTGATCCCTCTGTGTGGATGGGGTCGTCAAGTGGACACAGTTGACAATCGCATATTTCAGCTATTACAGTATGTGCATTACGTCGCTTGGCGCAGCAAACACTTTGGTCTCTGTATACCAATCCCTTCTACTTATTTATTTGCATCCTTCTCTTTCAACTCTCCTTCTCCAATGTTTAGCATTGTAGGCACTATAAACTGTATCTTGTTGTATGTCGTCTTTGTTGTCGTTGTCTTTGTCGTCGTTATCATTATCATAGCCGTTACAATACCACAGTCAGTGTTGGCATTATTTTTGCTGGAGCCTTGTATTCTACACAATACAATGGTCTAATCAATATATTTTTTCTTGGTGTTTGATTCCTCCAGTACATGATATAAGGTTTCTTCGAACAAATTGTACACAGACTCGCTTCAATCCCTCCGTCATTCAATCTTCATAACAGACTCAATACGTGCATTTTGTATGCGCTTCCTCAGGTCCGTCCAAATAGGATAACCACAAGCAATCGTTGCAAGAATATAGAGGGTCTAATGAATCGGCATTTCAATAAATTCATATTTCCATGCGAATTAGGAATATGACTGACACCGACAAAGAATCCAGTCTCGTGTCTCCTACACAGGGACCATGTATAGACCGCTTCCAAGACATGGGTTGCATTGACGCTCCAGAGAAGCCAATACCCGACCGATGAACCCACATACGTACCTAGTAACTTGGCTGGCAGGAACAAAAGTGACGGATCGTTTACTGGTGCGTAGGCAAAGTATGCCAGGATGGGATACATGATGAAAAGTACTCGGAGAGCCGCGCTAGGGAACTGGAAAGAGGTGATTTTCGGTGTTTTTATCTTCAAGTTGCCACCCAATTAGCATGAGGATATGAAAACCGAACCGCACCACAGACACACCATTCCAAGACCCTCCTGCGCGATGGCCTTCATTTCCAGTAATCGTGGTTTAACATCATCGTATCCAGTCATTGGAGGGTCAATTGCAACCCGTACTTCCTTAGTAGATCCGTCCTTCATTTTACAGCTCAAGGTCATACTCTGAAAGTTCTGGTTTCACAAGAGCTATTTTTGAGGAAGAATCCAAAGCAACAGCATACCTTAGTGTCGATAGCAGACATTTCAGCGCTGGAGATGGGCTCAGAAATTTCTCCATACCATTTCGCGTACGCTACAAGCGTATCGGGATGACTGGACATGTACATCCGAAGGAAACCAGACTTTTCTGCGACAGGATCACTTGTCATTGTTTAAAAGATGAGTAGGATGTAAGGCGTGTAAGTAGGTCTAGGGAGAGAAGGATTTAGCAAAGCTTCGGGGAGAAGGGTTAATAATGAGTTGCTTTTGGCGCTTCCCTGGCGCTTGCTTTCCGGTTCGGGTATCCAGTCGGACCGAATTTCGCCAAAGCGGCGATCTGCATTGGCGCTCATTCTTCGTATTCGACTTTCTTAACCGGACACTCACTGCATTCAGTGCACCTGCTGACCCAGTCAAAATTGTTGTGCGACAAATCGCAATATGGAAGTCATTAAACCAATTTTGCATGCCATCTTCGCAGAAATTAACGAGGCTGCGAAGCAAGGCGGTTTCCAGGAAATTTGATTTCAATTATCCGTGCAGTCAATTAGCTATTCAGCGCAAGCATCTTAGGTCCACAGTGGACGCTAGTCATGGGAGACTGCCTATTTATCCATCAGTTTAAACTCTTCCCGGTCCGCAGTCATCCCCCCCACCCTTCTCTGATCTTCTCTGACAAGGAATCTCGTCCAAAATTCGGCTACACATGAATATTGAAGCCCAACTGGAGAATCGGGCTAATCAACAGACATACCTACTAGGCTTTGGATATTTTTCGCTAGCCTGCTTTATGAGCTCCTCTGTCCAGCTCACTAATCTGCGATGAGTATATACATTGACGTTTCTTCCTGCTATGCTCAAAAGTTGTCCCCATGGGTATGAAATAGGGTCATCCAAATCTAGAACCGTCGCTTTCTGGACAGCAATATGGTCTAGAAATGCCAAGACTCCTCGTCAGAGAATGCTTCATTCATCCCTGGTGTTCTCTCCTATGGCATACTATATCATGAGCCCAGTATGCAGTCTTGGCAAGGCAGCTCTCCTTTGCGACATTCAATGAACGGTCCGCCCACCAGTTTCCTCCAGTATGACTTAACAAAACGACTGTCGTGTACCTCCGAAGGATTACCGCAAATTAACCTGCCTCCTGGTATAAAACGCCTAAAATTTTATGTTACCAAGCTCAAAGCAGTCCAAGTTCGACGCAGAACTGCACATACAACCCTCAAGATTGGACAAGCATGCAATTCTCCTCTACATTCGCTGTTTTGTTCGCTTTGGTGGTCCATTTCGCAGCTGTGAGTAGAAAGATCTGTTCGTGCACCTTAGCTGCTTACACTAGGATCACCCTCAGGCAACGCCTACTGTCCTCGTGAAACGCGCGACCTACAACGATGTGGCTACTGTCGGTTATGCCACCTTGAACGGAGGGTCAGTTCGAATTCACCCTTTTCGTACCCGAGTATCATGATTTTGATATCCTATCGTTATAGAACAACTGGAGGTTCTGGAGGACCTGTAACTACTGTAACCACCCTCGACGACCTCACCAGTGCTGTGACCGGTAACAGTAGCAAAATTGTCGTTATTGAAGGTGAGTGGGTACAGCGAAACCCTGGGGACGTCTTTTTCAGCCATTGTCTAGGTACCATTACAGGAGATGCCGTGGTCAAAGTTGGCTCTCACACAACCGTCATTGGTGCTGCAGGAAGCTGTGAGTCAATAATATTTGAGGATAATTGTCGAGCCACGACTCACCCACCCCAGCACTTGTCGGCGTCGGCCTTCGCGTTCTGAATGAGGAAAATGTCATCATTCGAAATGTCAAGATCTCGAAAGTATTAGCTTCTGCCGGAGATGCCATTGGCGTACAGGCTTCGTCTCAAGTCTGGTTGGACCACCTTGATCTCTCCAGCGATAGGGATCATGATAAGGTTTGCAACGTCCTTGCCAGTGGTGCAAAAGAACCAAATAAATCTCATCTTTTCTCCGCTTTTCTAGGACTAGTACGCTCGAACCACCCAAACTGTGCAACTGATCTTCTAATGCATGAATTGATTCTGTAGCTACGACGGACTCTGCGATCTCACTCACGGCGTTACTGGAATTACTGTGACCAACAGCAAGCTATACGACCATTGGAAAGCTTCCCTCATTGGCCATTCTGACAATAACGGTGCTCAAGACGTCGCGATAACCGTGACAATGGCAAACAACTACTGGACCGATTTGAATTCTCGTACACCATCCTTCCGATTTGGCCACGGACACATCTTCAATAACGTCTTTGATGATAACAATGACGGTATTAATACTCGGGATGGTAAACCTTTTCTATCATGCGAACAAGCCAAAGTTTAAGTATCTTTATTCAGGTGCCCAACTTCTGGTCGAGAATAACGTTTGGACGGGTAGGTACTTGTGTGAATCGCGCGCGCTTGTATTAACACAAGAGAAAATAGGTACCGACAAGCCCTTGTACGATACTGACGACGGCTTTGCCGTTGCGACAGGTAATGACTTCGGTGGAGCTTCAAACACTGCGCCTGTCGGTAACTTCACCACCGCACCGTATGCTTACACCCTCATCGCCACAGCGGATGTCAGAGCTTCGGTCGTCTCCTCTGCGGGCCAAACTCTTGCTTTCTGAGCCATTTCCAGGTTCAAGATTTGAGTCTATTGATACACAATGTATGGAAAATATGTACATAGATTAAAAATGTGCATGAAAAGATTACCAGTGATGATTGCTAGGGAAACATTAAGCACGAAAGTTTGAGAATACTTTTCAGGCTTGATTTCAGAGTGTTATATGAAGATGGTAGCAAATAATGCGCAAGTCCAATGAATAGCAAACTATGTCGGCCAGAAATACGAGCCCCTAATCCTGATATAAGGGAGTAGTAACTGTAAAAAAGATGAATACCAGTTCAATTTTAGGAATGACTAAGCTCACGCCGAATCTGTTGGTTCCGCTCCAATCGCTGTTTCATCGCTTCCTGAACTGAAGGTTCCCAGGCATCGAGCTCCCCAGTGTAAAGATTCTTCCAGTATGTCGGTAAATCCAATGGCCAATTGAATCTCGGAAGGATAACGAGCCTAGGATCAATAAACTCCTGACAGCCTAAAGCTTCGAGCATTCGCTCGTCCTTGGATAAGATTGCGAGGACTTCCAAGCTTACAGATAAATCCAGAAGTCCTCGAATGATAGGAAGGAGGTAGAAATGGTCCCATGAAAAGAGGTTGCCAATGATCAAATGTTTCAACTTCGGCAGTCCTATAAGTGTTGTCCAATCGACGGACATGCCGGTTTTGACGGAAGGTGGACTGACAATTTCAAGGTGTGTTAAGGCTTGGAAAATTTTGTCGGAAAACGAAAGCAAAGCACCGCGGGTCGTCAACATATCCAGTTTGATTGAAAGACGAGTAAGGGTCGAGGAACTGAGAAGCGGCATCAACCATCCCGGTCTTTGTGAGCTCTGAGCCCAGCATGTTAGATGTGTAAGGCTACTGCAAACAGGCAGAATTTTCTGGGCTTCATCCAAAGTTATAGTGTAACTCAAGTAGAGGTTTTTAACTCTCTGTGAGAAGAACTCCGCTGGTCGTGCGTCAATGGTGCGTAGGAAAGCAGATGTCCGTGTTGAGGGATGGTCCAAAACAACAGTTTCATATATGAACCATTCCATCCTGAGTCCCCATAAGCGTTGCGCACTTCGATTTTTGACAAAACTCACCAGTACTGGGTGCGCTTACATAGCCCCGCTAACTTGACCCCTGTACCAGGAAAATTCCGGGCTGTTGTTTCGAATATTTCTCTAAGAATATCTGTAGGCAGCTCTACATGTTTGTTCGAAAGTAGGATAGACAAAGTCGGGGAGGCGTCTGGAGAATTGCGCGCAACCATTCTTTAGTATCGGAGGAAGAAGTGAAAAGGCAGTGAAAGGGGCACTTACGAAGGGGGGCTTTATACAGGACGATGTACAGAGGTCTCAAGTGTCCGTCAGGGCCGATGGCCAGGGATCTTATTGATCGAGCTAACGCACGTCGCAGCTCAGCACCGGGGAGGCGTTTATGTTTATGTGTTAGAAGTGTTGCCAAGTTAGTCTATACAACCTTATACAACTAAGTTGGATCATTGCCTTGACCCAGCCTAAACCGTAAGCTGAATCCCCGCGTAAGTTATTACTTTTCGTAATTGACCCTATGTTTGAGAAATGACGTCCGTGAAACACGCAAAGGAACATCGACAGGACAACAGCTGAGGCTTGTTCAGGTTGGCGTGGGTGGCAGCAAATTGTATGTTAGCGAGATTGAGACCATTACTTTCTGCAATAAGAGAGGATATTTGTTACTTGAGTGGTGACTCACGGAAGGGAAAGAGGGGGAAGAAGAGAGAAGAAGCTTGGACAACTTTATTTGCATCATTCGTTTCAAATTTCCACAGACCACGTTTCAATCAACCACTACATAAATGGACTCTTCGGTTTTGTCAAATCTCAAATGATCCCAAAATACTGTACAGATCGAAAAGGGAAAGCAAGCAACAAAACAACGTAGCGAAAAATGAATAATGGAGGCAATAATGTATGCAAATTCCACCCTATATCATATCCTTCTGAAGTCCGATGACTGGGAATCACTCAAGGCAGTTTGGAACGATTCATATGATCTTTGAATTTGGAGGCCACGATTATTTGCATTAGTGCTCATGTAACCCACTGCGCGGACAGCACCAGGGAACAGTAATCGATTGTCAACGGAAGCGCTAGTAACGTCCCGCGCATGTCGTACCGAAGCAGTAAGACTATCATCGGAAAAGTTACGAAAATGCGACCGTGGGGAAAGTGTTGCTTCGAAGGGATAACCACGATGCTCTGCGAGCCCGCTCTGGAGATTAGTAACTCTATCTCCTCCAGGAAGCTCGAAATCAGGACGAGGATCGCGATCATTCCCACTGCCAACATTTGAGGGTAGCGACATCAAACGATGGTGGTTACTATTAGCATTGTGGTAAAGGAGAGGAGGTGGTGAAGGAGGAGCTAGTATCATAGGCAGACCATGATCTCTATCTCGTCGATCGTGATAAAGCTCAGGCCGAGAAACAGAGAAATTTGTCACCGTGTATGGAGGGGATGACAAATTGGAAGGTGGAGGGGGTGGCGAATCTGAGCGCGCAATGAGAAATTCATCCGGAAGCGGTGATGAATGATATGGTGGTGAAGACAACACTGGTAATGCATGAGAGTCATCCGTGGACGCAGATTCGTTCCGTGTGTGTGCCGTTACATGCTCGAGCGGAGGTCTTGGTGGAAGGACAGGCGGACGAGAATTATCCATATCATTGCGGGGAAGAGGCGTCGAAGCATTCCGAGGTGTAATCTGGATTTGAGTTTGAGCTAGAGGTGTGTATGCCGCTGTAGCAGGAGGAGGAGGAGGAGGTAAACGAATTGAACTACCTGAGACCAACGGAGGGACGTTCGGCGGGGTAGGTAGAGGAAGTTGTCGTCTTTGGGGAGGTGAGCGTTGCGGCTGGCCAACGCCGACATTAGATGATGCAGGAGCTGAGGTTTGAAGAATGGTTTCAATAGAAGGTTTATTCAAAGACTTGTTCGAGTGTAATGGCGGCGATTGAGTTGGAGGAAGAGGGGCAGGATAATTTGGTGCAGGCGGTGTACGACGAGAAAACTTCCTGGGACGTTCTCGGACGGGCGTGCGAGGAGGTGGAGGGATCTAGACAATACGGTTTCAGAGGGAAAAAAGAAAGCGAGTGTTGGGCAAACCTACCGGCTGCACAGGACTGTCGGACCGAGCCCTCACGGGAGAAGGCGGAATACGAAGGGTAGCAACATTGGTGGAGTGCGAATGCATGGTAAAATTATCCCCAGTCTCCGAAATGATCATGACTTCGTCTAGATCAAGATGATCACTGTCATCAGATATCAAATGTTCCCGCTCGTTGTTAGCGCCTGAGTCCTCGAGACCAAGGTCGCTGTGGTCATCTTCTTCATCTTCTTCCTGGATTGTATTATAATAATCATAGCGGCTGGAAGTAGCCAGAGCAGACTCAGTCGTCTCAGTACGTGTACCTGAGTTTCTGAATCCTCCTCTGCGAAAGTTCTCCAACGTTGAATCTGTGCGGGTCCTGTCACTGGAGGCATCTATCTCGAACTTCCGCGGAGGCGAAATAGACTGAACAGACACGGGAGCATTTCTCCATGGAACAGGAAACAGGGTGAGTGTCCGATGTATTTTTCGAGCCAGTTGCGAATTCTTCCACAACTTCTTTCCAGGAAGAGCCCAGGTCGGCTTGCGTGGTTTGACAAAATCAATGTGAGTAGACGACGACGACGATAATCGGACATGTCCCGTGGATCGTCGTGAAGATGTAGAAAACATCTCCATTGTTTCTCCATTTGCTTCCGCAGGTCGATCAATAACCCATCCCTGATCGCGATTTCCAGCCCTGATTTTTCTCGCTCCGAAACCATTCCTAATTCCACGAGATAAAGCAACTCGCATGCGCTGCAAAATTGAGGAGCCCGACTTCCTCGAGCGCCATATAAGGATTCCGAGAACAAAAGCTGCGGAAACGACTACTCCAACAACAACGGGCACAATAATCTGGATTTCATTCCATTTAGTTGGAGTTGTATCTGCGGTATCTGTAGTGGCAACTGGTGTCCACAATTGTGAGTATAATAGCCAGCGACTAACAGCATTGTAGGCTCACTTCTGAGAGCCGTGGCAATGTCGAATGTCATATTTGTGGGGAGATTGATGAAGGTCCAAGAGGGAAGATCCATGCTGTTTGAGGAGTAGAACTGATCCGTGGTCATTTCGATTCCTTGCTGTTGACAAGTATCTGTCCAGTTGCTTGACAGCACTGTGGAACTGGCATCGCCATTTGAGTATAGACATGCGCTCCAGACGTTGAAATACACATTGGTGCTGTAGAACAATTTCAACGCAACAACCGTGAAAATTTTACTGTGCTATACCATGTACATTGATTCGGAGAAGGGAAATTGCGAGAAACCAAAGCAACTGAGTGGTAATGAATAACTTTTTCAGGCTTTAAAAATTCTAATACACACCATCTCGGGCATTCAGTGACCCAGAACAGCTCTCTATATCGCTCTTCATTTCACACGGCGTCTTACCTTGCCCATTATTTAACTAGGGTCTTGCGATGAAGTAGCTAGTAAGATTGCAAAGAAAAATCACCAACTGAGTCGTAATCTTGGGACTATGTAAATAATTCAAATCAAATTCAGACAAAAAAAATCAAGTCAACTTGTACCCACATCGTCAGCATCACTGACTCGAATCAGAAGAAGTATGAGCGCGAAGAGCAACAAATGGCCCGAGAACATAACATAGGGATCAATATACAGAGGAGAGAAGGTGACCGAGGGGATTCAAGAGGCGTCTCCAGTACATAACAAGGTTCTGTGCAGATTCAAAATCGTTCTCAGGCCCAAACCCGGATACCACATGGTTGAACGAAGCTGAAAACGTCAATCATGTTGATAATTATTGCCACGAACTTCGAATTCGAAAACCTGTATGGACTCAGGAAAAATAACACATCAGAACGAGGGTATACGTGTACATGGCGCCTTGTTTGACGACACTGCATATTTCTTAACTATGTAATACTGTGAGGTTTCTCTGAATGAACTCGAGGAACAAAGCCATCCGTAACTAAGTATATAGACCGTCATCAGCATGTGAAATATGAAGATACAGATATACTCTTATAGTAATATTCATTGCATTCAATATTCATTGACCTTCAGATACTCTAGGATAAATCGGGGAAGAGGAGTGGCAGCACCAGAAAAATGCGTTTATCCGGGCAAGTAATGCAACCAACATTTTGGTATGTCTCGGGAGGGTGGAAAATACAATTATTATATGAGCCACCATCATGCTCCATCATGGTTCAACGTTCAAGCTTCAAGACTTGTATACTAAGCAGACAAACTGCTTCCGAACTTGCTCCTGGATCTACTCGGTCCAAGAAAGACTCGAGTCGTTGGCGCAGTATGGAAAGTACACTTCAAAATGGACCATGACCAGAGTGTTCGAACGCATTAAATCCCAACACAATGTGACTGGCACATGCATATCTTTTAATTGCAAAAACCAGCCTGAGAAACGAGATAGGAAGCACTGGCACTGAGCAAGGAGAAGCGTACATAAAAATCGAAAACCAACCTCAACGTGCGAACTAGTTCACAGTGTACAGTGTTTTGTGCATGTTCGCCACCTCCTGTGTATCTTTGTCTGTCTAGGTTTGTCCAATATATTTTCTTCACAGAAGGAAACTGACAAAGTCTTTTGAGCCCGACAGGCGACAATAACCTGGGCCCAAAAATGTACTGGAAAGCAACCAATACTAAAGAGCTGGCGAAAAATCCTCATGTGCAAAGTTTTTCGTAAAGCACTATAATGGCTCGTAATGGTCTGCAGAGGTGCTCCGGTAAATTTGAAAGTCACCGGAGGTCTTGTTAGGATTCAAGGGATCTAACGGATTCCTTATTGATGCGTTCAGCTCGGGAGTCCGCTGCGAGAGTTTATATCTATATAACCTGGTCCTTGAGCTTGAGGCCTCAGCGCAAGCGGTTCACCTGGATGAGACCTGATGGCTCGGAACATACATAGGATGGGATGGATTCTAATGCCACCTATGTAGGACACGAAGTTAACGACAGAGTGCTAGTCGTAGGATGTGTTCAGGGAAAAAATAAGTTTAGTCCCCTCGATAATAGTTCATGTTGTGCCTCATGTACATAGAGCAGCCCAAATGGGGTGCAATTTCTTCTCGTGTTATCCCGGTGGGACTGGGCTCTAGGAACAATCCAGTCAGTGATAGGTACCGAAGGGCAAAGTTCGGAAACGCATCCGCATTCACCGAAGGATGGGGAAATTGTGGCACAAATTCGACAATAGATATTTCACAGTGCGTACATCGATGAGCTCGTAAAAGTTGCTTCCAGGATTTAGTACTTAGTCCCAAAGCCTGGTGTACAAACAAATTTTCAAAAGTGCGTCGGGTAATCTCCAGGGGATGTTTCGCTCTTGATTTACTGGTCATTAATGCGCCATGCATCTGGGTTACGCTTCGAAGAAGTTCCAACTGCCGGCGACGCTCAAAAGAGTGAAAAATGAAGAGGCGCCCAGATTTCAAGGCGCTTACCTATAAAAGTCGGGTAGATCAAAACCCTCAACTTGTCCTCAAGTAAGTACACATCTCTTGGCAAACTATAAGACAGCTAGTCAGGTAACAACCCTCGCTCACCATGCTCCTTTTCTTAAGGTTGGTGTATCCCGAACATCCCCCGAAAATCTCCGAGTCTCAGGCTGGGTTGGCCATTAATTTCCACATGTTTGACGAAGATACAGAACGAGTAGAGCACAAAAAGCCCAGATTACCAAATGCGTGCAAAAATTGTCGATTGAAAAAGGTATCACTCTTTATCTATTTCCAAGCACCAGTGTTCTTTCTCCGAGTCTGAAAACCTTCCCGAAGGTCAAATGTGAGTGAGCCTTGGGTTCCAAATGGATCATAGTAGCTTTGACAGCGGCACAGGCGATAGCGCAATCAGGCCGGATAACATTTGCTCTAACTGCATTGCATCTAAAACGGAATGCACTCGTGAGCCTGTGAAGAAGGTATGTAGTACTGAGTCCTAATCTTTCAATGGTTGACTCTGGAACTCTGACCTACATTCAAGAAGCGCGGTCCGCGTATGGGGTAAGCTCATCGAGTATTGAATGTCTGTGTCAGCTGGAGTATTCATGCAACCAAGAAATCCTCAGCGGTCGATTCAAGCCACTGTGGACGCGATTTTGTCCACCAGGAAACCATTCGAGGTACCAAAAGATCCGGCAATAGTGAAAGGGATTTTCGTTGACCTAGCAAATTGTATCAAAGACCTTGAAGAAGACATAGCGGGACTCCGACAAACTTTATCGACGCCTCTGTCTCATGAAAACCCTCTATCTCAAACTTCACTGCAGCCCAATCGAGAAAAACGAATTGCGGTTGTTTCTCAGTATCCAGACCACCCATCTCCACCTCCTGTTGAGGGTTATTCTGTCAACGATCTGACTCAAGATTTGAAAACGTTCGGATATTATGAGGACCGTGCACGACATTTTGGTAGTTCCAGCAGCAGGAAACTTGTCAAAGATGCTTTAGACGTCAAGAAGGAGTATACTGGTGGCGCAGATTTCGTCAATGTGAAACCCTCCTTCAAACGACTAGAATTTTGGAGCGTACAGCCGGTTATTCGCCTTTCTGATAAACCGGCACAAACCTGATCTTGACACTTCCCTTTTCTAGTGGCAGAAAACCAAATCTGAAAACCCATCTCCCTTCGAATTTCCGCCAGTCGACTTGATGACAGATCTGATCCAATTGTATTTCACTCATTTCAATCCTCTTCTGCCTCTTCTACACCGTCCCTCCTTCCTTGAAAACGTAGCGGAGGGCTTATACTATAAGGACCGGCACTTCGGGGGCCTCGTTCTTGCTGTATGTGCCCTTGGTGCACGCTTTTCGAATGATCCTCGCGTCGTCGAAGATTACACTACTTCCGAGCAATCAATCGGCTGGAAGTGGATACGTCAAATTCAGCCCATAAGGCACTCTTTTACCGAACCTCCTTCGATATATGAGATTCAACTCTATACGGTGCGCCTCGTTAATTTGCTCTACATGTCTATTTGAAGCTTTCGAACTCACCCATGACAATAGGTGTACACCATCTTCATGGGTGCAACCACGACCCCGGAGGTTTGCTGGATCCTCATTAGCACCGGAATTCGCTTACTTCAGGACGTTGGTGCACATCGAAGACGACCTAGTAATTCCAAACCATCATGGGAGACCGAGTCTTGGAAACGGGCTTTTTGGTTCATGTACTCAATAGATATTCTCGCAAGTACTTTGCTGGGTCGTCCTCGGTCTATGTCTCAGAATGAGTCAGTTTTATCCATTCATTTCAATACGACAGAAATAATGGTTCGAATCCAACAGTTGTGACGCCGATCTACCAATAGAATGTGACGATGAATACTGGGAACATCCGGACCCGAAGTTGGCATTTCAACAGCCTCTTGGAAATCCCTCAATAATGTCCTACTGGATACATTTTTTGAAGCTGATGAACATAGCGGACTTAACGTTACACACAATCGTCAGTACTTGAGCACCCGTGCCTATCAGAGATCTCACCATTGTCGCGCAGCTTGCTGTCAAGCAATCTGATATGTGGTCCGCAGCTTTTGGGCTGTCAAAACGGGAGTGGAACGAGAAGACGGTTTCTGAATTAGATTCTCTACTCAATAAATGGGCCGATGAGATTCCTGACCATTGTAAGTACTGGGTACCAAATTCATGTCACTCAGTTGAGATACCATGTAGTGAAATGGGACCCTAGTCGAGAAAATATCCAGCACTTCAACGAATCCGTGGTGCTTTACACCACCTATTATGGGATACAGGCAAGGCTTGATTTGTTCTCCCCTTCTGAAGGGTATATGATATCTTCTCTAGATATTAATCCATAGATCGTTTATACCTCGCCCAGGAGAAGACTCCCATTCTACCATTCCGTCATTGGCGATCTGTGCTAATGCCGCCCGTTCTTGCCTCCATGTTTTGGAGGTAGAACAGCAGCGTAAGACAAATGCTTTTGTCATACCAAGCGTAATGGTCAGTCTGATTCACTTTTATATTCCTTACGTTCATTTAATTGAAGGCCTGGCTCCTTATAGATAGCCCTGTTCAACTCTGCTATCGTTATGTTGGTGAACATGTGGATAGGAAAGCACTTCGTTGGTTCTTCGCCTTCGGGTCTCAGTAAAGATCTTGCCGCTGTTTATCGGGCGATAAACACACTTCATCGTCATGAACTTCGGTAGGTGAATTTATGATAGATTTGTCGATGGTCTCATCTAATGCATGACAATGACAGGTGGGAACAAGCTGGGAGATTAGCGTGCGTTTGAATCTTCATTTCTAGTCAAATTTCGTTCATCATACCCCTGTAGAGATATCTTGACGGAGGTGATATCTGTCAGTCACTTCCATAAGTCAAGCCAGCCCATGTTATCAATGAAACGACCCAGAGAAGACGATAGAAACATGAATACATATCCTTCTACTGATCCCGACTTCGTTGACAACGGACAGCGACATAACGATATGATTGCAGGTAATGACATGGGCACGCCTTACCTTCCCACTATAGAAGAGCATCCCAGAAATTTCGAGCTACCTTTAAACAGCGGGGAACTTGGAAGTCTCCCCGTTCATGAACCTTTCTTGGACTGGTCGGTGTCTTCAAATCAATGGGTATCGATTTCTGAAAATGAAAATGCTCTTGATTCTTGGGCGGCAACGGTACCGAATGACACAAACCAGTTTGGGTTCTATAACTATTCAACGTCATCAGAGTCAATCACGAACTTTCCATCCACAGGTGAGCAGTCCTCTGATCAGCAGCCTGAAGACAATGAAAGATAACTCATCTATAGGATCTGGCGAAGAGCCGTTGAATAACAGGTATGATGTACTGCCTTGTGTGTCAAGACTGTCTTTGTTGAAGTTTCCATCCTTTTCTAGCGTGTCAAATGATCTTGACGACTGGACTTCATATATAGCAGCCATCGATGAAATACTACAGGCCGCGAACCCTCGAGTAGTTCCCTGATTACCTTTAAGAATTCTGTTTGAAGGTCAGGAAGAAGCGTTCATCATCCCTCAACACTGCTTCAATAATAGTCTGAAATTGAGGAAGGAAATAAAATGTACATGTACAGTAGCACTATATATACCATATGTACATGTCACAACAACGAACAGTCAGCATGTGAAAGAAAATGTGGTAGAAATCCTCTGTACATAAATGGTGTAGTTCTAAGTAAGCTAAGTGGGAGAGGGGGAGTATGAGGTAGGTAGCCATCCGAGAAGAGGTGTGCGGTAGGTTAGTCAGAAAGGAAAAAAAAAATCCTTCCAAAAGCCCTAAAAGTGGTCGCAGCTCAAGCAAAAGGAACGAAAGAAAGAACAATATACAATGTACAGAAAAAATAGTCTTAAATAAACAAAGAATATAAGCCAGAGAGTACGCTAACCCCAGTCGACGGTGAGACCTCCAGGCGCAGGGTTAGCCAGACCGATCTGGCGTTGAGACTCTCGTCGCAGCCAGTTCATAGCACGTTTGTCATCTTTGAGGTAGGGCATAAGGATATCGTAACATCGAGAGTTGTGATCCTGATTTGAAATGCAGTTGAGCACATGGGAGTATGGATAGCGGTACGCATACCTTCAACCACTGCTTTTCTTCCTTCGTGAGCATACTTTCTTTGACCATCCGGGTTTGGATCGGAACACAAGTGAGGCGCTCGAAACCAAGCCAGATGTCCCCGTTAAAGTTGCCTCTGGTCTATGAAAATGTCAGCGAGAAGACACGAAAAAAGTCCGTTGAACACACCTTGAACCTCCGTACAATGAGAGCGGATTCAATCCGCATTCCCCATTTTCCGACATTGTCTGACAGAACCCAATTACTTCAGGACATTTTAGAACGTAAAAGGGAACGCACAGAAACCTGGCTCATTCGTGACTACATGCCCAGGAACAAGTGGGACGTTACTCGAGAAACCCTGAGGACCTTCGTGCACAGTCAGGAAGGAGCCAAACCCGTGCCCAGTTCCATGCTACATCGCACAGAAAAATATGAAGTAAGTACAAAGTAAAGTGAATGAACAAGCTACACACGAGATAATTCAAACCATCTTTCCAGAGTGCTCTGCGGGCAAGAACATCCAGCTGATGGCCGGATGTACCCTCTGGGAACACCGCACTATCTATGGCAATCTGGAAGAGAAGAGGGTATTGAGTGCGTGAATAGAAAAAGAAAATCGAACACGGCTTACATGCCCCTGGAGTACACGTGTATAAGCCTCGCATTGCTCAGGATCTGGTCGGCCGAAATGTACTGTCCTGGTGGTATCACATGTACCATCCAGATATTGCCCGCCAGAATCACTAAAACAAACAATCCAGGTGAGAAATCATGTCAATCGTACAGTAAACCTCAACAGGAGGCACATTGAGAACTGCAATATCACTCACTTGAGATAAGGAGCATTTCTCGAAATCATTTCCGTTTCATACTTCTTAGGCGAGTAATGCGGGAGAGCCGCATTGGGACCAGAAGCAGATATGTTTTCGTACGCAAGACCCATAAAGTGTTTAGCTTTGCGGCGAAATTCAGTAAGCCGATGAGCGGCTTCCCATTCCGTGATATCGTAACCTTGGTTGACTTTATCATCCAACCAGGCGAGAAAGCGAACCTGAGTACAAGGATTGGTACATTTATGTTGACGACTTATCGATGAGGTACTCACGTAGCAAACTCCATCTCTAAGATACGCCCTTCGGAGACCTTCCAGCTCGACTTCATTCTTGAGCGCCATCATATGTTCGACATAGGAAGGAAGAACTGTACACCGCATGTGTGTAAGGACAAGGAAAACAGTATACGAGGTCTGAGGGGATATGATGATCTATGTAGAAGTAATCACTCAATCAAGAACCACTGACTAACGTAGCATAATCAAACGAACCTTGCCCTCGCTTTTCCATTCCCGCTTCCTTAAAAATGACCAAACATCAACGTAGTCTCTTCTTTCCACACCGATGTTTTGAAGATAGGCGGCCACCTCATCGGAGACTTTGGATTTTTCGAGGAACAGGACGACATTATCCAGGCCTACGAAAAGGTATGCGTGAAAGAGGGGGTTGTATGGGATGTCTGAGCCACGCATGTTAAGCAACCACGCTGAGCAGGATGAGAAGAAAGAAGAGTTCAGCGAATTGAAAACACGAAGAGTTATTATTTACCGATAGCATCCAACGATGTTATGAGTGTGGCAATGTTGATCTGTGAAGGCTTGGCTTCCTGGGACCGAGAGTACTGAGAAATATCTGGGGGCTGCGACTTGATCCAATCCCTGACTCGACGAATCTTGGAAGTAGCATCTTCGCCTACCATAACGCGTCAGTCGTGCAGCACAATAGCATCGGATAACAAAAAACTCACCTGTAAATTCAATCGGATGCAAGAAGACTGGCTCTCTCGACTTTGGAGGTTTATCTTTCCAGACGAGGTCGATCAAGTTTTGGATGGGGTATACGAGCTTTGATCCACGGCTGGCCAATTTGCTGTTGACAAGCACGGCCTTCTCATGTGAGATCATACGTCCGTCGATACCAATACGAGAATTGGATATCCGAGGATAATCCTACAGGTAAAGCACTGAGTTCCATAGCAGGTATTATTTCAAAAGGCACACGACGTACCACGAGCCATTCTATCCAGTCCTTCGGGTTCCCAGGACCGCCTGCTTTCACCAAGGTCCAATGAGAATCAAGCTGGTTCTGAGCTTGGATCCAGTATCTGGAGTCTGTAATCAGGTAGGCGGCATCCATCGTTACAATAGCCTGGCCAGCGGAACCCGTGAAGCTTAATGAAATCATCAGATGACCGTTCGTCTAGTCGGACATGCGAACATACCCAGAAATGAACTTCCGCCTTTGGTCACTCGCGGACACATATTCTGATCCGTGAGCATCTTCACTGGGTACGATACTAGAAAACTCACATGAGATCGAATAATAAGGACAGGAAAATTTACTTACTACATCTGAAGTGGTTCCTTCTCCTTCTCCATCAAGTTTCGCAGTTCGTTTAGTCGATCAGAAGTATCGATCCGTTCCGTTATAGACTCCTCCGGGTGCAGCTTTCGTTCCATAGCCGAACCAACGAGAGTGCTGGACGAATCCGTTGGTCCGTCAAGGCGTGGTCTCATCGGTTTGATAGTTCCATTAGAGCGTGAACTGTGATGAGACCGCTGAGAAGGCCGACGACTGTTTTGAGTATCTTGAGTGTTCTGTGTTGATCGACTGTTTTTAGAACTGTGGCTTTGCATCGTATTTTGGGTATCCCGGGTATTGCTACGTGCCAAAGTCTGTGCAGGATGTGCAGTATGTGCAGTCGTTCCAGTCATACCAGTCATCTTGCTGAACTGTGTCGTCTTGGTGTTGCTACGCACTGGTGCAATACGTGGCGACTCGTACATTGGGAGATTAGTCCCAGATAATATCGAGGGTGACTTTTCGGCCATTTCTCTCTCGGCTTCTGCTTCCTTCTCCTTATTCTTCTTCCCGATACCCCATCCATAGCCCCATTTCGACTTCTTCGAGCCGGTCATCGTGTTAGAGCGTACTAGTTTGGGTTTATCCTTTTTGCCTTTACCTGAAGGTAGAGTCGGAAGAGTATCAGTCGGTATATCGTCGTACTTTTCTGAATCCGAGTAGAATGTGAGTGCGTCAATATCTCTGGAAGGTGCGACGTCTCGTTTGACGGGAGTTGTTCCTTGTGAAGAATATGACTGGTGTCTCGAGAGCTGAGAAGCAGTGAAAGAAGAACTGCCGGAATACGAAGAACTTGTGTACGGACTTCCGCCTGGCTGAGCACTGGAGAAAGATAGTCTTCGTCGTGGTTTATTCCCAATGAAGGGAAGACAGATCGGAGGAGGCGGAGGAGGCGGCGCAGGCGCCATGGCGGTAAGAAGTAAAGGTGCGAATACCCTGTAACAGCCCTGTAAGCCGTAGAATCCTGAAATCACTGTCACATCCACGAGGCAAAAATAATAAATTTGAGCTCGGGCACGTGCCTAGTTTCCTTTTTTGAAAAAATCTCCTGATAGCTTCCGTCCGATCGCAACGATCATCCTCCTTGCACACCCCGCTGACGTTGTTCAACGTTTAAAATTTAATATCCAATGTTCAAATTTTGAATACCTCCTTCGAAGTTGTTCGCTTTGAAATGTTTCTGAAATTATTTAGTGCGTATATCTCTTTCATCGTGTCATGAAATTAATATCTATGTTTTCCTCACTTTATCAATCACTCACATGCAGTTTCTACGGATAACTGTTCCGAAAACACTTTGATTCTCTGCGCAGTTAAGGTGCGTGCGAAGCGTAAGTCTTAATCTCAATCCGAATGGATCGAAGTCTACTACTCCACAGATAGCATGATTTTACTGTGACCCCACTTACGACGTTCTGAAGTGCCTACATCAATACTGAACACTTTCATTTCATCGTCGCCTCTTCGAAAAAGGAAGTCTTAGCAAATATCTCAAACGAGCATGAAGTTCGGAAAAAAAACGATGGTGTGCTCAATGCTCACAGCGCGAAATCCGCGTGTACAGCATAATCTAGAACAAAACTTGGACACAAAAGGACCAGCTGAGGTCATGTCAAATTGAACTAGAATTTCGGAATTTGCACCTGGGTAAGAACTTAATTCGAAAACCATTCGAGTGCTAGCGTTGCTCGAACACGAGGCCAGACACCAATAGCAATGTTTTTGTGTCGTGGCTGCTCATGGCTGATGTCCGAGTGTCCACGGCGTGTACCTAGAATTCACTCAGGCTCTCGACAGACAGCGACACATCGATATCTCAGAGATCCAGAACTAGTCGCAAGCTCCGCCGATCTAACGGGATTGGACCAATTCGTACAGTGAGGTGCAATACCTCCCACTTCTGGAAACGTTTCAAGTAATTAAACCCCTCCCTCTCCTCTCCCCCCAACCAATTGTACTACGCAAATCCTAGGCAGAAGCGAGGGGTGACGCTAACCTGTTATCATATGCCAACGCTTTCTTTACATCCTGGCGTTGTGTTTGCCCTTGACCCCGAGCGGAGTATTATAGAAAACGGAAATTTCTATCAAGTAGGAGCGGAGCTATGCGATCGAGCCTCATAGCGTAAGTTGAAAGGATCCTTAAATGGAGATTGACTTTAGAGGAAGGTGTACATATCAAGCTCATTGCTTAGTCGATCGTCACTTATCATGAAATATGCAGCTGAAAACCCTATTATCCGCTATCTACCACATCGAGAAAATCTTGTTGCTCTAGTAGGTGGGTGAAATATAGCCCATGTCCCATGAACTCGCAGGAGGCCGCAACGCTTGCGAGAAATCTCGGCTCCCTAGCTATAATTACTCTCTACACCGCTGTTTTTATTGCGTACTCTGAACGATGGCAAGATCGATGGGCTGCTCGGGTAGGCTAAGTTCCGCTTAGAATGATTACGGGTATTGCTTTATAGCACCTTCATAAGATGATCAAGTTCTCCATGCCATCAACCCCGCAACGCGCGTCTACTACTGCGAAGAGTAGTAGAGCAGTAGTAACTGCCATCGGGGTCATAAGCCCTGAGGTTATACATCTTGTATCTCTGTAGCTTCACCCCAGAGGTCTCCGGATCTCTGTAGAATTATTTACTAGGCAACTCCAAGAGTGAGCGGATAGTACGTGAACCAAAAGCATCGCTCATTACGGAGCTTAATTTCCAGCGTGATATAAAGCCTCAGGCTGTACAAACCCACATCAACAAATCATATAGTCCAGGGGATGTCATCTGCAACTACCAACTTGAATCAGGTCAGTAGAAGGTTATAAGCAGGATACTCTCGATATTTTTCGGACTAACAAACGCAAAATGTCAAGAGTGTCCTATGTATCTGGGAAGAATAATGTTAAGTAGACCGTATACACTTTCCGCCTTGAACGCCCTTGAACCCTTCTCCGACGACACAGGACGGACATCCAACAGGCAGAATCAAGGCAGCACACCAAAATTGTTCCTGAAATTATTACGTTGCCGCCGTAATTCGGATACCCATCCGGTTCAATATACCTTGCTTTGGCCGGCACATCATAGGTAACCGCAACACAGGTGTTCCAAAGCATCGAGGCATGCCTTGACTGTGTGTCAGAAACACTGCCTCACTGATCATGCACATGGGATCGTATCTATTGGCCCAGGAGACCAGCAATTCAAAAGGATCTTGTCAACCCACACAACGCAAAAACAGGATTCAGGAGCCCCGCCAAATGGCTCGACGTATCAAGCGAAGGTGGATGGAATAGAACCATGGAACCAGCTGAAAGCGAGGATTCCGAGAATTCCGTAGAAACAAGTTCTCAAACCTTTCAATCCAATCGAGAACGCAGCGGGTCAGATATTTGGGTCATCTCCGGTCGGTTTTTTCGCCTTTCGGTAGAGAAATGTTTGGGGTACAAATTGAAAGAAAACATGTCTTAACTTTGGGGTGACGATTTTGAAGAGACGGTTACAGTGAGGCGTATTCGCAGAACCTGCAGCTTTGGCTGAGTGATTCTCTCAAGACAAAGTTTCGTAGCGAAGTTGATTTTGGAAATTCGTATCAGTGCAGTACGAGAGAACAAAAATGCTGAAACATTGCTCACCACATTCTTACTATGTATATCCATGGACACCTGCCATTGACGGGTTGAAGATTTTGCACCCGAACTTGCATCTTTTAAGAAGTTGAAAGTGATTATTGATGCCTCGAGACTCGAGTCGAAGCACACTTCATTCTAGCTCATTGTTACATCTCCAAAGAGGTGTTACATCTGCACCATAGGACTATCCATTCGCATAGTGGGTGCGGAAGATACTGAAACATTCAACGGAAGCATGTGGACAAGTGCAAGCTCTGATTAAGATTCAGGAAATACAGCGACAGACCTCGTCCCGTTACTAATACCACGCTATGAATCCCACCACAGCACGAACTTCGAACATCACCAGTACTATATACACATAAGAACGCAGAGTGCCAAAATACCAATCATCTCCGGTCGGTCTTCCCGTTTTTGCGCTTTCCGGCGAAAAGATGTTTTGGCTTGAGAAGGGAAGGAAGTCAGGATTTCGAGTAATTTAACGAGGAAAGGGGATGAAAAGGCGTACCATCTTCGTCTTAATCGCACGATCTGCCTCACCAGCTTTGGCTTGGTAATTTCTTGGCCGTTGGGCAAAGTCTCGTAACTTGATTGCTTTTGATGCTTGCTAGACGTCGGAGAGAATGATCAGTATGATGCAATGTCAGAAAAATATAGGAAAATACTCACCCCTTCATCACGCATACCCATGAGCTGCCGATTCGTTCTTGGCGCCCTCTTATTAACAGATGCAACAGCGGTTCCAGAGTTTCCTTTCGTCCGTTTCAGCTGCGGTGGTTCCTCTCCATCCACGTCCATCCAAGCTTCTTCACCATCATCGCCTCCCTCACCCTCTGCATCATCCATCTCCACATCACCATCCTCCGCGTCTCTAGGTCTCTTCCGCTTCACACCAGCAGCCTTGGCCAGCATCTGCGCTCGCTCCGTTATCCGCGATGGATCAAGCCCGGCCTTCGTCAACGCATCTGTCATCTCAGAAAGAGTGCGTAGACCGACTGTACGTGGTAAACGAGCTTGGTTCTTTTTGGACTTTTTGATGGATTGGGAGTGGATTTTGTGTGCGAGATCCTCTTGAGCTTTGGCAGCGAGTAGTTCGTCGTCGGAGTCGGGCTAGGGAACAACTTTAGCTTCGGTGAACAAAAACAAAAAGATAGAATATCCAAACCATGTCGTCGTCATCACTGGCATAGAACCCTTCCGCTTCGAGTTTCTCTTCTTCACGCTCGAGCGCCTCAAGCTTCTCAGCAATATCAGGATCGATGAAATCAGCTATGTTTTTACCATCCATGATTTCTGGTATCACGTCGGTCTTCCAGTCAGGATTTGCCAGAAGGTAGTCCCCTACATAAGAGGAAGGTCAGCAAGTACAAAAGGGGGAATAGAGTCTAGGACACTCACGCTTAAGGTTGATGTTGAACACTCCAGCACCACCTTCCTCCACTTCGACATCCTTGAGCAATTTTCTCCTATCAGGATCATTTTTATCGTACTTCTTCCTCTCCTTTATCGCGTCAGGAATGAACGGCGTCCTGACGACATCGTCTCTTGCTTTGGGCTGAGCGACATGTATTCTGTTGATGATCGTGTTGATCTTGCTGCCCTTAATTTTGTTTTCAACACGGGCAGTGAGCAATGCGTCGCACGCTTTGTTTTTCAGATCCATGACACCTTCTTCAGAGTAGCATGAGACTTGGACGCATTGGACGTCTTCAGAGTCGATGATTTCTTGTACAAGGGCACGGGAGTCGGCGTTCAGGTCCTCAAGCCGTGTAACGTCGATTTTATTGATGACAAGGAGAGTAGGCTTGCCGTTGAACAGCGGTTTGATCGAGTGGAACAATTTACACTTGAGGAAAAAGTTGAGATAATATACCGGACTAGTCAGAGGAAAGTTTAACATACCTGCGCTTCGACAGTATATCCACACTGTTCACTCAAATCCATGAAATATAACACACAACTTTTCAAGTGCGCGAGAGCAGTGATACTCTGCATCTCAATAGTGTTCATATCCTCCAGCGGGTGATCTAGGATACCCGGCGTATCGATGACCTGCCACCGAAGATATTTGTAATCGAGGTGACCGACGAATAGGGACTTGGTAGTAAATGCGTACGGCTGAACATCGACATCGGCACGGGTGACCTTGTTGATGAATGAGGACTTTCCGACATTAGGGTATCCACAGATAAGAAGAGTTCGAGTATTAGGATCGATAGCAGGGAGACGGGAAATATGTTGGCGGACTTGCTCAAGGTAAGCAAGCGGATCTTTTTGTCGACGCATGATGGTAGCCATCCTACAGATTTTGAGTTTATAATTCTGAAAAAGGAGAGTGGTCCATACCGACCGAGAGCAGCCTTCTTAAGCTGCTTACATCTGTATAAACTGTCTCCAAACTTGAGCAGTCGGACATAATCTTTTGCAACATGGTCGATAAGATGCCGTGCTGTTCGAAGCTGGCCCAGCGCAAGTTTATAGTGATTCTTGTCATATAAAACGTTCATCAAGGATGACAAAAAAGGATGGAGATCCTGAATAACAATATCAGCTTCAAGTGACGAAAAAACCAGACTGCATCGTACGTCTAACATGGGGAACTCTGTTAATATTGCACCGAGCTTTTCATCGAATGAATCCTGCGTGAACTTGACCTTTCGCATGTAGAAGTTCCGTATCCGGCTGATTTTGAAGTTTTTGTGGATAACCTGGACGATTTTCAGAAACAGGATTCATTGAACTATAAACTATTGAGGTATGCACCGTAGGCGTCTTTCGTTGTGTTTTGGACAACACGATATCCAAAAAATCGGCCGCAGTCGGAACTGGGGCAATCGCCTTCAAGCCGCTCGATGTCATGTTGATCTTCGAAACCAATGTTGAGGGAGAGGAAAATGGTTGCAGCGAAGGGGCAACGAATTTTTTTTCTAATCAAGTTTCGCACGATTGCACCACGGCCTCCGACCTTCCGAGTTGCAAGCTGGCAGTGGAATGCCCATTCCTTGAATCATACTCACTTATTTGTCGAAAGCACAATTTCAATTGGTCAAGTATCAATATGACAGGCTCGAGACTGTTCTCCATTTCTCTTCGCAATTTTACACAATTCTCTGTTATTACCATCAACATACAGTATCATATTGAACTCCGGAGCTATCTATTTCAAGGAACTGAGCTCCTGCTAATTTTCATCGCAACAGCCATGTATTGAGCACCAAAAAAGGACTTTGAGAATGTCAGACCAAGTACCTTGCATAACTAAATCCAGCTTATAGAAGGCATAGGAAAAGGGAATAACTTCATTGAACGTCTACCTACGTCGATATAAAAAAGTACAACAAAAGAAAAATCCATCAGACAAGCACCACCCTCGCTGACAAGTTTCCCAAAAGTCTTGACAGACTCTCGAATGAACCATGCCAAACGTCCTCGAAACTGCCCAAAGACAGCTATGTTCTCTGTAAGACGAGGGAGCGCGAATATCATCGACTGGATTTGAAGAAGTGGCATTTGTAAAAATGCGAGACTCGGTCAGTTTCTATAAAAAGATCCTGATGAGTATGTTCTAAAGAAACAAGAAAGCGGAGGGCGAGCCTTATATGGCTTTTAGGGATGGCCCGTGCGCTAACCCTAAATTGGGCATTCACGTGCTGATTCGTTGTAGACGCGCGCTTGAACAAGGGTTTCCCCACCAAAATGTGATCTGGAACTAAATTCACCGAACTATTGCTCTTCGTACAAGTAAGCAATGGAAAACGCCCCCACGAACACGCATCCTCTTTGTGAAATGCAAGGCTACTTACTTAGTAAGCTATTTAATCTTACACGTCTGTCTCCCAAAATACGAAACCTGAATTCAACTATCCTCAATTGCTAACGATGTAGCAAGATCTTCATAAAGCTTCATAAGCGACAAAGTGTATATGATACATCTATGTCAGCCCGAGCATCTATCATATTCTATCTGAGTCATGTCGTGAAATCCTTCTTAGACCACATCGCCATCTTCCTATAATTGGCTTATCTTCAACAGCGGGCAGAAACTTGGCCCCACTCCCATGGGGCACGGGGGGAGGGGGGCTTTTGTTGACTGGGTGAGTGTTTTTGTCTTCTCCCATTTTTATACGCAATCTCATTAATCAAACTCTGAAACCCAGTCGTAACGGTGCTTGGTTTTTACTACAATATATGGGGAGGGATAGGATATCATCATTTTCAACAAATGAATAGTACTCGAGATAACCACGATATAGTCTAGTCATATTGTAAGTCATCATGGGGCACTCCCTTCAATCTGTTTCTTCGCCGAACACCTCGGATAATACAAAGAAGTGCTTCATAAACGAATGGTTCCACCAGTGATTCTTTTTGTTATCACTCGGTTTCTTCTCAGGCTTCATCTCTGCCAGTGGTATGGCATCCCAACCAATTTTCCCAATCGATGAAGCGCAGTTGACGAGCGTGATCACTGAAGGGATATTTTATGGGTTAGTGCTTTCACAACCAGTTGTCGTCTGTCTAAAATATCGATTCACTCTCTCGGATATTACTCAGTGAATCATCCTTTCCTTCGTTCATGTGCATATTTGATCTCATAACCCGCGAACTACAGGAATCAACCTCGTCACTTTCTTTGCATGTATCCACGATCTCCTCATTTCGAGTTACCAGAATCAGAGTCTCCACACATTCGTACTCAAACCCCGTAAAGAAATCCACATCAACATGCTATTCGGCGCACTGTGTCTCCTGTCCTTCGCCACACTCGATTTAGCCGCTGGGATCCGACTCAACCTGAGGGTCTTTCTCTCCCTACGAGGTAACACCGTGGAGGATTTCGGGAATATATCATATTGGGTGAACGTCCTCAAGATGGTGAGCTTCGTGGGTCAAATATTTACGGGGGATAGTATCCTGGTGAGTTGATTAGGTGGATTTCTTGTTGTGGAACCCACGCTTCCGAATTCAGTGTTGACGCAATGCATTATTCTAGTTGTATAGATGTTGGGTGATATACGGAAGAAATTACTGGGTCATTGCCGCTCCCGCTACTATGCTAGCTGCCGAGCTGGGTGAGTCTTATCTATCTATCTCCGAGTATTTCCTTCAACAGCTCATTTTCCTCGGATCGTAATGTAGTTTGTGGATGCTTCGAAATCTACACCGAATTCGCCTTCGGGAGTGGTACGTCCCTTATAGTTTCCAAACCATTTGCACCGTATATCATTACGGTCATCGTGTTGACGGTATTTGTGAATATCTCTGTGACATGTGAGTTGATGAATTTTATTCTACCCCCAAACACACTGGTGCTTATTCGATATGCAGCTCTGATGATCTGGCGCATATGGTCTATCATCCACGACACCCAAAAACTCTCTCCCTCTCGTACGCGGTGCGGCCCCTTATCTGGCGCTCTCTGTATCCTGCTCGATTCCGGGTTAATGTACACAAGCTCTGCGCTGATCATGTTGGTCACATACGTCGTGTCCAACAACGCAAGTTATCTGGTCTCTGATTGCGTAAGTCCTTCGATTTTATGTATCAGAATCTTGGAAAGCGAGATTGAAAGACTTCGAACATATAGTTGGTGCAGATCATTGTGAGTTTTCTCTTCCACATCTCATAATGCCTTTTTCGTCCATATATTGTGTCCCAACGTAACCCTTCCCCACAGGGAATCACCTTCAATCTGATAATCATCCGTGTTGGACGTGGTACCGCTACGCAACCGCTTGTCGTATCAGAAAAGACGCTTTCGATGCGCGTTCCAGAACAATATTCACTGCATTTCAGAGACTTCGATGATGACCGTCAATCGAGAAGCTTCGACCCAAGTCTCTCGATTACTGCAGTTGATACGAGACTTTGTGAAACTGAAGGGATTGACCTGGCAGTGTCGCCTGTCGATGACTGTGTGGGGGAATTGACACCTCCGCCAAAGATTCACTCCGCCTCACTACTGTTAGACTCATCCTAGATGGATGGCTTTCCTCGAAGAACATGATATTCTAGATTCTTCGTAGCCTGCTCATATCGTAATGTACTCTACATCGTTTGTATTAGTCATATGTTAGAGCTTCTAGTACCATCATGCATATATACACCTGTAATATTCTTCATGACAGAATCTGGTCCGTATGCTTCCACTGCAGATGTTTATGCTATTTCATCTACTACAGTTTGAGCCATTGACATTGACTTACTTTGCAGTTCGCATTTACATACAATGTCAAAGTTGGGCCCTTATCCCTTCTTCATCTCCCGAATCCATCTCTCATCACAGCAACTGTTGCCCCATTCAAAGACAGCTGAGCACTGAAGGGCGCAACACCACAGCAATAAAGATGTGATGGTGAATGGGATGATCAATCCACCGTTGTATTCTGTTCAGTTTCCCATCTCATTGTCCATCCGGTCTGATCATATCTCGAAAGTCATGTACATACCTAGATCGAGAACTGCGGGAGACAAAGCTTTATAGCTATGGCACTCATCACATTTGAACGAGTAGAACCTTCGACTCTCTCTTCTCTAAACTGGAAAATCTTCATGAAAGTTCGAATGACATCGTTTATACTTTTACTTTGGTAAGTAAATGGTGACCGGTGACTTGTCCTTCCACTGGCATGCTCAATAATTAGCAAAAGGTTATTAGCTGCAAATGTTGTCAATGCCGCTTTGACCGAGTCCGAGTTCAATTTCAAATTGTTCTCCGAGGCGGTGACCCCAAACGAAGTAGTAACAGCAACTGTAGAGGGAAGCCCACCTCCTTTTCACATCGTCTTTTCCAACTCGCAAGTTGGTGCATTAGTGACTGTCACTCCGATGGCCAGCTACGTTCCCATATCAGATGAGCCAGATCTGGCAGGATACATTTTCACCGTGCCATCGTTAAGGTGAGTATTGCTTATCCATTTAATGACAGACGTTTGACCCATGATTCATGTAGCGTCACTGAGAACGTTGTATACATTGAATATGTCTCAAGGTCAAGACTTCCCAGCTGTGATCCACTAGTTGTGAACGATTTAAGCTTACCCTCATCTGACTTAGTGAAACCACTTCATCTTTAGTTGATACCCTTCCATTTGCTATTGTTCCAGTTGCAGTTCCTGCAACAACTAGCAGCCTAATAATACTACCGTGAGCGGATTGCGAAATCAATCGGGGACAAATCTAAGCTCACATATGCATTTTAGTACAAGTCCCCCAAGTCAAAGCGGGCTCAGCAGTTTGGAGTCATTTACCACTGGAATTACTATAGTGCAAGTAGAGCCCTGCGAAAACCTGATGAATTTCTGACCAACCGTCACGTGTAGCCCCACAATTACTATTACAGGGACAGGGACTCCCGAGTCGTGAGTTTACATTCAGCATTTTCGACACAATACTCACCTACGTTGTACGAATTAGGTCTACATCAATAGGATTACCGACTTTGACACCCTCGCTTTCTGCAGAAGCACCCAATAAATCCAAGATACCAGCCATTATAGGTGGTATAATTGGATCGCTTCTCTGTATCACAATAGCTATTCTCTCCTGGACTTTGTACCACCGGCGCCGGCGCGCCCGCCATAGAGGTTATCAACGACGATTTAATCGATCATCACGGCTAACATTATTCAACACGGGTATGATGGCGGAAACGGGATCTATGGAGATTCCTTCCGAATCTGACCCCTCCGAAGTTATTGTTCAACCTAATGCTACAGTTTCTCGGACGACCGGCTCTGTAGGGTCTTCCAAGAATTCGGATATGGATGGTTTTAACGAGAAGGGTCCCACATTAGAAGGATTGTCGCCGCAAGCCATTATCGCGAGAGCTCTGATCGAATATCGGGGTGATGTGGATGATGATGGCAGAAGTACCCTAGCGAGCACAACACGGATGTTCCCCTCCACGTCAAGTTCGAGCTACAAAGAAGGATCAGGAGAAGACCAATCTATCAATAGCCAAGAATCTGACAATTCATTTATGTATCATATTTCAAAGTGGGCACTAGGAATGACGAACCGGGTGCCCAAGTGAAAGGAGTTTCTTTTGTAGGGTCTATGTTCTGTTATTTATCTTCAAAGGACCGTTTGTGCGGGAAATAGACGGACCGTAGAAGCTTGTACCATTGTTTTGCAACGAAGTATAATAGAGCAAAAGAAGCTTGAGATCCTATTTGAAATGTTAAGGGGAGGGAGAATGTTAGAAAGAATGCGCCAGAGCAACTGAATTGCAATTGCTGTGACTCCCTTGCACGGGCTTCATGATGATCACCGTTGTCGTGGCCCAACTACGTTCAATAGTGTATGAAAACCATGTTCCTCCTATGATCTTGTTCCTTAGTCAAGTCACTCGATGACAGGATGTAATCAAACATGAAATATATATATATGAAGTTAAGATAACTCGGTGCGCAGTGTGTCGCGAAGTGACTTCAAGAAGACGGAGCAAGGAGGTAAGTTGAAGGTTCATTCAGAGTTGAACTTAGGTTACACATGGATCGATGTTCCCTTGAGTGACATTGTGCACTTGGAGGAATTACAACGAGCTGTAGATATTTGAGGGCCATAAGCGAGGGTTGAACGGAGCATTGGGGGTGGAGAAGGGAAGCTGTGCATTAAGCGGAACCTACTATTGATAAAATTGTGGCATCTCACGCTCCTCGTATATGGACCTCATATCATGGGCCCAACTTCAGATGTGCTTAAGATGATCATGTTGTCTGCTCTTCTTCTACCCGAAATCCATCTAGACCGCCAAAACTTGTTGCGTACCTTTTACTCCGAGTCGTACTTGAGGGAACCGTCCTTGCATGCAGGCAGATAACTCGAATCGTATCTTTGCTATTACCAGCCTTGGGCAGCAGCTACAAGTAGTCTTGAAGGTTTCGCGACGATTCCTAGGGAAAATTTCTGACGATTTAGATATATAAGGAAGAAGAGGGAGGAGGGACAGGAAAATTCGGAGGACCTGGATAAGAAACGAGAATAGGTCAACTTGGCGCTTATCAATAGGCGCTTATCCTTCTCTTCCTGCAAGTGGGACGAAAACGCGATCAGTGAAAGCTGGGGTTGTAGCAGAACGCCAAGGGCAGAGACATAACTAATCGTACATTCAGAGTGCGGAATAACTGACATCTCTGAGGATCAAATCCAAGAGGCCTGTACCGAATCAAGGTATTGCTCTTCACACTAGGGCAATACACACTCATGAAGGATGTCGACGTCGTTGAAGATAATCGAACCCGCATGATTTCTCGCACTGTAGTCATCGATATACTCATATATTTCTCAGAGAGACGAGAAGCGTACAGCCTTTGCATCAGGTTGCGAGTGGTACGTATCTTGGCATAATTGTGTTGAACGCGGCTATGCTGTTCACATGCCACTATTATGATCATGTGTTATAATATGTCATATGTAGTCATTTACTATATGCGGATTCCTCTGTACTTCCTTATGTAATACTGTCATACAGTTATGTATATAAACAGGCCATATCCTGTACTGGAATTCAACTCGCTTCTCTCTTACTTTTATTGCCTCACTGAGACACTAAGCTCTACTACCAGGTATGGTACTGGAGAGTGTTCCCACTACGCACTCCTTGCCTGCTCAACAGGTTATGGGCCCCGGATGAACGCTTTGCTGAGCTCTAAGCTTGCAGCGCTCTCTGGTCTACTGTTGTCATTGACGCATCTATTTGATTGCTGTCTCTGACACAGACCTTTACCTGGAACGTCGCCTCTGGTGCTGAAGTCAATATCGCACTTAACAGTGCTGATTATGACATCACCCAAGAGTGCTTGACACTGTAGATGACAGCTTGCTAGACATATGTCGCAGCTTGTCACTACTGGCAATAACATTCATGCCATTTTGTTTCCATCTGTTGTCATTGAGCGTTTATGAATTGCATGCTGACATTTTCTGTTGATTTTATCCAGATCGCAATGTCCTCTGCACTGTTTACCGCTGTTACCACCACCCTCAAAGGTGATAACTACGACACCTGGGCCTCTGAAATGGAAGCCTTCCTTCAGGCTACAGGGCTTGAATCAGCAATTACGACTGACCAACCCAGTGAACCATCTCCACTTGTTGCTGCAAACGCCGCCAGTGTTGAAGCCTGGAAGAACTATGAGGTTGTTTTCAAAGCCTGGAAGGAGATCGACACCAAGGCTATTGGTAACATTCGCCTCCGTATCTCTCCCTCCATCCGCATCCTTGCCAAGGAATACAGCGACACAGCTAAGAAGCTTTGGAACTATCTAGCCAAGACTTACAATGTCAAGAGTCTGGGCACAGTCTTTAATGACTTTGCTGCCGCTATGGCTATTAAAATTCCATACAAGCAAAATCCGCTGTCCTCTATGATGGAGATTGGCATGTACTTCACCCGTATGGATGAAGCTGGCATTGGTCTTGCTGACCACCTCGAAGCTTTGATTCTTTTATCTAAGCTCCCATCACGTTACTCTGTCGTTATCCAAACCATGTCTCAGCTTGAAACTGCAGAGCTCAAGAAATTGACCTTTGCTAAAGTTCGTATCGCAGTTATGAACGCTTTCAGCGGAGACACCATTGGCAACTCCCAACCGCAGAACGCGAACAAGTTTTTGAACGTTCATTGCAAGGGAAACGATCCCAAGTTCTCCCAACAGCAGCATGGTAACGGTAGTAACCAGCAGCAGAAGGGACAGAATGGGAACGATGACAACAAGAAGAAGCGTAAGCGTGGCAGTGGAAAGAACAAGAAGGCTAAGAAGAATGCAAACGCTGCCCAAGCTGATGCAGACTCTATGGACTTCAGTCCGATTGGCAGTACTGTTGACTTTGGTCCGGTACGTACTGATCTTACTCCTTCTGTTCAAGATGTGCGCAAGCACTCCATCCATCCTCCTTACAACCCTCCTCCTAATGCTACGTCCCTTCATCTTCATAAGAAGACAAGGATGGCCATCAAACGTGCCCGTGACATTGGCGTCCGTGTGACTGCCGAAGTCATTCGCACCCTTGAGCCAGCTGGGCATATTTCGGAGTTGGACAGTGATGATGAACTTGATCCTCCAACAAAGCGCACTCGTGCAATGTCTCCTGTGGATGATGTTGAGAATGGCAGTAAGGCTCCTATGCCGCCTCCTCCATCTCCTCCTATGGACTTTGAGGTCCCAGGAACTGCCTCTTTCGACCCTGATGAGTTGATGAACTTCGACTTGGATCGTGAAATTTTGGCAATCACTGGATTCATGGACACCATGGGGTCAGTACCCTCCTCTGATCTTGACCATATGGTATATACTAACGCACCTTCATCGGTTGCAGTGGCGAAGACATGCAAGTCGGCCTTTGAGCCTGATCTCTTGTCCCGTTTGTATAATTACCGTATCGATGCCAAGTATATATCCAATGAACATTTTTGTGTACATGACGTTTCATACTCTGTGTGCAAGAAGTGTAAGGGTAAACAGAGAAATCAACCTAAATGGTGGATGAACGACTCTGGTTGTTCTGAACACACTACCTTTGACTTGAGTGACTTCATTGAGTATGAAGACCTTGAGGAAAAAGTGCTCATAGCAACTGCAACCACAACTGCCTACATTACTGGCGTTGGGACTGTCTTGATAAATTTCAAGGATGTTAGAGGTCGCATGCATTCGGCACGAATCGCTCCAGTATTCTATATGAAGGAGTTGAGTCATCGCCTTATAGCACAAGGACGCTTCCTACAAGATGGCAAAACTGTTCGCGGCAACGCAGACAAAGTTGACTTCTGGGACAAAGACGGTTTATTCCTGTCATTTGAACCACGAACTCACAGCGATACAATCTACATTCTCAAAGATTATTCGCCACAGCCTATGGCTGTAAACCTAGTGATCCACTCAGTGGACTACACTACCATGCATCGTCGCATGGGTCATCCATCGCGCGAAGCACTCACTCAACTGAGGAAACATGCAGAAGGTGTTCCCACCTTTAGCATTCCCCATGAGGAAGATCTATGTGAAGGTTGTGCCAAAGGAAAGATGACTTTACGTCCATTTCCGCCAACTAATCGTCGGGCATCACGTCCCTTCGAGATTATTCACTCAGACCTCAAAGAATGGCCTACCATTTCGTACCACAAGTACAAGTATACGATCTTCTTCATAGATGACTATACTTCGCATGGGTTCTACTGCCACTTAAAAAAGAAGAGCGGAGCTCTTCCGGTGATAAAGCAATTCATTGCCACAGTCAAAAATCTATACGAGACTAATGTCAAGGAATGGATGTCTGATGGTGGTGGAGAATTTAGATCCAATGCACTTGATGAGTTCTTTAAGAACGAAGGTATCAAAGCACAATGGTCATCTCCTCATATCCACCAGCAGAATGGAAGAGCCGAAAGGTTTATCCGGACTATTATTGAGAAAAGTGAACCACAGCGCTTTCAAGCCTGTATTCCTGATTCCTGGTGGGAATTCTCTGTTGCACATGCTGTGCATGTGTATAACCGCACTCCTATGCATCGTCACAAATGGAAGACACCATATGAGATTTTGTACAACAAAGTTCCACGCATAGATCACTTGCGTGTCTTTGGCTGTGGCGCGTATGTCTATCTTCATGAAGAAATACGGACAAACAAACAATTGCCTAGGTCAGAACTAATGACATATCTCGGAGTTTCTGACGGTGGACACGGAAATATCTACATGCGGTCGAACAATGCCATGTTCACTGCTACGCATGCTGTGTTTGACGAGAAATTATTTCCTCGTTGTAAATCCTCAGAGCGTCATCGCTCTACGCGACTACCAGATCGCAACCCAGATCCTAAAGATCCTATTCCTCCACCTGGTGATGATGATGTTCCCATCTTTCATCAACCTACCACTCCCCAAATGAGACAGGATCTGGAGCAAGACGTTGCACCGCCTGTGCCAGCTGAACAGCCAGCACGAGATCCTAGTCCGCCGCCACAACCCCGGAATGAACAACCTCCTGCTCAAGAACAGTTGAGACGTTCAGGTCGTGTGCGGAGACCACCTACTCGTCTTACCGGTGATCCTAGAAGCAGCACTAAGCTTCCTATGGAACAACAGGTAGAGAGACCAAAGAGGGATATTCAGAGACGCGCACCACAGCCAGGTAGCTCCTCGGCTGAGCAAGAACGTCCTGAGCCAGAACAGGTTCCCGGACCTAGTACTGAGCATCCTACTCCTGAAAATGGAGAACAACCCTCTGTCACTCCCGGTGACGAAGCTAATACCCTGATCAGACTATGTCGGGAAGGGGGAGCTGAATTAATTCATTTTCTCATGGCTAAGGCCGTTCCCTTTGAGGGGGAGCTGAAAAGCTCTGAGAACGTCCGTGAATGGACTTACAAGGACATTACTCGCCTACCTAAGGCTGAGCGTGAGGAATGGCTTAAGGCCTGCCAAGAAGAGCTTGAAGCGCTCAAACGGCGTGGTACTTTTGAACTCATGGATCGTCCAGCAGACCGAAAGGTCATTAAGAACCGCTGGGTCTTTGACGTCAAATCTGATGGTCGTAAGAAGGCACACCTTGTTGTCAAAGGGTTCTCACAAATTGAAGGTCTTGATTATGACCAAGTCTTCTCTCCTGTAGTACGGTTTGAAACAGTTAGACTGTTGCTCGCCTTGACTGCGCTGAACAACTGGTATCTCACTGGACTCGATGTTCGAAATGCCTATCTATATGGTGTCTTACATGAGACTATCTACATGGAACAGCCTGAAGGTTTTCGAATCAAAGGCAAAGAGGATAAAGTCCTCTTACTGCGCAAAGCTCTGTATGGACTGAAACAAGCAGGTCTTGTCTGGTGGCGAACACTGGACTCATACATGAAAACACTCGGCTTTAAACGCTTGAGCTCTGATGCAGGTATCTTTGTCCGTCGAGGTAAAGATGACTCTCTAGTCATCGCCATCATCTACGTTGATGACGCACTCTTCGCTGGACCTGACAAGAAACTCGTAGAGTCCCTTAAAGGGAAATTCATGTCACACTGGGAATGCAGAGATCTTGGTAAAGCCAAAGAATTCCTTCGCATGCGGATTAATCGTCATGGCAAAAAGATCTATATTGATCAATGCGCCTACCTTGACAAAGTCCTTAAGCGTTGCGGTATGGAAAATGCTAAAATGGCTGATACACCACTTCCTGCAGGGTTCCAACCCGAACCCACCAAAGGCCAGGCGGATTCCGCTCTTCGTAGCAAGTTCCAAATGGTTATTGGTTCCCTTCTCTACCTTATGTTGGGCACACGTCCCGACATCTCCTTCGCTGTTACCAAGCTTGCACAACATGCAGCTAACCCATCTCAAGAGCACCTTAGCAAGGCACTCTATATTTGCCGCTACCTCCTAGGTACTAGATCATATGCACTTTGCTATGACGGTGAATCGGGTATTGGTCTCAGCGCTTGGACTGATTCGGATTGGGCTTCCGATCCCTATACACGCCGGTCACAGACTGGATTTTTTATGAAGCTTGCCAATGGCATCTTCTCTTGGACCAGCCATGCGCAGAAGACAATTGCTCACTCGTCTACAGAGGCTGAGTATATGGCATTGTCTGATTGCAGCCGTCAAGTGGTTTGGATCCGTAATCTACTTGAAGAACTAGGCTATAAGCTTGATGCTATTCCTATTGCTGGAGACAATCAAGGATCCATTTTCATGGCATCAAATCCTGTCACTAGCAAGCACTCGAAACACATTGACATCCGGTATCATTATATCCGTGAAGTTGTCGAACGTGGCCTTGTGCAAGTATTCTTCGTAGATGGTAGTAACAACCCTGCAGATCTTTTCACAAAGAATCTTGGGCGTATCAAATTTGAGCTATTCCGCTCAATGCTTGGACTTGAGTTCTACTCGTCCACCAATCCTTAGGCTGTCTGTCCTGTCTGACGCCTACCGCTATTGCTTTGAGCAAAGTACTTTACTGTGCTGCTCAGCAAGGGGGTGTGTTGAACGCGGCTATGCTGTTCACATGCCACTATTATGATCATGTGTTATAATATGTCATATGTAGTCATATGTAGTCATTTACTATATGCGGATTCCTCTGTACTTCCTTATGTAATACTGTCATACAGTTATGTATATAAACAGGCCATATCCTGTACTGGAATTCAACTCGCTTCTCTCTTACTTTTATTGCCTCACTGAGACACTAAGCTCTACTACCAGGTATGGTACTGGAGAGTGTTCCCACTACGCACTCCTTGCCTGCTCAACAAATTGTTCAATCACCTTGCTTGCATAGCCTTTTCCATGTCAGTTACGAGGCTGTAAGGTAGAGCTCATGCAAGTTCCGCACACGTCACCTGACCGGTGTGACATGACCTTCAAAAATTAATAGCGGCCGTTTGTCGACATATATAGAAAATTGGCTCCCAAGGAAAGTTCTGCTGAAGGGATCCAAAACTTTCTGTGCGAACCGATTTCGAGAAGGCGGAACTAGGAGACTGCTATTAATTTTTTTGTCGATCAAAATCTATCAAAATAGCAGTGGGTCACAGTCACCTGACGTGTGCGGATCTTGCTTGAGCTCTACCTTAGTTTACGGAAGTATTGTCCTTATGTACGGTACTCCATACAAAAATTATTTCCCTTTATAGCAGTAGTTTCACCTTATTTGGCCAAATGTAACACTGAGTTGAATTGTATTGAATTCTTGTGACCGGCACGGGATATCACGGGACTGTGACTATGTCACAATTATTTTTTCTCGTCTCACAGTCCGAGATAAGTCTCTAGAGGAGGCTTATCAGAGGATAAGTCAGCCAGGTGGTGTGAGTCGGTCAACGCTGGTTTGGCGCCTATCTTCTCACATCTGACTCCCACCGCCAATTGGAGTTTTCACATAATTTTCGCCACCCACCCACCCTCACCGATTTAGTTCTCCCAGTTGTATGCTACTGCTTTAATCCCCGCGTGTACTTTTATCTCACATATTCATCTTCTGCCCACCCGCGCGGGGCTAAAGCCCAGCCAAACCTCCTCGCAAGTATTATCTATCACCACTTTTACTTATTCATTCAATTCAAACTGAACCTCAGCCTGACTTATCCTCTCACTCAGTTACTCCCTGTTACTCTCATGTAATTCATGTAAATTTGCTTTTATTACATTCTTAAAAAACATTCAATGTTGGCGCCTGTAAGGCACCCCGTTTATTTGATTCCATAATATTTAATAACCCCCAAAAAAGGAGCTGAGTTTTTGCCATGCACAGTGGTGCAGTGGCCTGCAATCGCATGTTCGTTTAGCGCGCGTGAAGATTTTACACCCTTCCTAAGATCCTCTCCCTTATTTGTTACCTCAGAAATTCTTCAAGATAATCACACACGGCTGCACAGGGCTGCACCTTCCCACTGCCGTCGTCCCTCGGTTTTGTGTGTAGGGCAGTTGTTCGCCCTCCTTCGCCTCCTTCTACGGTATTTCTTTCAAAAACCGGTGCCTTCCCGTTGCCATCGGTACAATTGGTTTGATGCATTCGGTACTTATCTTCTTCTTCCGTTCTCCATCTCCCAATACACCTAATGGTAGGTTGTATCGTCGAAATAGGTCTCGGAAAATGTGACCAAGCAAGGCGTAGGTCCTTGCAGGGGTACACTGGTAACTCACTGGTCAGTTCGGGAACAAGGTACTAACTGGTGCTAAACCCCGACGGGAACTCGCTTCTCCTCGTTCTTCCGATGGTAGTCATATCGTAGTAGTATAAATGTTTTGATGTTTTCGTCCTCTTTTCTTCCTCCCTTTTTCACCTGCTGGTCAGAAGAAAAAAGTCTTTTATCAGCCATGAAAAACCTTCGCTACATAGTAATTCTCATCCTCAGTATCTCCACCCTCCACGGTTCACACTCGCTGCCCGTACATTCGGTGATTGTTCATCTGCAATCGAGATCTAAAAATGTTGCTACTCATGGATATTTGTAGGAAATTGCTCTGAATTCACCTCCACAATCCATGTCAACCAGCCGGCCTTCACCAATGTACCCGTCACCTGTATGTACTCTGCCCCAAAAGTGCTCTGGTAACAAAATTCTCATCGTCTATCCGCAGTACAACTCTCCGACCATTTACCAATCATCAACGGACATGTTCGTATCACTCCTCAAGGTTTGTCCAATTTTTTTCTAGTTCCAATTCCTGTTTCATATATACCACCTTTTGCTATTATCATCAACATCCTCTCTGAATGAACAGGATGGAACGCTCAAGCCTTTCCATAATCCAACTATTCTCAGTGGTGGAAATGACAAAAAAGTTTTTGGTAAGCCTTATCTCATTGTAGAACTGTTTTCATACCCTTCGAATGTCTTATTGCTTTGGGCTTCACATCATGATCAGATAGAAAACTGGAAGGCATTAGCTTCGGTCCAGAAATTGAAGGAGGGTCCAACAATTATGGTTTATGGGAAATCAGTGACTATCAAGAGAAACCCAAGCACAATCTCCTTGCAAAATTCTTCAAAGAGTCAGGTCCACAACCATTTGGTGAAGTCAAGGCCCTCCGGATGATGGGTCTTCTAGTTGCTTCTGGTATGATCAGAGATCCCCATCCTGATGGAAGATCACTTCCCCTTCCCGCATATGTATACTCGCCAGAGCAAGGATACTAGCTGGAGAGCGCTCTCCAGCAACGAAAGCACCCAAAGCAAAAATCAAAGCCTGCTCTGGGTGCTTTCACTGCTGGGAAGTGCTCCCAAGTGCTCTGAGCTGCTTTCGGCTATTTAGCCGAACATACAGGTTTTGCAGATGTGCTATTATCATGGAAAAGAAGGAAGGAGTTCATTTGATGAATACCATTGTCTACAAGCTTGCCACCTTCCAGGAACACATCTGCAAAACCTGGATGTTCGCGAGAGCAAGGGTACTAGCTGGAGAGCGCTGTCCAGCACTGAAAGCACTCCCAGCAGTTTTTCAGTACTGCTGGGAGCGCTTTCCCAGCTGGACAGTGCTGTCAGCTGCTTTCAAGCTCTTAGCCGAAAATCCAGGTTTTACAGATGCAATGTAGTATGGTTGAACAAATACATGCAATGATGTGCAGGCAAGCTGTTGAAGATGCAGTCAGGTTCAAGGTTTATCACCAGTAAGTCCAACCATTAGGTTTGCATAGCTGCAAATAAATCTGAATATTCAAAAACACTGTTTGCAAGTGATAACAACCTCTCCAATGCACTCCTGACATTTCTCGACAAGGAGCCAGTGAAGCTCATTGATTTCATTAAATCCTTGAACGGACTGGAGCTTGTAGACTACGGTGATGCTTACTTGGTAATGAAAGATGTATCTAAGGAAAGATTGGTAAGATCCATTACAAATTTCACAGTGTCTATCACTAACATGGTCTCAGTATGATGCATGTATGAACAGGAAGAAATTATGATTGTGCAGCCAAGGGGGAGTTCCAAATCTTTGGATGCATCCTGAACATGTTTTGTCTGTAGCTATGCATTGTGAGGAATTGTTTCCTGGGCAAGGTTATGAGGTTGAAATGAATAAGAGCAAGAAAAAAATTGTATTCAGGAAAATTGAATATAGTCAATGGGAGTAAGATTCAACTAGTATTCATTATATAGATTTATATATTTCTCCTTGTGAATGGTTTAAATTTCCTCAAAGAACAAAAGCTTCTATCTTCTCAACTGTGATTGATTCATTACTGAGCAAGTTGGAATTTTCTCCGTGATATTTTTGTTGACTCAAGTCTATCAACTCAAATCATGGATTCATAGAAGTGTACATAGAGAGTTGACAAAAGCTGGGAATACAGTACTAGTATGGTACTTATTTCCATTGAAATTTGACATGGCATCCGGAGCAATTCCTCAGGCAACTATAAACATCAAGAATATCTGTTGAATCTCAGTGATATTTCAATAAAACATCCCGAAGACTTTTTCTGGATTTGGGAAAAGTTGAACCTAACTCAGGAGAAATTTTGTTTGGGATCCATATTTCTCCTAGTACCTGAGTCAGTGACAGAGAAGGAACAAGAGTCACTGGCTCAGGCACTCTGTGGACCACAAGGACAGATGATAAGCCAATGTAAAAAGGATTATCCTTACTGTAAAAAAATACTTACCTGGATAATAGATTATCAGCAATACCCATATGGTGCAGCCAGTGTGTACCAGTACCAGCTATCAAATTATGGGTTCCCCCAGAATTGGCTAGCACTGGCAAGCACTGGTGGGAGGCCACTGGAGTGGCCTCCCATTCATACAAGTTTTCCTGATGAGCTATTTCTTCCCTGGTGTCACTATCTTCAGAATCCTCGATGGGACTTTCACTTGGGCTGCCAGGTGAGCCTGAGGTGACCGAAGCCCTTGAACTAGATACAGCAGTCGTCCCAGCCGAAGATTCAGAAACGGCATTGCGAGTTGAAAGGGGTTTTTCGATCTCCTGGATTAGGATGTCCTGAATTCTTATCACAGCTCTCTCAAGTGTTTCCTTTGTGTCTTCTTCGATCCCCTGTATTTCGGGAATTGACCATTGGTTATAGAGCTTCCCGTGGCATCCGCGAGTTCTGAGACCAGAAAATACGACAAGAAAGGTTTTGCACATGAAGCAGGATCGTTTGCTACACCCCATGTACTGAACAATCTCATCAATGGGAATATGAGCTTGAAGTAGGTATCGTATTATTTGGAGCTCAGCGTGAACATGAAGAGATTTACTCTGGCGGTGATCGAACATCTGCTGAGCACCTGGAACTGTGTAGGTCCGGGATATATATCTCTCGACCGTGGCAGAGTTGAGAGATTGATGAATTAGCTGCAGCGTACTGGAAAGGCTTGGCAGTGCACAATTACTAGGTTTGACTTCGTCGCTCTGGGGGATCAGAACGACTTTTACGGTGGGAAGTATTTGCGCAATCTCGAGAAAAGTCCGGTGAGCCCTTTGAAGCCGTGCAAAAAAGCCAATCACCCTCCACAGTCGACTGCCACTGTTCCCGAGTTGGTCTTGGATCAGTCTCTGCGCTGAAGGGGTGGCATGGAGCCGAAGTGCCAAGTAACAAAGGCGATGAAATTTCAGCGTACTACTTGGGTGCCCCACAACATTGAAAAACGAGTCGAGCAACTCCTTCAGATCCTTATCATTAATAGAACTCGAGATTTGACGGAGTGCCCGAATTGTCAATGCCAATGTTAAGAGTTCCTTGTTGTAATGGTTGAGGCGGGGTAGATAGTACTCCAGGAGCAGGGTCCATAGTGAGGCGCCTGAAACGCGAAGAATCAAGTCGAGAAATTAGCATGGAATACGTCTCGTACCTGGCTCGTCTACAGTGTGTTCACCTACAAAAAGTTTGCGCATTTCTGCAGAAAACTTGTCACAAAAGATTCTATCTTTTTCATCGAATCCATCATTGCGCGAAGCATAAACTACCACGCAGTCCTCGTACTCTGTCATAACGGTGCACGTCACATATTCAACACCCTTTCTGTTGGAGATGACCTCTGCAAGGCGATCCAGGAAACGCTCTTTCAAATGATTGCTCGTAGAGGATGAGTTTGATCTGAGGTTCGGTCGTTGAAAGATAGCATTCGAGAATCCCATGGTTGGTGAGTGATCGCCGATGCTGGGACTATCTAGTTCGGGTTCTAGTTGGCGTCCGTTTCGTAGAGACAGCAAGGTAATGAGAGCATTGAACTCTGGTCTTCTCTGAGTGGAGGGGAATCGTGAGGCCATGGCGTGAAAACGGATGTGCGAGAGAATGAGCATCTCGTTATTATATGTATGCAGGCTAGGAAGGTTCTTATGATTAGCTTCTACTCGTGTTGATCATGAACTAGACCTTTGAGTGAGAAAGTAGCATCATAATTTTATTGTGATCCTGGTCTCCTTACACAAACCTGTAATGATCTGAACCAAGGTTTGTCGGTGATTGAAACAAACTATGAAATTGCACTACCGCAGTAATGCAGGAGCTCATCGAAAAAGCAACTTCGCACGGAGGTCACTTGAAACTTCGGTATGAGAAATCTGAAGATGATTATAGAATGATACTTACCTTACATAAAAGCTGGTTTCCATAGGTATGGTTCTACGTACTCTCACAATTTAAAGTTCTCTGTCGGTCTTTGATTCGCTGGACGTTGTTAGGCACCGGTTTTGTGGGCAAGAGGAGGGTTGAACGGAATTTACGAAATGACACTTTTCACCCCACATTTTGGCGAGAGAAGCGATGCAATCCGGAGAGAGATGTGTGTTGGACACGAGTTGTTAATTGGCGGCGTCGGTTTCCTTTATGATCTCACGAGGTCACAGCCACATCCCAAAGGTAACTCTGCCAGTGTCTCCTTGCTGCGGCGGGGTTGCGGGCTGGCGATGCGTCTGATGTCGTTTCCTTCCATCCTTTTCCATGATGGCTAGCTATAGTATGTGCAAGTGCCTCCCATTGTTAATTTATACATCGTTGGGCGGAGGTGCGACAGCACCGATATTTGCCAAGACGACTCAGCTAACATTTCGAAGTGAGCAGGTCCGAGCCGGATGAGGCCTCTATTGTTTCTTCGACCACCACCACCATGCCTACGTTTACATCCATCGTTGACTTACTCTTTTCGCCATTTGAACTGGAATATCCACCTCGGGCGTATCCAAACTTCGAAAATGTGGTTTCATAGTGATGATAAGCACAAAACGGAATCTCGGTCTATCCCTAATGGATTGTGTTTTGCGTGCCCTGGCATCGCCGAACTCTGTCTATAGTGCACTCCAAACGATATATGTGCCGGAAGTCAGCAATTTTGGATCCTATGACGAAAGCTCACTGGGATTTGGAGGAAAATTTCATTGATACTGCGAAGAACCTACAGGCAAAACGATCGTCGATTCATCTCACGATGACGGAATTAAACAATTTGGGCATTCATACCTCATGAACGGAATTATTTCAGCACCTCTGCTTCCACATCTTGTAATCCTTCATTCCCACCCTTATATGCATCCTCAGAGCACTTGGACCACAGTGGAGAACCCACCATCTTTTTTCACCCATCCTTGACATTATGTTCAGGAATTGTTCCTCTTGGGAAGAACGTTGCCATGTCCTCGTGCTTGGCTTAATTATCTGCTGTCGTGAGCTTGGTAATTTACTGCCCCGCTTTGTATGTGGTTTTTCGTTTCTCAATGACAGGTCTCACAACTCCATCTCTCTAGATCTATGGAAAAGAGTCCAAGCAGAGCTCACGAGTGGATGGATGCACAGGCGAATGCGGTGAATGGGTACAGGAACTACCTACCGGTAGTACTAACTTCTTCATCCTCAACATTATTGGTGTGTTTTAATCAGAAGCAACATGTTCCGCGCTAACCTGAATCATTTCCATAACATACATAGACAACACTGAAAATTCAGTTTCCGTCCAGCCCTTTCAAACCGCACGGCTTTCGCATCTCTGAAAGGCTCTGAAAGGCCCTCAACAAGTGGTCACTTTCTGTAGTCGCAGATCAGAGGGTGACCTCATTCCCGTAATATCTCATCAAGGAAGACGAAAATGCTGTGGTCATGATCCCTCTTGTTCCCATCTTGACGTCGACCGAGTTTTTGAAGCATTCCGTGCCAATTTCCAGCGAAAAGTATATGAAGCTCTATCCCACAGCAGATACAAGCTCCGTTCCGGCGCCTAGTACCCCTCGTCTGCCTCTGGCACCCTCTGTTCTTTCAAATCGTAGTCTTCATTTGTCAACGTTGCATACACTTCATGAATTGTCACCAAACTCAACCTAACATCCAATTCATCAAAGTGATTTGGGTTCCCCATTCTCTCTATCGACGCTCAGGTCTCTTACCCTGATGCCGGCAAGGTCTGAGAACGGAAGCGATAAAGGATTCTCTGTCTCGTTTTCATCAAGTGAGCTTATGGTACGTTAGCTGAACTGGTTCTTACATCTGCATATAAGACAATGCCAATTCAATTCTTACAGGAAGCCAATCGGGTTGTACAAGCTGCACGGCTTAAACGGGAAGCTGAAGCATTGGAATTTACAAATGATAATCCAGTAATCAACAAGTAACGGGCCATTAGTGGCAAGTCAGAATAGGTTACAGGTTCTTTAGCTGAAGATGAGTCTGGATAAAATTGGTCGCGCCATGGGGGTCAGGACAGAAAAATCATTAGAAAGTTCAAGACCGCGAGCGGCGCGAATCTCACCCTCGGATTGTCTCGGATTTCTTCGCGTAATTTACCAGTTTAGATAGATAGATAGATAGATACATGGTGCTACGCAATGGTCTGGTCCCAAGACGGAACAGCCGGTCTCGAGCTTATACTTATACATATTGTGATCCTGTATCTATCTGTCGGCTTTGGCTTTTTTGTTCTTCTCCTTGTCAATCCACAGTTTTATAATCATTGCGCAGGTATAATTCAATCATTTATGAAGTGCAAATCGATACATTCAACTTCGCTCTGGTACAATGTACAAGCCGCAACGCAACTACACAGACTGCCTACCTGTCGAATTTGGTCAGGAATAATCGATCAAGACAAGTTTGATATTGTTCTCGTTCGTAGGAATAGACACTTAGAGGGGGTATAGACTATGTATCGAAAGTCATGATTGTAACCGTGACCGACGTATCGTTTCGTTCTGCTTCTAACCGCCTACAACCACAACATCCCTCGCTTTATCCGTTCAGACTTTCTTCTCTCTCACTCCTTTGCCCTAGTCTCCCTGCACACAACATCTGCCCCGTAAAGAGCGGCCATGACCACATAGGTCTACGTGAGCCCTGTCTGAGCGATATGTTGTCGAATTATAGCTTCTCCGACTGTATTAAAAAAATAGTGTATACGTGAGTTTTAGAGTTCAGTATGTTATGTCCGGCCGAGGTTCCGTTGAATATAACAATGAGTTTGCATAAACTGACCGTTTACTATAATATTCTGTGTGGCTTTGATGTCCTGTATGACAAGATAAAGAAAGAGGGTAAGAAAGCCGATTGGGGGTCGACGATATGATTCCAGAGGGACCACAACCTACCAGCATAGAGGTAAAATGCTGTGAAAAGGGAACGAAAGATTTGAGTTGGGGAGATTTCCGACCAGATTAGACAAGAGGGATCATATAAGGAATGATTGGACGGACCAGATATAAAGACCGATTCGACACATCCTTCTTCTTGTGAACCTGCATAAAGTGTGCTCGGAAGTAGCTTGCGACGTCGTCGTATTTGTTCGGGCGCGAGCCGTATGACTAGGTAGAACCCAAACGAACAAGGAGGGTAATTGAGTCAATCGCAGCAGTGTGAGAGGAAACGCTCACAGTAATACTGTTGGTCATGTACAAGTTACCCAACGACGATGCAGTAACAATGCAAAAACAAATCACGCAGTGACAGAAGTCAGAAGCAGTGAACCAAATACAACGAAAACGAATACGCAACTATTTTTGTACCCGGATACCGGCTTTGAGTTTAGCTTTCAGCAGATCCGTCTAGACAGGGAAAAAGACCATCAGTTCGTATCGAGGAGAGATGGAGTAACAGATGAGATACAAAGAAAGAGCCTGAGGAGAGGCGAATTCATACCCGGGAAGAATAAGGGATGTTGGAAGCTCCCAAATGGGAAGGAGAGACAGATACAGAGATCGTAAGCGGAAAAGTACCTTGTTCAGCATCAGCACCAAATGTGCCTTCTTCAACAGCTTGTTCGAGCATATTGTCGTGAAAAGTTGCAGTGAGTCGTCGATCCTGAACAGAAGCAAGTCGAGGAGCACAGCGTCAGCCTGAGCTACAACTGAACAAAAGGCTGATAGGGTCAACCGGAAGACGTATGAAGAAAAAATAGAATGATAGATGAAGTGCAAGAATGATATACAGATATAAATTGGAGAATATAAAGAGAAGGATATTCGGAAATCGAAGGAAAGTGAAAACACAGGGGACGCACTAATAGAGATATAATTACTCACCGATTCGTCCGAGGATCCTCTTCTAGATACTGGTCGAAGGCTGATATTGGTGCGAGAAATATTATGGCAGTCGCTAGCGACGGGGGATGCGTAAGTTCCAATACCGTGTCCCAAAAAGAAGAATGGAACTTACCGTCTTCGAAGTAAGGAATCCATGCGTGCCGCTAAAATGGTCATACCACCCCAGGAGACAATTATTCAGCGCAATCGAAATACAGCATCGACAAACTCTCCACACACCTGACCACGCTGTAAGATGAATGAAAGGAAATGAAATGTGTTAGTCGATCTTGCAGGAGAAGTTGCGATAATGGAAATAGACAACTTACAGCACCTCCGACATCGTATAGCCGCCAATCATACATCGTGCCACCCAAATTTATGGGAAACGAGTGCTCGATAACACCGAGCGTCTGTAACCGGACGTTCAGGACATCATCTGTTGAACCAGCAAGAACATCTGATCAGAGAAGCTCGCCAGAACATAACCAGGGGGGGCGCCAAAAGGCAAAATGCAAAGTAAACGGTCGGTGATGAGGATGTGAAGAAATCGTCAATCACTGACGGTGCAAAACGAGGTATCACAATTCCACGAAGGGAGTCAAAGAAACAAGTACGGTAAACGGGGTCACAAGTAACGCGGGACAGCAAAAATTTGAGAAACTGACCAAGATTAGGTAGATAATCGGGTTCCGCTATTCGCGCTACATTGTCCAGGAAGCTGGAGGTTTACCAAATCGATGAGATGTACCGCCAGATGAGTTGACGGAATCATAGCACCGGTAGAACCGGGAGGATGGATTGCGATGTCATCGAGGGTCGGAAACAGGTCAGGCCGGTCAAAGCCAGATAGAGGGAAGAAGAAACGAAAAATGGGCCATGAGCGACAGAACTCAGCACGCGAACACGAAGAAACCAGAGATAACTCACAAAGGAGCACTTTCCTCAAGCTTCAACTTCCTCTCTTGAATTAATTCCTTGACAGAACTATGAGCCCAAAGCGCTTGAATATCCTCGCGCGAGCTATCTAGAGCTTTCGCTGCCAGTCCTGCCACACCGACAACGCTTCCTTTCCCAGCCCGTGAGCCGGGATTGGATTGTAACAGTCCCTGCCATCCAGCCCGGACGAAGACACCAGTGAGCCCTCGGGAAAAGCTTACACCACCTGAAAGCTCCGAAGCAAGTGAATCGTGCAGCGCAACGAGAGGCAACAGCCTTGTGCGCAGGACAGAAAGTGTTTCGAGTTCGTTAGCTGAGGGTCGGAAGACATGTTCTGGAGCCGCCGATGGTTGTTTAGACTTGTTGTGACGCCTATGGGAGGAGGACGAAGGACCTGCGGAGGAAGGACCGGGCTCGTTGTACTCTGGATCCGATTCCACCCCACTATCTTCGCCTTCGGGTTGGGAAAGTTCATAGTCAATCTCCTCGAGCATTGTTTTGACAGCTCTAATAATGTTGAAGTGAACGACGGGTTTCCAGAACGGTCGTTCGCGGTCCAGAGATTGGGAAGCGTAATAAATTTGAAACTAGTGCTAAATTCAAATCCCGTTCATCGTCCGAAAGTAAATCAGCTGGGCACACCTGTTTCTGTAATGTAGACTTGCCACTCTCCGCTTGGCCCAAAAGCATTACTTTGACCTGTTTCCGTCGCGCTTCTCTTTGTTTCTGAGACTCTTTCTGTCAAAGGTATGTTGATGAGAAACATGCGGTGAGAATTTCGAACGAGTGGACTGGCCCGTAATTCTTCGTCAATTAAGTTACTTATCCTCTGGGACTCCTCGTCGTAGAACCTATTTGCAGGTAACAAAACGCCAGAATCACCTTCTATAGACGCTGGTGCTGAGGAGGATCGTCCTTGAGCTATCGGGACTACAGCAGGCATTTTCCGTAAATATTCTTTTGTCCTTCCCTAGCTATATTATACAAGTTTCGCGTATAAAGTGCCGGAGAGGAAGATGATAGTTTTAAAGGAGGAAGGGAAATATGGCGGAGGTAGTTGAAGGAGTGTGAACTGTCAATACAATTTATAGTTAGCACAGGAACATTTTGATCTAAAGGACGCAATGGACGAAATACAAAGTTCAATTTCAGAATGGATGATCAAGGCTGTTACCGGCTGTTCTACTCTGATGACCATCACTGTAAGAGGAGCGGCCGAGGCTAAAGTTCCTTTCGAGCTCAATGAGCATGACGGTTTCTAGAAAACAAGGATTTCGTAATCTCAAACCGCCAGGCGCTCAAAGAATCAAACAAGTGTTTGACTCGAAACACTGCTTGATCTCGACTCGAGTCCTCCGTCCGCTTTTCTCGGAGGGAGAGCAGAGCCAAAAATTGGCTACTAACAATCAACCATCTCAACTGCTAAAGCCAAAGTCTTGACAAGCTCCATTCTTGATCGGCTTTTTTTCGCTCTCCAGACTCCGAGTCGGAAGGGCCCCCATCCAAAAAAAGGTTAGTCGAGCACCAATACTTACCTCACTCTGCGTGTCGAGTCTAATTTACTCTTCCTTTTATGATTTTTCATTCTTCGGAAAGGCATGTACCACTATACTAGTATTATCTGTCTATGGGACTCCAAGCTCCAAGTGACTCTATACACTGTCTGTTCAACTTCATGATCAAAGAGGTTGACATGGTTTTCATAAGCTGTGAGTGCGGCTTGTTGATCTGAAAGACTCAGACCGACTCTAAATGCAGTACAATGGTAACATCTCCTCGCATCCGTTAGAGATCGACGATGGAGATCACGAAGACCATACCTTGGAATCGCAGCAATTGAGCTACATAGCCGATATTGTTTCTTCAAACACCCTCCCCTCGAGAATTTACGAGCTGCTTACTTTCAAGTAGCTCAGGCTTTGTTGACAAGCGACAGTGATCTTCGTCAAATACTACAAGCCATTTACGATGTCCAGACTGAACAATCCTTCTAATATACACGATGATAAACGATAAATAACAGACAAGACAATCCCTATAAGATGAAGTCCCTTGGCACCTGGTTCGTCATTCCCAGAGCCCAATCTGAAAATTCCAATTGCTCCAATCGTTTGATCCTCGCTCTGATATGATGCCAATGTATGAGATAAGTGTCAGAGTCCTCACTCTCTATAGATTCTTCCCCTCCTTCGGATTCTTCTTTGTGACGGGAAGATAAGGAAATCATCTGCGACCTCAATTCATGGATCTTCTGCTCAAGCTCCATCTGCCGATCTGTCCGAGGAGGTGACAATCTACTTGGTCCCTTCTCGCCGTCTTCAATTGTGCTCACTAGGGTACTCCTACCATCATCGTCATCATCAACATTATCCCGATATTCACTCGAAGCTCCTGAGATGATGGCTGGCCGAGAGAATGTTTCTAACGGAGTCTTCTCGTTAGAATTATCTATGCTCGAATTCCTGGAAGACCTCATAGACCTCGACCGATGTACTGTGGCCCTAGGTCGAACAATAACTCCAAACGGGTCAGTCATAAATTCCGTTTCCTGCGTTTTCACCATCATATCTGCGTGGAACGATGTTGGTCGTGACGATGGATTCAAATTTCGTTGATCTTGTCTATGGCGGTTGTAGCAGCGGCGGTACAAAGTCCAGAGAAGACTCGCGATTAGAATAGAGACAACCAATCCAATTGCGCCGCCTATTATAGCGGGTATGTTGGATTTCTTAGGTTTTCGCGCTGCGGAAAGCGGGGAAGGCGACGCAGCGGGGACTGATGAAGAGTCCGTGGTTGATGAAGAGTGCGTGGTTGATGAAGGGTCCGTGGTTGATGGAGACTCCGTGGCAAATGCAGAGTTGTTCGACAATCCTCCACTACTGGTTGTAGTACTTCTTGCTCATGCACTCCGGGTTAATATGTGTCAAAAATGTTCACAGTAATTGTGAACTCACGAAGTACGTAGACTCGCAGTCTGAGAACTACATGTAACGGTTGGTCAGAAAATTTTCTTCGAGACGCCACAAGATTCAACTCACGAATCGTTTGTTCTAGAATCAGCGGGCATGGTACTTGTATAATCGATATGTGAGCCTGAGCTTGTCATCAAAACAATCACTCACATCATCGAGTTGCTAAATGTTATAACAACTGACACTGTACCGATAGCAAACGGAAAAGTATTAATAGAAAATGGAGTGGTTTCGCTAAATGGGCGCCAGTTTGAATCCTTCAGAGCAGTTGAATGCAGCTTAGTTCTGACCTCGAAATGTATTCAATGTACACGACATCTTCACCGACGCTACGCAAGCCATGTTAAACGTTTGTTGTTCAATGATAGGCTCTTATACGCACCTCAATGATGGCACAGTTAGGCTGAATCCTGCCCGATCCGACTCAGTTGAAATGGGAAAGTAGCTGGCGATTATAGTCGGAGTTGCAGTCACTAATGCCCCATCTTTCGAGTTGGAAAAAACTACGCGGAAGGGAGGTGGGCTTCCTGAAACTGTTGCTGTTATGACTTCGTTCGGGGTGACTGGATCGGTGATAGGTTCAAAATTGAACGGTGCGGAAGTCGATGTGGTTTCGCTGCCACTACCCATAGCCATACCCTGGGCTGCTAGGGCAGAGACGAGGTTACTCGAATCATGTGCAGCCGATAATAACCTTTGAAATTTCTTGAGCATAGAAGATTATTTTTTGCAGGTCACTGACCAAAGTGAAAGCATGAACAATAACATCGGAAGAAAGAATCGGAAGTGAGAGGACAGAGATGGTGGTTGAAAGTTGATGAGGTGCCCGCGATTCAAGTTCTCGATCTAGGTATATGATTCTCGAGATATGAATCAAACTAGATGTGCGACGAGCAGATAGGAGACTTAAAGATGAAAGATGAATACGACGGTGGATCGATCCCATTCACCACTGCATCTTCATCGCTGTACTTCCCGCTTGGCTGTTGTTTGATGATGCGGTAGCTACTCATCTGATACTGTGATGAGAGGTTGCACGGAAAGCCACTAGAGGTCCATCATAAGGACGTAGCTACGAAAATGATGGACGGGCCATATGCTGTTCACTGGATAGATTGGACCTGATAAAGTTGATTATAAGAACGTAGAAAGTAGTACCGACTACGTATGTAAAATATTTCAGTTTTGTTGACGAAAAAATGGACAGTGGGTGAAGCAGATGACCGGGTCGACGATGATGACATACACATAAATGAGTACAGCTACAAACAGGCTACGAATTAGAGCGACATTTCATTTGTCAAGCCCAACGCCCACTTTGACTCATGGAGTTTCTTCAACGTTTCCACCTTCCTATAAATTTTCTTCAGCTCCTCTTCTTTCTCCAATCCAATTGGAGAGGTATTCCCATTTCCCTGAAGGAATAACATCCTTGCCTGAAGCTGTTGAATATCCTCCTCAATGGACATTTGTCTATCAGTTCGCGGACGAGGTGGAAGTACAGGAATGGGGAAGAGGGACCCGGTACCAGTACTTCCATTAGAAGAGGATAAGTTACTAAGGGAAATACTCGGTGTCTTTCTCTCTGTGTCTCGGGCTCGACGAATTGAGCTCGTACTCGTCGCCGAGTCAGGTTCGCTGCTGGAAACAGGTCGTGCGGCAGGAATTGGTGGAAGAATCTGAGGGACATAACGTTCATGGATGTTCGAGACTGAATCTTGGGGCCTTAACGTGTTTCTGCGAGCTGGAGGAAAAGAAGCAGACTCGGAAGAGTAATCAATCAAGTCCCTTTCGCTATCGCTGATACGCCATGTACTACCTTCCACCATGTCTGGGACATAGTCACGAACCATCTTCGTTTGAGAAAATTCTATCGTCCGGCGACGCGTGCGATAACGAAGAAATAGAAGGATGACACCAATGAGAAAAACAAGTACCACGGAACCTACAATGCTGCCAATAATAGCAGCAGTATCAGTGCCATTGGTCGGTTCTACGTTCGACTTAGCAGGGGTGGTCATTTTTGTGGAATCATCTGGAGCTGTTGCGCTTGATGTTGAAGATGTGATAGTGACTGTGACAAGCGATGCCTTCGAGGACAAAGGGTTGTACATCATATCCCTATTCGTCCCCTTAAAACGGAAAGAAGATATAGGTCGTAGATAAACGTACTTTGACCTGTAAATCAAAGAGTTGGTTTTCTAGTAGGATTCATGATAAACCAATCCACTCACCCAGATACAGTGTTAGTCGTAGTGGAGCTAGGTGTGAGATGTCAGGATTTGATAATAGTAGAAGTAAACTCACGACTGACCTCTGGGATGAAGTCGCGATTAAAGTTGGATTGGGGAGCACTGTGATTTCAGTTTTGAAAAAGTTCTGCTTGTTCCTGGAGCCGGAAATTAGTCCAAGAACCTGCATATACACTTGTTTACTGACTTTTCATCAACTGCAATAATCTCGAATAACCTATGAGAAAATTAGTTTGAACGTCCATACACGATTTTGTATAGCATGCTGCTAGTCACCCCGCTTTGTTGAATACCATTTGGGACATTCCTTGGTTGTTCTGCGAGTTCATGATGGGTACTGGGGTGGACTCAACAGTGGGCCCTTGAGAGCAATCTAGCTTGATCTTTCGCAAGACGAATTGCGAGTTTGGATCGTTCTCGTCACGTTGCCATTTTACCATTTGCGTATCGAGAGCAGCGGTAGGCTTCCCATCCGGTGGAAAGGAAATGGAAAGTGACCAAGCAACTGAAAACCATGAAATAATTGAACTAATGGGAGCATGGGGGATCAATAATCTGACGCAAAGCATATAGCGGGATACACGCACAAAAGAGTGAGATACATTCTAGCCTGCGGTATCGAAGAACAGAGAGAAGTGAAAGAGGATCCTGACCTCATGTACTGGCTCAATGGAAGAGAATGGGAAACATGAACATGAAATTAGTCGCCCTATGTCCCTCTCTTCATCGTTGTTGTCATCATGTGGGTAGGGTGATTGATGAACAAACCTTAGTAAGACAGCATTGTTACCCACACACTTTGATCAGCTCGTATAGGTTCCGTCTCGGGAATCTCGAGTGAGATGACGATGGCGCTCGCATGACAATGAGAAGTGCGGTAATGAGCTTTCTCGAACTTTTAGTAGATATGCAAGTCAGATGGTGCCTCCTCTATCTTTTCTTTGGTGTGTTGTATATTTGAGTTTCATTCAAAATATCCCAGAGTGACCTCGATCGCGAGTTGCCGTTCTGCTTAAGGCTTCCATGTGAAGTGTAGATAGAATTTTCACAGACCGGAGGCTGAATGTCAGGGCTGAGATTTTCGATAAGTGTCTGAGGACTCTCGATGGCAATTGACAGCGAACAAGAATCCCCAGTCGTCAGACATGAAGATGTTGAACAGGTCGTATGGTCAACTATCCCCGTTAATCGTGGTCCAGAACGATGGCGACAAAGCAGGACAGAGCAATTAACGCTGTAAGGTAGCGCCTTGCGATTGGAAGCGGCAAGAGATGAGTGGCCATTCAGACGGTCATAGAAATTTAGACTAAGATCGCGAAGTAGTGAAAGTAGGACTTGAGTTTGAGGTTCATAACCACAAAAGATCATTGTTCACTATTTATAACACCATTGCTTATCAAACTCTCGCCCACTTCTGTTCATATCATGATCAAGTGTTGAGTCTGTCAGTCTTCGAAAACAATTGCGTTGCAAAAAGAGCTTTCTGTTGACGAAGATCGCCAAAATGAGCGGTAAGAGTGACCTGAATTCATGCAGGGGCTATGGGCCAGAAGATTTGAAGTTGTAAGTAGACGCTGTGAGCGCTTATTATACTTCGAGTTTTACAAGTCCAGAACATATGTAGTAAAAAAAGAAGCCGTTAACTTATTATAAAGTTTCTGATAAGACAATTAGGATTGCTCCCTAATGACTTGGAGATACGCGGTATAACCTTCGTCCTTAACATTGCCCTCCCCGTCTCCGTTTACGTTAAGGGCAGATTTGAAGTCATTCCTCATCGTAGTTCCAAACCAAAGTGCGTGATAGGAGCACTTGTCAACTCCGAACATGCCTTCGACAAAGTTCAGTTGTGTGGCGGGGGATTTATCCTATGATGCATCGGCCAATAAGTAAGTGATCTTCGAGGATTTGGATATGAGAACTCACGTCAAGATCTGCATTTATGTACACCCAGTCTTGTTGATCCTGGTTTATCAGCTTGTACACGTCGCTTTGATCACCAGGAGAACTGTCAAGACCGGTCTATCAGATTTTTTGTCTACGAAAATTGTGTGGACGGGTTGGACCCCGCTCACTTACGTTGCAGCCAATCGTGTAGCCTGCGAGTCCGCTTGTACGACGTGAAATATGCCTCGTTTGTCGTAATCAGAGGTCACTCCAAGTTCAGTCCACCCATGCACAGACATGCCCTCGAGTTGAAACAGATAACCTTTGAACACACCGCCATTATGCCTGCGATAAACTTCGAAAGAGATTGTTTCCCCGGCCGCAATACGCACATCTTCGTCTTTATACGTTGGCGGCGCAAGCTGGTCTCTCGACCAAGGAGCATCAGCGTAGCATTTGTACTGCAGGAATGAACTGAGTCGTTAGAATGAAGACCACGCAACTTTTTTCAGCTTACATTGTAAGGCGAGCACAAAGCCCGATCGCAGCACCCAACGAAAACACAACTATCGCCTATGTCGCCGCAGCCCATGACAGTAGTAGCAAGAGCTTCGAGACCAGACATAAACGAGAGGGGACTCATTTTGTCTGAATTTAACCTGGCCGAGAGAGCTCTTTTATTTGTCGCGGGGACTCTGTAGCCGGATACGATACCGACGAGCATCGCAAGCCTGAGTATGAAGACCGAAAAGGTTTTTGAACAGGATCATTATTTGAACGGAAGGACGTTTACTAGGAAGATTAGTTGGGGAATGAAAGTGTGATTTCGTGGTGCTTTAAAGGACTCTGCTCGTCCAGTGCTTATTCGCTTCCGAGTCGCTCGAGGAGCCCGGGGGGAGGAAAGCCTAAGGCAAACAGTACCAAGAAGCTGGTGCCACTGCAGATGAGGTCAGTAATTCGTCAGACAGTCAGATGGAACGTTCTACTCGCTAGGGGATATTAGAGAAAGTCAAACAAGAGTTCATGAAACCTCTAGACGTCCTAGAAAACAAAGGGAAGACCAAGCTGACAGCTCGACGGTGAAGAAAAGTAGTCCGAATCCTTCACATGACATGAAATTTAGTACTCGCGAAGTTCCACCTGCTGGTATTCAGGTTGTTACGAGGAGTGAATATCAAGCAGAGCGTGACGATATCCAATGATATGGCGTCAATGCGAGACCAATGATTTGCCACCGGGCCAAGGGGCAGAACAAGTCGAAAGTAGTTGAATCGAAAATTTCCACATGGCTCTTGTTCTTATCGTCGGTGCATCGGTGGAAATTTTCATTATGGATACAAGATTTCATTGACATACATTTTCCTGTGGCTATTGACAACTGAGTTACATCTTCGAACGCTCGTTTCATAGTTTCAAGGTACTGGGGACCACTTCAATCCAGTAACTACAGTTGAATTGTAGCCTAGCTTATGAGAAGATGATGACTCGTTTAGAAACTCACCCATCTGGGTCCAGAATGAAAGCAATATGCCTCATTTTTCCGTCCTGTGGCCTCTTCTTGAATTGAACGCCGAGCTTCTCAAATCGTGCACAGGCCTCCTCCACGTCGTCCACGGTGATGGCAATGTGACCAAAGCCCTTACCAGGTTCGGAATTACCGGAAGAATAACCAGCAAAGGAGGCATCCGTCTCGGTCCCATGGTTGTGAGTTAATTCAAGTACGCCTGTTTAGGACCAAAGATCATTGTACGAGGGACATATATATGTAGACAATGGAAGTTGGCGTGGATCGCAGGCAGGCAAGCGTGAGAGGAGGGTTTCCATATTTAAGTTCCGGGATAGCATTGGATGATGAGGTTTGCTCGTAGTCACGAGCGAGAGAAATAGAGCTCACCTTCCCTTGCGAATCTCGCTTTGTCTTTCTCTTCTGCGGACATATCCTTGTAGTTCTGTCCTTGATCAAAAGCCAAGAAATACAGCGTGAAATCGCCCATATCCTTCTCTGTAGGCAATGAAAGTAGCCAGAGCCCGTTGAATAGGGATCGACACATAAATATCCGGGGTTCATCTCTTACTAGATAGAAGATCCATGCCAATGATCTGAATAGCACGAAGAGCAGGTGGACAATTCGGGTTTTGCTCAGCTTTCGAATTACACGTACCTCTGTATAAAACTTTACAGAGATATCCGGATCTCTGACACGTATCATTGTATGATTGAACTGCGAAGTGTTTGAATATTGTTATTTTTACCTAACATTAAGCCGCAGCTGGATAAATTCACCTGAAAACTAGCTGTCTCTGCTGTTCGAGGCATTGTTGGTGGAAGAAAGAGAATGAAAAGTCTGCGATGTGAATTTTTTCATCCTTCCAAATTGGTGATACTGTATCCTGTGATATCATGGTGATTGTCCGGACCTCCGGACCGCAAACTGCTCTTTTTTTCTCCTTCTTCCTCGACGCAAAATTATCAAAGAATTTTCCGTAGCAAGCACCGAAAGAAATATCAAGCAGAAGGCTCAGAAATTGACGCGTCTCAACATCTATGTAGCTCTGTCGGCAATGGGACAGGTTGAAAGTTACTATCAAATCGGAATTGGGATACCGCTTAGTGAAAACGAATGCTGAGCGCTGAGGGATTTAGGTAATGTCCTTATCTCTTGTTTTTTTTCTTCTTTGCTCATCTCAACTTCAAGAGTGCAACAGTTTGTACAACGAACCACGCAGATGCCAATTTTGGATTCTTCACACTTGTTGCACTTCGTCGGAAGGCAAGGTACTCGCAACACATAAACAAGGTCGGGGGTGGTGTATTCTCCGGTACGCAGACTTGATATTATACAGTCGATCCGTCTAACGCAATCAACAAAGTTGTATTACTTCCGCTGTCTTCGAGAAAAAGGTTAATAATATCATGTCATTCGTTATCGAAGGCTTCTACTTATCGCAAGTAAGAACCCCGTTTTCGAGCCAGAGAAATATTCGCGTGCTCTTCGACCGTTTGTTCCTTCAATGTTCGCATGGATATACTCAATTTCATCTTCATTCTTGCCTTAGGCTCGAACAGTTCCTGAACTACTTACCACCCTTTTGGGAGAGATTGCGCCAAAGCCGGATCCTGGCGATTCGGCGAGACACGCGTAATGCCCCGTAAGGGGTACGATTTTCAAAATGTCAAGATCCTTCCGTTGATTGTTATTCAGTATAAATTGGATAAAATAGAAACAAATATCTATTTCTTTCATCCTTCGAAATGCTCGCCCTCGCTATACTCGCACTATTTCTAGCTCTCGCGATAAGAAACTGGTTATCAGTCCGCCGCCGTTACAGGAATATTCCTGGTCCATTCCTCTCGCGCTATACCTCCCTGCCACTCGCTCTTCATTCTCGCGGAGGCAAGCGACATCTCTACGTTCATTCTCTACACCAGAAATACGGTCCGTTGGTACTCATCGCTCCAAATCACATCTCCTGCTCTCATCCCGATGCCATAAACGTCGTCTATGCTCAAGGCGAGCACGCTCTTCCGAAGTCTGATTTCTACAAAGCGTTTGTCATTGACGGCACGCCTAATCTATTCAACACCCAGGACCGCCTGGAGCACACCAAGAGACGTAAAGCTCTGGCGCATCCTCTCAGCTATAGAAGTGTCAAGGAAATGGAAGAATGGATTGCAAACAATATGTTGAAGCTAGTGCGGAACCTCGATAGGGAATGCGAGTCAAAATCTTCTTCTCTACAAATGACTCATTCGCGTCTTAACGGTGTCCCCATGGGCGCGGAGACTCCCGGGCGAGCTTCTGGAGAAGAAGCAAGTTGCCTCAATATGCACGCATGGTTCAATTGCTTCACATTCGACGTCATCTCAGACCTCGCTTTTGGCCAATCGCTTGGAATGCTTGACCGAGGAACAGATGTGCTTCCAGCATCCTGTGAGGACACGGGAGTTGCGGCTATGATTGGTCTCCGAGGCCGTGCCGCCGCTTTTCTTGGTTTGTTTCCACCGCTTGTAGCATTCGGTAGAACTGGGATGTTGATCAGATGGTTCATATTGCACTTTTGGCCCGACCCTCTTATCAGAAAAGGCTTGAGTAGCAGCGATGTAAGTTATTAATCTGCTCATATTGTGACCGGCTACTGACTCAAAATTTTTGGTTTTAGATGCTTTCGGATATCGCGACAAGTTGTGTCCGGAAAAGGCTGTCTTCCACGAACAACGATGATCAAATTATCCGGAATGACTTGTTGCACCGACTTCTCACTGAACTTAGAAGCTCCGAACAACTCACCGACGGGGTCAAGGTGCCACTTGACGAGAAAGTTGTAGTTACTGAAGCTATGCTTCTACTGTAGGTTTCAATCGTATGCAATGTTGAGGCTACCATACTAATCGAATTTCGATCTAGTACCGCTGGATCTGATACAACTGCGGATTCAGCAGCCGCGATACTCTGGTACATTCTTGCTCATCCCGCGGTCCATGAGCGCCTCGTCGCGGAACTGGATGAAAATGTCGGCACACTATCGCATGATCTGGGCGCTGCAGATGAGCTTCCTAAACATGATCAGGTCAGCTATATCGTTTCTCTTAGTGTCATCCCATCATGGGCCAAAAATCTCATACCAATTTTCGACTAGGTGAAAGCGCTTCCTTATCTGACCGCCACAATACAAGAAGCATTCCGCATGTTCGCAACCAATGCCTTTGGTCTACCCAGGGTTGTTTCTGATTCTTCAAAACTTGTCACACTAGTGGGCACGAACATCCCACCGGGGACTGAATTGAGTGTTCCTGCGTATACAATCCAGAGAGATACGGATATTTGGGGTGACGATGCTTATGAATTCAAAGTAGACCGTTGGCTTCAAGACGACAAATCTTCCGAGTCCGTCGATGTGAAGAGAGCTGACCCAAAGTATCTTCTTACGTTTGGAGCTGGCCCGCGTATGTGTATTGGGAAGAAGTAAGTCTTAGTCCTTCATGACCTACGCCAGTATCTCGGACTGATCCTTATTCTGACAGCCTCGCTACTCTGCAGTTGCACCTGCTGATATCCACTATCCTCCTGCGTTACAAGCTGGAATTGTATGATCCCCATAGAGGTTTAGAAGCCATCGAGGGCTTTATGAACAAACCGGTTGAAGTTTTAGTAAAGATATCTCGACGATAAGGATTTCTGGACTGTCTTTGATACACTTGATAGAGCGATACCAAGCGATACCGTACAATATATAGATGCACCGTATATGTATAATTACCTTCAAAAAGTGGAACAACGAGTCGACGATATTAATATCTCTTGACTTTAGGTAAGTAAGTCAAATCGAACTTGGACCCACAGGTCCTCACAGGTCTTCCTTAGTTGAACGTCCATTACAAAAACCTGTTTTTCCTTTTTTTTTTACACAAGGTAGGTTTTAGTTGCTTCAGCGACGAAAGTATCTTTTTGAATGAATCACAGACTTCAGAAAATATGTCGTACATTGCAGTTGCGAAGAAGCTCTCAGCTCTACCAAAAAAAGATAGAAAAGGTATCATGGTGCGTACATAGTATGTTGTTTCAACTTTCAAGAGCGGAATTCGACGAGGCAAACTCGTAGAACTATCATGAAAGGCTACTGAAGACTGGCATTATGTCCGAAACCGAAATCGCTTCTGCCTTGGTCACAGGCCAGTCGCATCTCAACATCTCGGCATGCCCAGGCTGCATCGAGATTCGAAGGTCGTTCTACTGAATCTCATGTGCCTCCTCCTCGGTTACGTTCATTGAGCAAGTGTGCTAAATGCGGAGCTCTTTTGTGCTTGTCCAAAGGATGTAAAGCTTGGAAATTGGACGAGGCTACAACTTGCTCTGAGCATGAGTCAAAAGTTTATTGTAGACCTTGCAATGGAAGCGGGGACGAGCTCAGATTGAGACCGTGTCCAGTCGACGGATGTAATCGAATCCTTTGCAAAGACATTTGCCAGAAGGAATGCACCGGGGAGCCGGTCGATGTTGCCAAAGTGGTCCGCGCCACACTCTCTACAAACGATTTAATGGTCGACCGGCGTGGAGAGCCTCCTTCAAAAAAACAGAAAATGGATACACAGCCGCGACATCCCCCTCGTTTAGCTCCGTGCTCTACGTGCCTTCCTGCCTCTATTTGGCGCCTCTGCTCCAATGATTTCAATTGCTGGTCTGTGTCCCGTCTCATATGTCCCGACTGCTCTCCCAAGGGAGGCAAGAAATGTATTGGAAACCACCCAGCCTGGATTTGTGACTCCTGTGCGTGCTCTAGCGGTGGTACTCCGATTTGGGATTGTTCTTCCTGTGGAAAGTCGTACTGCACCGAATGCAGATCGTCTACTTCGAAAAAGTGCGACCAGTGTGGAGCAAGCGAGATTTGTAAGAAGTGCCAAGAGAAGCAGAACAGGACACCCAAGGCTCCGAAAAAGGACGTTTTCAAACGGGAATACGGTCTCAACCTCACCACAGGCTGCGCCGAAAAATCTTGCAATCGTGCGTTACTGTGCCGGGTTTGTGTCACAAAGTGGAAGGAAACGATGGCGTCGGGAAAGAGCAAGTTGAAGCGGTGTGGGGATTGTTCCAGCTTTTACTGTGAGAAGCACTTGGGAGATATATGTATGGGTTGCTACTGTGGACTCTGCTCCCAATGCGCATCTAAGGGAGAAGGATGTAACTGTGGAGATTGCGATCAAATCATGTGCAGGGGCTGTTGCAGCACGCAAGAGGGTTGCACGTCGAGTGAGTGTCAGAACAAGTGTGGAATTTGTGGTCGAATCTTCTGTGAGGGGCACCTGGTGGATATGTGTCCTAGATGTAATGGAGGAATCTGTGATGAATGTTCAGGTGGAGAGTTAGAGGAGTGTGAGTGCAGAGAAGACTCCGATTTAGACCTTACTAGGATGGTCGAGCCTGGGTTTTTCGACATCTAACTCATTATGTTTTCCGATATTCTCTTGCTGACTCCGTGTTCGAAATATGTACCTTTCTTACTGCTACCTTTCTTGCTATTACCTAAAACCTTTCTTGCTACTACATACCTTTGACCCAGTTCATTTCATCCCATGTCATCTTGTGAAGTTGCATATGCTATCACATTGTTTATATCCACGTATCTACGAGTGTTTGTCAAGTTGAATTGACCCTGAAGCACAAGGAAGGTAGTACCACGTACAAAGTTTAATGCTATCAAATTAGGGGCTCCTATGATGTGTTTCTTGTTTAAGGAAATTATTCTCAATTGCACAATCCAGCTGTGTTGCGTTTTTGAACGTTGCGGCTTCTCAGGTTAGCGAAATGCATGAGATTATCAAGGATGAGTCCGACAAAGGCGGAAGGTCCACAATCATTTGAGCAGCGGACAATGCATAAACGCCTCCCTTAGTAGTACACAGGAGACGATGGTGATCCAAAACGATATGATTGTATGTCGAAACCTAACGCATATCGTACAGACGAACGTCCTATTAAACAAACAAGATTGATGATATACCGTTAAAAGTTCGTATTCGGCAAAGAGAACGATTTCTTCAGTTCGAGTTCGGTAGGCCAATGGGTCGGTCAGGGTACCTATGCAGCGAGCGAGCGAGTAAGCCATTGGCGGCACAAGAAACAAGGACGAGGAGACAATGTGCAACATATTCGATGATGGAATTTTAATTTTGGAACTCACTTAGCTTTTATCCTCTTCGCCAATTCCTCTTCGTGGATCTGATCTGGTCCGAGTTGGTTACCTAGAGTGAGCCACCTGAAGAGAAAATGGCAGGCGTCAGGAAGCGCAGAAATAAAAACAATGGTTGCGAAAAATACCCACCCTGGTCGAACATTATGTCTCCTCCCGAAAATTTCCACTTTCCGTCCGCCAGGACACATCCTTTCAATCAATCCATATACCTCCTCCGGCTTCCGACTCGTCTCTCTTACCTCGCTTACTATAACATCTACATCAAGCCCTTTATTGGCCCACTTGGGCAATACGGGTGGATCAATAGGCTCATTCTCCCCCGTCTGAGGGTTGATCCGGTACTGCGTCTTGACCCCTACGAGCATATGCTCCTTGGTATGGTTAAGCCAATGACCTGTGCGTCCGGTACGTATGACGCGCTGAAGTTGATTTGTTTTGAGCCAGATGACTTCGTCTATACGGGTGTAGCCCCATACGCGGAGACACTCGCGACCGACTTCCATTGCTCGTCCAGTGACCCAGAGGAAAAGGAACCCTTCGTCTTGAAGGGTAGGTATGGGCATAGCACGCATTTCGTCGTCGGTGAGGGTACCGTACGGAAGCTAAACAGAGAATGTTCAATGAAGAGTAATGAAGAGCCAAGAAGGATTGGCACTTACACTCATATGTATATCCCAAGGCGGATCGGCCATGATAACATGGAATTTGCCTAGCACAGAATAGTCGAACCTTCGTAAGTCGCAGTTGATCCATTGCGGTGGAAGCTAGATGATCATTGAGAATGATAAGTAGTAAGCGAGCAAAACACAGACCATAGGAGTACGTTTGCCAGTAGGACCAAGCCCAATACCCAACTTATGCTGTGGTCTTTTTATCATTCTTGAAGCCTGCTGTACATTATCTCCGTCGCCGCCATCCCAATCAATTTCGTAGTGGAGATATCTACATGGCGCCTTTTCTTTCCCTCTTCCACCTGCGCCTAATCCAGAAGGAAGAGACGTTGGTCCACGTGCACCGGGAGGGAGCGAAGCGCCATACGGAGTCGTGGAATGAGTTGTAGAAGGAAACGGCGGGATAGATGGCGACTGAGCATATGTTGGTTCAGAATAACATGTGTTGAGATATGAGCAGTGCCCAAGGCTAGGGTCTGTATGAGGTCGGAGAAGAGGACGAAAGTGAACCCGGTCACAAATAGAACCAGCACGAGATTTGGCACACTCGATTTTGGTGACATGTGTACATATTGGTTCGAATGCATGGTCTGAAGCAAACTGGATAAGCAGTCAAGTTGTGCTGAAATAATTCGGTTCATTAACAACTGACCTCTTCAGCAAGTAGTCTTCCTTTCGCAGTGGGTTGCTGGACGAGTTTATAAACCTCTCGTTGCTGTTTACTGAATCCAGCTAATCCGCTCTGTTTATACCTTCCAATATCCTCTTCCTCATCTTCCTCTTCCTCCGGCTCACTCCCAGCAGCCGAGTCGGCTTCCTCATCGATGATTCTCTTGCGCTTTCGTGGATTCTTTGGGTTAAAGTCCAGTCCACGAGCAGTAGTGGATACACCACTGGGTAGAATAACATCCATTACTAGAAGATGTCCGTCTTCGCGCACAAGGCGGAGAGAAACTGGGTCCCCTGGACCAGGCCAATTGTGTGCCAAGCTCTCAAGAGTTGCTTCGAATTTGGCCAAGTCTGTAAGGCGGAAACGGGGAAAGTCCACTAAAGAGTGTTTACATGTTATGACTTTGATAAGGAGTGATTTAGAGGCAATTGGCGTGGTTACAACACCAGAGGTGAATAGTGACAAGAGAGCTGTGGAAGCAACTAGCTGCAGTCGTTCGTCCATCGTAGTTCCCGTCGATATAGATGCGGCCACGTCGGGCCGACACATCACTACATACGACTTTTCGATTACATAGGGGTCCTCTAAATGGACGAAAGTATCTGAGCTTCTATCATGGATATCATGGAATAAAACAAAATTCAAAGGTGTTATATAGGATAAACATATAAACCCAGCATTTGAGATTCAATAAATGAAATATCAGCGTCCACAAGCTTCTACGGCAAAAGCTACTAGCTTGCTTCGCACTTCAGCGGCAACAACTCCACTGCCTAGGGTATAGACCACATTGCTTACTTCAAATCCGTTGAACTGGCTAGCCGCGCAGACAGTGTACGCTCCCATGTTGTCAAACGCTAGCCAATCCCCGACCCGAAGCCCTGTGGGGAGCTCAGTCTTCGGACAAACGCAGTCAATGGAGTCACAGGTTGGACCCCACACGCTGCTAGTGCATACCGGCTCCGAAGAAGGGACATGGAATGAACCATTCATCGATAAGACGTAGGGATGAACGACTTGATGATCAAAGAGAATGCAGTTGAAAGCTCCGTACACGCCGTCGTTAATATAGTCTGCCGATACATATTAAACAAGCTTCTCGAAAGAGACATAAAACATAAGACTCACACATCACAGAGGGCTGGTCGTTTCCAGTTGTCATCTCGGCGGAATCGGAAAAGGGAGCTCTACGCGCGATGATGTTCGCGGCTAGGCTAAAGGCTTTGGACACGTAGAACCTCCCAGGCTCTGCAATAACTCTGATGTTTCTTCGATCGGGGAAATGCTCTTCAATAGCATCCTTCAGGACTGACGCAGCCTGTTCAAATGATGCATCTTCAAAACCCCCACCTACATCGAGGAGGGTGAACGAAAACCCGGCTTCTTTCGCCATGTCGAAGGTATATCGGGCCCTAGCGATAGCATCCGAATATACAGTCGGATCGTAACATCCACTGCCGACGTGGAAGCTGACGCCTACGACATCAAGGTTGAGTTCCTTGGCTTTGGTAAGCAGAGCAGGAACTGTAACAAGCGGAGCGCCATATTTGAGACCCAATTGGCATAAACTTTTCGTGTCGTCTGTAAGGATACGGACGACTAGTTTGGCTCGGGGGTGGGTGCGAGCAACTTTGTAAAGTTCGTCCATGTTATCAAAGGTCATAGTGTCGACACCCAACTTGCAAGCATTGCGTATGAATGAATTCGCTTTACAAGGATTAGCGAAGATGATACGGCTAGGGTCAACACCGCCGACGCTGAGAACTCGGGAAATTTCCCCATTGGAAGCACAGTCAAAACCGGTGCCCAAGGCGGCGAGAAGACGTAAAACATACGGATCTGGATTGCATTTTACAGCTGATAAATGAATTAGTCGATGCGAACAAAGTTTAATGAGTGGATCGACAAACCGTAGTAAGGAGTTATCTCCGGTAAACAGGATACCCAGCGTTGGTGCTGTCTATATACCTGGCTAAGATCGGCCACAAAGAAGGCCTTTTCGGCATCAGGCTCGCCGTCGTTGGCCATCATGGAAGCATTCATGACGCCATTCCGAAGATGAATTTCGGGGTGTCCGATGTGTACAGGAGGTAGTGAGTGGAACAAAATTTCCTCGTGGTGTGGAGATTCAGCTGTCTCTGTGTTGAGGCGTAGTGGGGAAGGGGATGATAGAATATCGTGAACTAGTGCGTTTGTATTAGCGCGTGTCACGTTTTCGAGGTCATGGAAAAATGACGGGTTTTCAGGACGAGAGATGTCATGGTCAATAGGACTGAAAGAGGCGTGGAGGATCTCTACTTGTGACATTCCAACTTCAGTCTGTCCGGGTGAGGAGTTCGATGGCGAGTCTATGGTTGGGGAGTGTATGGAAAGGTAATCTTTGGTTGCTGAGTTCGATAAAGTCCGAAGTACCGAACCTTAACCGCCACGGTCAATGACGATCCGGGCGGAGGAGGACGGCAAATTTAGGGTAGTGTCAGTAGATGTGGGTTCCTCGCTCCCTGTTAAGCGAGGATATAGTTTGAGGGCGACGACGTAGGTGTTGAGGGTGAAGGACGTAAAGAGAAATGATTTGATGTAAATAAGTGGTTGACAAATACGGATTTTACTAGTCCTGTTAGGGAGGTTCGCCTACAATGAAAACAAAGATTCAGAGCTGTCATTGACTGCTCAGAGTCTGTGAGCATACCTTTGACAGATACCCACCTAGATAAGATTAACAGGCCGTTATTTTCGTTTGTTAGTGAGCAGGAAAGATGAAAGGACTAACTCGAGGGTTAACAAGCGAAGATCGCTATTTCTTGCCTGGTCAGAAATGGTGGCGCAGAAGATCTCTGAGGTCGTACGCTGCAGACGACCACAGAGAAATATTCTAAGGTTTTGCTAGGGAATTGGTACACGTAGTGAGATATTAAGAAGGGCGGATTTACCTCGAAAAATTGACATCGATGAATTTTCTCGGCACCCGCCGGCCGGTTCTACTTTTGGCCGGTTCCACTTCTGACCGCGGTGACCGCGATTGACTCTTGATCGTTACTTTTCAATCGTTTTCTAGTGAACCACATGGTCATCGAGGGACATCCATAGATTCTGTGTTGGAGTAGTAAGTGGATATAATCTGCATTATATTAGCAGTACATATCTGTAGGCGATGGGTGAGTAAAAACGGAAAAAAGTCATCGAGTAATGAATCAAATAAAGTCCCAGCGTAAATCAACAGTCGTCACATACATATTTACACTCATACATACTCTTCAGTCCTCATCGTTCATTATGTACCATTCCGTCAGGGCTTCGAAAGAACGCACCAACTCAGAATTTACTACTCCCCCCCTTAGAGGTAACCAGTCGTATACCCCCATGCGGTGCCATATCAGTCTCGTCCCCATCCCCGTCTACACTATCCCCATCCCTCTGCCACAAACTGACGCTCTCCTCCCGATCCGTCTCTTTATCTCCTTTGGGATACTTCCTCGCTGTCCTTCCTCTCGTCGTACTCGAATGACTTGACTCTTCGTCCCCATCCCAGCTTCTCGCCGAATCTGTCACGCTCGGAAAGGACAATAACGTTGTGGTGCTTGGCGTATCATTAAATAAATCTCTCGAATCCTTTCTGCCTTGCCGGAGGTGGGGCAGGATGGACGTCGGCGGAGCGCTATAAGGTATAGTCTCGTGTCCAGGCGATCGTGGGGGGAGAGGAGGTAGAGAAATAATTTGTGAAAGCGTAGACGCTGAGGGGCCTTCAGTGTCTGTCGGGCTCTCAGATAGAAGATCTCTCGATCCAGAGGCTGCACTAGGTGAAGGAGGTATAGAAAGCGGATTCATGTCATTGTGGTGTCCCGGCAATCCAGGAATCCCAGGAGACGTTGCCGTCGCTCGATGACCGTGAATAGCTGTAGGATCACCCCTTGTACCTCCCGGCGTTTGTCCAGTCGGATGATATTGATGCACGACATCCTGAGTATCAAATTTGATCGTTGGGCGTTTGTTCATCATCTGCGAATCTCTACCTGCGCTGCTGATTGATGAAGCGTCATCTCCGCGTGTGGCGCCCGTGAGTGAAGGTGAACCTGGAGGTACCGGGGCATCATACAGTTGATGCCGCTTAAGACCACCAAGATATTCTGTGTTTGTGCTGTTTCTAGGAGAAAGCCATGCCTGACCACGAGGAGGATCATACGGTGCCATTGCACCAGCCGGTCTGGTGCTATACGAGCCTGGTCGACTTCCTCCACGGCTTTGGCTCATTCTCCTTGCGCTCCGGGCTCGAATGATACTGCCAACAGTGCCAAACGACCCTCTAAGAGTATCCATACCTGGATCTTCAACGGCCAACACGTCTTTCTCGTCGAAGCCAGCAGTGTGTTCACGAGAAGCTTGGAGGAGAATAGTGGATCGGCGGTCAAGTTTAGTGAGGTTTTCTGGGTCAACTTTGGACATTTGAAGGATGGTTATGCCGAAACAAATGACAAGGAAGCCCATGACAAGGGTGATAATCGATGAAACCGAGGCGGAGAGTCCTTGGAAGAGTACCTGAGAAAGGTTTAATGGACGCAGAAGGAAATATGCGGGATCGACCTTACGATTGTCGTTAATATAGAGAAAAAGGTAACTGAAAGTAAGACAGAAAGATTAAAACTCGCTCAAGATAGTAAAACACAGACTTACATATGACGTAATAAGTGGGTGTAACTGGAGAAAAAGTTAGTAGGAAGCTCAATCGCATTACAGAAGTTACACACCCATAGCAGTGTTGAAAAGCGCCAGCGCAACATTCAGATAGTACACCTCCGTTACTACAAACACATTCATCAATCCACGAACAAATAATCTAATGTTGCGGACGAACTGAGGGTAATAGCAACAAATCCCATGAGGAAGTAGATGAACCAGTATTTGAACTTGATAAATCACCCTTTAGTATTTCAGCACCATCATTATATTTTTCGAAACACACCTGATTATCGCCCTCTGCAGTAGTGACGATCGCAGCACCCAATCCCGTCGTCACGCTAACACTAATTCCACCAATCATACTACACACGAAGATATACCACAGCATGCTCTTCTTCCCATATCGAGGAGCAAAGTAAAATATGATCGCAAGTGCTGTGGCGATGAGTACAGAGGCATATGATAGAAATCCCGGCGCAAGGAATAGCTTTTCAAAGTCTTTGATTTGGCCGACAGAGTTTTCTGACGGACCTAGGGTGATATTAGCGTTGAGATTGACAAGGTCCAAAGAAGCTTGTGAGATTCGTACCATTGAGCGCAATGATTACAGAACCAATCTACAAATGGGGAAGTTGGTTTAATGCGAGGTCCGCGCGCGCAGCACATTGAGTGAAGGGACGCACAATACATAGCCCACATCCGAGCCAGCCGAAGAATGTGAGTTTTTCTTGCAAGAATATTGAAGAGAGAATAGCACAAATGACGACGGATAATGCGCCCAGGGGAGTCTGAAATGCGCATGTGCATGGTGGTCAGTAGGCCCTCAGCGTCGGAGAAAGATACTACGCACAACCACGATAGCCTCTACAAAGGCGTATGCTGAGGGAATACCATTGTTAGAGAGCGGTTGAGACGGACACAACGGAGAGTACACGGACCAGCAAAATTACATAGTTCCCCCATTATCATCACTATTCGAAGCATGTTAGTGCTGTATGATATCTCACGACCACGAATTCGCCTACTCGTCATTCCTATCCACCATAGCGGCTGACGAAGACCATATTAGACAGAAATCATCTCGCATAGCAAATGTACGATACTCACCGACTTGAGATATCCCACACCCTCTCCAGCGACCTTACCGGCCTGCGCCCGTAGCAATCCTTTCTTCTTGAAGACAAAGCTCGACCCAATGAGACAACCACTGGCTATCGCAAGTATTATTCCGACGATCTAAAGCAAGCAGTTGACAGGTTATGCCTTGAGAAAATGACAATGATGACCACGGTTTTCGAAATGCACCTTGAGATTAGAGCCAACAGAAATCGTTCCCGATGCTACAGAGCTGGTTGCCGCAGCTGCAGTGGAGGTCGCCGACGCCGTTGACGTGGACGAACTTGACGACATGGAGTTGTTAAGAGAAACAGATTATGAACAAAGCGCCCTGAGGCGGGCCCGCCGGAAAACAATTCCAAATCGGAACAATAATGAAACACCCGATATTTTCTCTTATTCTCTTTCCTCTCCTCGCGATCGTGTTCATCGTTCTAACAGAACCAACAGTTCCTTTTCCGCAGAGTTGATACTTCAAATGCCCATGAAGAATGATTTGTGCATCAAGGCAAGTGAACTCAATGGTCATTAGTTTGCAAGTCAATCTTTTTGAAGGTAATCTTGTATCTTGAAAGGGTTTGTCAAACTTTGGGTGAGCCCTGCTCGGCACGATAACTAAGGTACTGTACATGCTTCCCTTCAGATAACTCGTACTGCTCTTACTGTAATGAACAATTTGAAGATTTGTCGTGCGAGTGGCAAACAAGCGAGAAATTACAAGCTAATATAGTCGAAAAATTCCGAGTCATATGCTGTCCTATGTCCACCTACTTCCACTGATGAAAAAGTGCGTGGAAGGCAAAAAGATGACCGGTTTGGTGACGACGCACCTGGTGATAGTATATGCGTACTATTCAAACCGAACCCAGCGATGGATGACGCCTCGCGACATCAGAGGCGCACGTCCAATATCACGAGCCTGGACAATACTCTTTTTATCCTGAATCTGAACAGCTTCGGATGACGCCTCGCGACATCAGAGGCGCAAGTCCAATATCACGAGCCTGGACAATACTCTTTTTATTCTGAATCTGAACAACTTCGGATGTCGTTTTCTTGCTTCAATCGCTATATGAGCCTCGTCGGTCTCCTAGTGCGCTGCATCATGGGGTATAAATCATCGAATGATTTCTCCATGTCAGTGACCGCGAGGAGAACGGGCGAAACACACAGCCTAAACAAAATGCAGTTTTTCTCTCAGTGTCGTTGCTCGACGCTCGAGTCCCAATGATTTGTTTTTTTCTTATTCATCTGCCGTATGCCTCTGCGCTCGTAATATCGAGGAGCGAGCGCTTTGCATAATGGATCAGTCCGTGAAGGCTGAAGGGCTGGCCGATGTTGGGTCCAAAATTTTTGTGCATTTCTTTGTCAAAGGATATTGAAGGAGGGAAAAGATGATAGCGAGTTGTTGAGTCGAAGGGCCATCTTCGGAATTGGTGCATGTCTGGCTTCCTCGGTGCAGATGGCATCTCATCTGTAATGTCTAGTAATCTGTATTATTCACTAGACGTTGAGATGGATAGTTGGGAAGTTGGGTGCAGAACGACGTTGGATGTCTTTCGCTCTGCAAGGCCGGGGACAGATTTAGTTGAATCAGTGTGTGCCGGACGTGGAGGAAATGACAAAGGATTGCTCAATCGTCTAGGACCACGCTGTCTGCTATTATGTCCTTTGTGACACAATCTACTAATTCTAATGCATGAGCTGCAACTGTTCGGAAAGGAGCGCTCCCTTTTACGGGAGGCTGGAGGAAGTACTAACCTCGAGGCAATATTTCTTCCTGGCTGGCCACTCATCAAAATATCCACTCTTTCCCAGTGCTGCTCTCATCGAAGGGCTCCCAACCGACCTCTATTGTCGATGCCCGCCCTTCGTATGGTGGTGATGTCCCGCTGGTAGTGCAGAGATAAATCTTGCTGGTCTGTTTTCCCTGTGCTGTTGATCTGCGTGACTCTTCGGGAGGAAAATTCAATAGTAAATGGCGGCACCTGTGCTCGTCAACGTCTTGTCGTTACAGGTGAGTATAGATTCTTGGTTTTCTGCGAAAGGATGGGGGTTGATAATACTTATTTTTTTTCAGTATCTGCCGGTTGAGTGACTTCGCGGTCCGGACCTTGGTGTTCAAGGAGAGCGCGAAGTGAGCGCATCTACTAGTATTGTAGATACAGCTGGATAGGGCTCTGCGTACGATATCCTGGACATCTGACAATATCGACATTAATCCTTTCTCCACCCGTACTTGCTCCTTGCGTTCAAAAAAATATCGATCTCATATGTACTCCATTGCTCAACAACGTCGCACGATTTATGAGCGCATAAACAGTTGGTAATATGTAGATCCTTCCTTAATTTGTGGTACGAAAGAAGAAATATGTCTTAGTAGTTGGCACTCGGTCTCCCAGGAATGTGAACTGCGACATGAGTTTGAGATACTGAATACCTTCTTTTTGCAACGTCCATATCGTTTGATTGCTCTCGAGTACTCGTACAAGTAGGTTTAAGGTCTGTGATATACAATCCCTAGTAGTATATCGGTTAGTACACGCACTATTCATGAACTGAACAGTATTCTACGATGTTATTATATTGTTATATGTTCTGTGCGAGAACTGGGCTCGATTCCCAGCTAGGGAGGGCAACCCTTTTTTTCGATGTAATTGGATGAAATTTTAGGAGATGACGAATATTGGCAGAAAGATAGAACTGGAGATCTCCAGCAGGTATTGTGGGCCCTCCTGCGGTTAATATTAACACTCTAGCCTGATCTGCGTTAATAAGGACCCGCGCTTCAGATATAGTTTTGCACCGGAAGCTCTTTTATGACTCAACTTTCAGGCCGCATTGTTTGAAGCGCTGTGAGAGCTGGTGCATGAGAGTCATAAAATCCAGAGTTTCCGCTACTGCGTGAATATATGTATGATTCTTCTAATAAATAATATCGAGAACAAGCCACAAGAAGCCCCACACGCGTCACGGATGAGCATAGGTAGAATAGCAAACCCCCATCGTTATTAGTCATGGGGGGCATACTACCAGTTAAGAAGCTTCATTCCTCCTGTTAACTGAAGCAAATTTGAGGAGTCGCCTGGGGACCTCTGGTGACTCGAGAGTGAACGAGCTCGTTTTTTGAGACGAGATTCTTTCGATCAATGATCCGACAATACAAAATTGAAAAGGCAACTGCTTGTCCCTGCTTGGTTCGATGGAGACAAATTGACATTTAAGCGCCCACGCTGGTGGCTGCGCATGATAAAAATAAGCTGGCTGACTAATTGATTAGATTATCCGAATTGAGATATTGAAGATATCTTTCTTTTAACCGCGTCCAGGTATGAAGCGATCCACGGCTTCATTCTCGTCGTCTCCTACAACTCAGAAGACCAAAAAAGCGAAGCTGAGCACAGAATCCACCGAAGATGAAATGAAAATCGCAACGGACAAAGTAGAAGGTGGGGGATGGACCAAAGTAGAAAAACGCAAGAAGAAAAAGGCCCATAAGGCAGAACTAAAACTTGATGTAATGCCTTTAACATCAGAGATGTACGCCTACTAAAAATTACAGCTCGCAGACCACCCAGCCTAAGTTCATGTACTCGAATGGTGACATATTACAGAGACAGAGAGCGATTGGTATTGAGGTGTGTTCATATTTTCTCGTTTCTTGATCATTTCTTGAAATAACATCTCTAGGAAGTTCGTGACTTGGCTCTGCATATAATTGCCGATGCTCCTCCTCCAAACTGGCTTCGCATTGAAGTATGATTTTGCATAGGAATACGAAATTCGCTGATATTTTGATTAGAATGCTCAGTTAATACCGAAAGTGGTCGTGATTCTTGTACCAGGACTGACACCAGACGTTCTTGGAATACCTCCTCCGCCAACAAGCGCGCTCAGAAACCCTAATCTTCCAATATCTATTCCGCTTCCTCCTCGTCAAGATCCTCTCAATCCCACTCCAACAAGTGTCCCAACAAGTGTCCCGTTCATCGGGTCAACGTTCAGTCACGCCTGTCCAACGCGCGCGCCAGGCGACCAGACGAAGATGCACAGTGTTCTGAGCACGTTTTTCAATCTCCCGATCAGTGGGGCCGAGAAAAAAAGACGACTAGAAGTAAAAGCAAAAGTCAAAACCTGTACGTCGGCTCTTATTTCTATTCCAAAAAATGTGCTGTTGATCAACATAATGCCTCTTGCTCAGCAGAATATGGATCGTCAGACCCTTCGGAATACATACTCACAGTTGAACAAATGATTGAGAACGAATATCCGATACCGTCATATATGGCCGATGTTGACAATGAGAGGCCCCCGGGCTGGGTCGAGACTCCCGAGGAAACTAAGCTCGGTGATCAAGACCAGAATCCAAGACCAAGGCGAAAAGTGTATGGCATTGATTGTGAGATGGTACGTTCCTTTGCTATCATGCACTGAAAACGAACGCGATCAGATTTATAGTGCACGACTGAGGACGGTAAAGAGCTCACCAGAGTCTGCATGATTGACTATGATACCCAACTGGTTGTATACGACGAACTGGTGATACCCAACAAACCCGTCGTAGACTATCTAACCCGGTCAGTAAATACTACATCGCAATGTTTCTTTAAACAGTACTGAATTCCCATTTCTTCTCATTGCTACAGGTGGTCAGGGATCACTGCGGAATCGCTCGCTACTGCAACGACCACATTCGCAGAAGCACAAGCTAATGTTCTCAAATTACTCAGCCCGGTTTCATCGCACATACCAAAGGCGAATCCATTTTCTACCATACCATCTGTTGCTTCTTCCTCTGCACCTCTGCTAACCCCGATTCTCCTCGGACATTCTCTCGAATCTGATCTCAAAGCTCTGAAAATCGCCCACTCCTTTTGCGTGGACACTGCTCTGATTTACTCTCATCCGCGAGGACGACCGTTCAAACCCGGCCTAGCTTGGTTGACAAAGAAATGGTGCGGAAGAGAGATCCAAACTCGTGGAGAAGGCGGGCATGACCCAGAAGAAGACGCGCGCGCCACGATGGAGCTCGTGCGGAAGAAGGTTGAGAATGGACATGAATTCGGAGAGTTCAAGGCAGACCTAGAAGGTCTTTTCGAGAGAATGGGTAGAGCCGTAAAGCGCTCATCTACATCTACAGTCAGTACGGGAACTGGTGGTGAAAAGATACGGACAGCAGTGGTTGATCATGGGAATCCTGGAGTGATGCATGGGAATAAGGCTAGTACGAGCATTGGGTGTAAGGACGACGATGAGGTGGTGAAAAATGCTGTAGAGCTAGTGGGATCGCATGACTTTGTGTTCGTTCGGTTGATGGGACTAGCAGGTGTCAGGGGATGTAAGTCGAATTCCCCAGCCCATTTTTTCTCTTGAAGATATTTCCCTCTCTACCTATGATTTTCATTTGGGTCAATTCATGCTTATTTTCTGATTCTCTTCTAGGGATAACTCCCCGCGTCAACGTTTCCGATTCTACACCCGCATTAATACCCGCTGCTGATCCTCCTGCGTCTCCTACATCCGAAGCCTTTTCCTCCGCTCTCCTCGCTACTTCAGCCCATCTTCAAACTATCCATTCCTCCCTTCCACCACGGACTGCACTTCTCATCTTCACTGGCCACTCTGATCCTCGGAAAATGTCAGAGCTGAATAAGAGGAAGGCAGCATTCGAAGCAGCTATCAGGAAGGGGGTGTCTACGGACCAGCTGAGCGAGAACGAGAGATGGTCCGCAGCTGATATGAGGGAGTTGGAGGAAGCAGTGGAGGTCGCGAAGCGAGGGTTTTTGTTTCTGGGAGTGAAGGCGTAGGAAGAGAAGCATGCCATTGTTGGAACACGAACCCTAAACTACTGATTAATCTTCTTTGTTTTGCCCTCTCTCTCTCATCTAGCTATGAGCAATATAACCCGACTCGTATAATATAGCAGATGCAGAGTTAGATCTCTTGTATATAAAACGATTTCTTCGTCAGTCTTCTCCCTTCCTCACAAGGTGACTGAGATAAACACTTGAGTGTCATCCGTAGACCCCAGAGAAAGCAGAAAATTACACTGCGCCATCCATGCTAATGTAGTGTTCCCAAATTGGTCGTAGGGGACACCGCTGGACACCATAAGTCACAAGTCATAAGTCATAAGCAACATTTTCTTCATATGGTCGTATCATAGCAAGCATTCATGCAAAAGAAAAAGCGGGTGAAAAGGAGTGCGGGTCATCCTCTGGATAACGTAGTAGAGGAAATTCAAGTAATGTGGATGTATGTTGGTATGTTGGTATCTACGTAAACCAGTCCAAGAGATGCAAAAAATGAGTATGCGGATGGTGTGACAATGAGGACAAGGACAAGGACGAGGGAATGGGGATATGCAAATCAGAGCAAATACGACGAGTGATGGCACGGGAATTGACCAAAAACAAATAGTGAAGCAATAAGAGTAAGTATGAGCATTTAAGTATAACTTGAGGCAGTATATGCAGGACATGCAAAACAAATATGAGTAAGAATTAATATGATAACGTAACTCTTTTGGACAAAGAGAGAAACAAGAATGATCATGATCGTTATATAGTTACAACGCTCAATGGCAAAAATGAAGCAACACCAAGATCCCAAGAAAACAAAAAGTAGAAGGGGGAATGCGAATATAAGGAGAAATATTGATCAAAGCGACTATAGAAGTGAAAGAAGCCAACCTTGAGCACCGCGATAGGCATCCACGACCGGGCAAGCGAACGAACATCAAAAAACGACCGCCCGTTCAATCGCTTCATGCCTTGGTAAACACCAACTTTCCTACACCTTTCAAGCCATCCGACGACCCACCAACACCAGCACTCCTCTCGACGACAACCCCTACGAATCTCGTTCGGCCCATAAGCCAATCTACCCTCCTCACACCTTCTTGTTCTTCTCTTCCTTCTCCTTCTGCACCACCAGATACTCTTCGTCCCGCATTTAAACTGGCTTGTGCTCGATCCCGTGCAGCCCGGAGTTGCATTATCTCTACACGTCTTTGATATGCGCGACTGACGCGGCGCTGCCTAGAGCGATCCGAGTCGAGAGTGTCCCACTCGCTGTGGAGGACATGAGCGTGGAGGGTGCGGTGCAGTGCATGAAGGACGTCGTTGTTCGTTACTACTGGGCGCGAATTAACGGAAGGTGCTTCGGCACAACCAGCGGTGACGATGACTTCCCAGGGGAATCGATCGGACTTTAGAACTAATTTGCCTAAAGTCGGCGGGTCTGTCGCGGGTTCCGCGAGGACATGAGCCGGAACGGCCTCACCATTTTTTGTCGAGCGAGGAGTGGAAGAAGCTGCTTCATGAGTCGTTTCAGCAAATTTGCACCGCACAGAAGTCCGAGATGGAGGACGCGTGACGTCATAGCATATTGGAGCGGGCGAGTCAGGCGAACTGGCTGCGAAAAGAGGATGCATGTGAAGTAGTTGGGGCTTGTTGGGGTTTGCAAATGAGACGTGGTGCCGGAGTCGACGAGCTGGCGGATGCTGAGCCGGCTCAGGCGCAGGTGGGATATATGGTGCTTGAGGAGGCTGAGAGGTAATGGCAGCAATATGAGTGGGAGGAAGATGGTGGTGATGTTGATGTTGACGATGGAGAGGAGGAGGAAGAGAATGAGTGTGATGGTGATGATGGTGCGTATGATTATGAGGAATAGTAGGCGCAGGACCGGGAACAGTACCAGTTCCCTGAGCAGAATGGGGAAGAATACGATTTACGACATGAATCAGATGCGCTCGACTTCGACCATGAGCTCCAGGTACTGGAGGTACGAATAGCTCTGGTCCCGGGACACGCTCGGTGGCAGGTCTGCTTGGGCCTGCTGCATCAACCGAATGTGCACGGATCTGTCGGGAGCCAGAGTCCGTCCGATGGAGGGCGTATCTTGGTCGTGCCATTCTAGGAACCAAGGTTTCACTAATAAGTGCACCTCCGGTGGACGCGCCACGGCTTGGACGAGCATTCACAGCTGCAGTTGCAGGCCTGAGCTCTAATTCCTCCACTGCACGACTGCGTGTTTGACTACGGCCAACGCGAGATGTAGTCGAGTCGGCGGTCAGACTGGGTAAAGAGCTTGAGGGATCTTCGGTCCTACCACTCTGGTGTCCATCTCCATCTGACCTGGAACTGATAGCGGTGTCAAGGCCATGGTTGGCGTAAAGATAAGGGCGCGTTCCCTGTGCCATATGCGTGCGAGAACCTTGCATTAGGTGTGCGTTGATAGATGCCGACTGGGAACGAGACGAGCGAGGGCCCTGAGACTGGGAACGAGATGGTGGTGCAGACGGGGATATAGCTGGAGTAGGTTGCGACGCCAGACGGGATCGTGTATCTGGATAAGGCCACATATGAGAGGAGAAAAAGATTATTCGAAATTGTACTAACCTGCTGCCTGTTGAGCTTGGGCCTGTTGCTGTTTTCGTTGCTGTTGTTGTGCATAGGCCTGAATATGTGCCTCTGTAGGCGGCCGAGGAACCGACCTTGACCGTGAATGATGATCATGATGAGTATGAGCATGTGTAGGCGCAAAGGTGACATTGCGAGTGCCAAATTCCCTCATTTCCGGTTGAGCTGCTGACATTTCCTGGTACTGGATGTTGTTCGGGACAGCCATAGCATGACCCGGCGTCGACGACGTCCGAGTGCGATGAGAAGACATTGAGTTACTCGTTGCCGTCGTTCCAATTGAAGACGGCATCACAGGAACTGCAGGATGATGGTGATGATGTCCATGGCGCGCACCGAACGGCCAAAACCCCGGGATGGAAAAGTAGAATGGCATTACGCTTATTCGAGATTTTTATCACTACAGATGAACGCTTTTTCGAACGATAGTCAAGGCGCGTCTTTCACGTCGTTTTTGATATTTAGATAGAAGAGTGAGTGCTGGACAAAGACCGAATGAGGTACTTGAGATGATTTGTCGAAGAACGATATGAATTTCAGAGGAAGTAAGTTGTGCAGTCGTATTTTCGTGACAGTATAGATTCGTATAAGTGTCGTCTAGCAGTCGAAATCCCTTATGAGGATCCCAAGAGAAGTCCTAGTTAATTGGTGTCGGAATGAAGAGCTACTGTTAGGCAGGTAGAGTAATTAATGACACGGAATCAGCATTCTGCAAGTCTATGACAAAAATTTGAAGACCAACTGTACTCACAGAAAGCGCGTTAAATTCCAGGTGATTACACTGGGACGTTCAACAGAGATGATATGGTCGTCAAAGAGCAGAACCAAAAGAATCCACGTCGAATTGTGTCGGGTTTTAAATATGGAAATGCGCAACTCAATATTTGATTCTGATTGTAATGAATCATTCAATAAAATGCCGACTTTTGAAGGCCGACGAAATGCCTAGAACAGGGTAACCGTATCCAGGGTCCATTTGACGGCGAACCCCCAAAAGACGGCCATGATGCACACTTCTGACAGGGGACGATCCTCAGCAGAAGATGGTTTTCAGAATGCATACATACGCATACAACCTCATAGACCTTTCAGGGGTTCCAATGAATAATTGGAGTAATAGAAGCGTAAAAAGTTGGACGATTATGGATAACGGAACCTTGAACGCGTGGTTGACAATGTCGAGGACCGAAGAAATTTTTCCCGAGGAGCAAAAGACCGCAATAACGCCTATGTTAAACTTGATGGTGGTGAACGAGGAAAAGATGAAGACCCAGAAAATTTTAATTTTTCCGGTACGGAACTTGACTCGATCTCATTCGCCCCGGCGCTTACAAGTATTTGGGCGCTCCTCGGACGCGTCACGGTCGCGCTCGGGCGCTACACCCTTCGTATGATGGCTGATCAATCGATCAAGCTCAAGCTCAAGCTTCAAGGTTAATCATATGACACCACTACTACTAGACTAGCCTGAACTCTCCTCGATCGGAATAAAGAGATATCAGCTTGAGGCGAGCACTGATATCGGTATATTCTTTTTGAATTATTGCTTCAACGTACGTCCACTTCCGCACCTTCGAACTTAACCACCAGCTCCTTCGTGCCCACGACACTTTCCTCTTTCGCCGGTCTCGCAGCCATAGCGCTCACACTGACCTCCCATCCATCTTCCTCCGCAAGGAACCATGTCACTTCTCTTAAAGGTTGCCTCTCTAGCACTTCGCCAGAGTCTCCAAGAACCAGTTCGTACACCCATAGACTACTTCCCAGTTCGTCGACCTCACGACGAACTTCGATGGTAGTTGACTTCGCATTATCTCCCGTCGTAGGAGGGGTTATACTCCAGTCCGAATAGGTAAGGGTAGATACTGTACTGAGGTAGACCTTATCTTGATAAAATTCCACGCCAGTTTTGAGCCAGCGATCGGTAGAGCCTGTTCGTGTTAGATGTAGCAATAGCCCGCCTTGGTCATAACGTGTTGTCCAAACACCACTGAAAGTAATTCGTGCCCTGTGGAACGCCTTCAATGGGATTGCACCAGGTAGAAGGGCGTAGGTGGGTGCGTTGAAGCTGACGGAAAAGCAATTGACAGATGAGATAACAATTGACAGATGAGATAGCAATGTAGCTGGACGTGCGACAAAATAACAGACCTGTTTGTAGAAGGGGGTTTTCGCCATATATCGGTCGAAGGAAGGGCGGTTATGGTAAAGGTAGAAGTCATGTTTGCCAACGTGGAAGTTTTAACACAAAGATCATTTGACCCACCAATGAATTGATGATGTGCCATGCTGTACTTACTAGGACAGTTGGTAGATTGCGGTTTGAAAAAATACGAGGTGCTTGTAAACGAGTAACCGGATTTGGATTTCACTATGAACGATGTACTAGGAGCTCGGCACATACAATCATAATACAGTTTTAGGCCATCCGTGAACTTCTGGTTTCCAAGTTTCATTCCATTTCGCTGCCTTTAGATGTTGGTCGGCTATGAATGAACAACCACTAGATGAGCCACTGGAATTGATTCACAATAAGCATACACTCGCTTTTGTAACACTCTGAACTCATTTTCCATTTTTTCTTGAATTCATACCAAGGAATCCGCATTATGACTCCAACTTTCTGCTCTTCGAAAAAAATAATTCGATTACTGTCCCTCGAAACTGGACTGACACCCAGACTAATTTCATGAGCAGTTGGGCTTTCAGAATACGGAGGTGGTGGTGGGCCTGAAGTGGTGTATAATGGAGGTTCTCCTTCCTCTTCGTAAACCTACGGTAAGCAAACATTAGTTATTAGTGAAGCACGTTCTCTTAACGTCACTCACCAATTGGGGTTTTTGTTTCTCCATACGGCTCTTCTTGGCATAGACTGGACACTGACGACGAGGATTTCTAGTCAAATCGAATGAGATATGAAATAGAGTTCGACTCACAGTCCAATAAATAGTATTCTTGTTCTACAGTCATTAAGATAGACAGCTAAATAAGTTATTCTACGAGATACATATATTATATGACCCTTACCTCCAATTTGTTGACTAGTGCATTCGGTTTTGACACAAGGTAAAGGTGATTAGTTGTAGATAGAGGACGATCAGTTCCAGGAAGCGTCAGATTCTCGAGAGGGAAAAATCTGCCCCTGAACTCCTTAGCGAAGAACTGCAAAATCATTAAGCGAAAAAGATTTGAGTACAGAATGGCTAGATGTAATCCAGCGCGGTCGAAGTTCGAGGGGATAGAGAAACCTCACCTCTTCAGCATATGAATAGCCTATCAAAGCCATGCCATCAATTTTCATCGCGAGTTTATCCAATGCCTTTGACCATCCAAGGTCGCGTGAATCAAGCTGAAGATGACGAGGGTGAACCGTGCTTATAAAATTTGACTCATCCATTGAGGCAGCTCGACGGGAGCTGTAGTCGTAATCGGGATCATTGTATAATGACAGGTCCATATCAGACACCGTGGTTGCAGTACGTTCTAGACGTGGTGGGACGAGAGAAAGTGGAGACGCATAACAACTGGTTACCAGCACCAGCGCGGCGATGAAAACAGTTTGAAGAAGAGTTGAAGGTCTGTGAATAAACGTATGAGGATCCTGAGGTCCCATCAGTAACAATAAGTTTAGAGACCAGCTCCAGTGAAAGTTACGAACAGCAGAATGAAGATGATGTTTATAAGGAAGTTTTGCTCGACCGACGGTCATCCGGCGGCCCGCAGTAGAACTGTACGCTGCGTGTGGTGTCCGGTGTCCGGTGAAGAAGGGGGATATGGCATGAGTCCGAGAAATTGGACATCAATGCCTGAAACGTTCGAAACTTAGAACAGGGCTATCCTTGGCTAATTGTCTGAGAGCAGCTAAGAGTGCTGCTCTCAGTGCTTTGGGTGTTGGAGAGCCAGTACCCTTGCTCTGGCAAACATACAGGTTCTGCAGATTTGTATGCTAATATTTGAGAATGGCTGCCGCAGACAGGAACTCGCTATGTAGAGTGACTCAGGAGTGACTGCAGAAATGGAGCTGTGCATGTGAGGCTGTAAAAAATTCTGATAGCAGCACTGTGAGTAGATAGATAGGGTTGTAACCTGGTTGACTGGCCCGGGTGAGGTACGATTTTTCTGTGATATGTAGACGGCTTTACATAATGCGCACGGAACGAGTACAGACTAAGAAAATATGTAAATTGAATACAATGCAATGCATAGTGAGGGAGAGAGGTGTATATTAAGAATAATCCAGGTGAAGGAATGGCAATACAGGAAGTGCAACAAACGATCCAATATACATAGGTAAAATCCAAAAAAAAAATGGAAGCGGGACGAAAAATTATAAAGGCCTATAAAGACAGACCAAGTAAAAAGTTCCAAGATTGATACTGTGATACTGTAATGCATAAAGACTAACTATCGTACCTACCATACTGCTTGTGCCGATTGGTTGTCAACGAATCGACAGACTCAGAACACATCGCCTGCATACGGACATTCCTCCGCCCGATGTCCATGCCCCTCACACTCTTCGCACCATACATCCAGATCCTCCTCCGCAGCTCCGCCTCCACTTCCAGCCACAGTGTGGGAGGTAGCATTATCAGACGAGAGATTTATGGAATCACGATGCCCGTAATCCTCTCTCAGCAGATCACAGCTAAATATGTCATGACCTGGCTTTTCACAGATTTCACATATTGGTTCTTCCTCGTCGGCACCTTCTGAGGATGAATTTGTTCCGAGCCCGTTTGAATTGATCGAGGCGGAGCTGATTGAGGATGAATTGGTATGTCTCGACGATGGTTCCGGTTCATGAGCCGGCGAGTTGAGCGAAGCATCGCCGTTGGTAGGGCCTGTACTGGACTTGCCCGAACGTTTAGCATTTGCTTTACGAAGTTTCTCATTGAGCCGCTCGATCTCTTGTTCCAATTCGTCCTACACATTAGAAAGAGGACATTGATGAGCACAAGGTAAGCATTAGATTGCAAAGCCACTCTTTTTTACCTCACGATAAATCTTCGTCTCTACTAAAGCCTCTAACTCGCTGATCTCCTTGTTGAGCTAAGCAATCGAAATTAGTTCAACATTCGTACTAGTGAATTTGTTAAATTTCACGCAGGCAAACTCACATCATGTGTCTTCCTCGCTGCCTTTATTTCCATCTCTCCAAGCTTCTTCTTCAATACCTCTATCTCCTTCTTCAACTCTTCCACTTCATCCCCACTAACGTTGACACCACTCTTCATACTATTCACCACTGGGTTTCCATCTTTAGACGAACCATTAACCATCGCTTCCCTCCTCTTTGCTTTGCCTTCCTCCTCGTCCTCCAGCACACTCAACCCTTCCTCGAGGACCTTCACTTCCTCCTTCAGACCCTCCATCTCCCTTATCAACATCCTATTCTCCTCCTTGATCATCTCATTCTCCCTTCTAAGAACTGCATTTTCGCTCATTTCGCCTTCCTCGTCTCTGGCGGAATCCCTCTGTAAACGCTGCAACTCCTTGACTAAGTGCTTGAGCCCAGCGATTTCCTCTTTGTGAGAGTTTATTTCTGATTTGGTGACTTTAAGCTCGGAGCTGACGCGAGCTAAATCAGTTTGGGAGGCGGCGAGTTCGGACTGGAGCGCGTCTTGAGAGGATTTATCTTTAGCCTCAGAATCTTCCCCGCCAAGACCCATCCTTAAACCTTCTACTTCTCTCCGAGCTTCCTCTAATGCCTCGCCACATTCTCTCAGTGCCTCCTCTACCTCGCCTCGCCTCCTTCTCTCATGCTCTACCTCTCTCTCTTTCTTTCCAACATCCATCTCCGCCGTCCTGACTCGTTCCTCCAACTCCCCCTTGAGAGCCTTGAACTGCGTCTTACTTTGATTCAACTGACTTTGTAGGACGTTCAGGTCAGACTGATGGAGGTGTCTGGCATCTTCGAGGGCGTCGGTTAGAGAAGCGGTCTTGGTTTGGAGGTAGGTCAGCTGCTCGAGGAGAGCAGAGTGGTCTATGGAGGACGCAGAAAGAGTATCGTCTTTCTTGAGATCCCGGTCATCAGCTAATGTCGAGCTTCGGCTCCTGCTTAACGAGGAGACAGAAGACGAAAGGTCGTTGCCCTTTAAGGTTATCCGCATCTCATCTAATTTCTCTTCATAAAGAGCAATCGTCTCCTGTCCAGCTCTCCTCAACTCATCTACCTGAATCCGCAACTCCTTCCGCTCGACGTCCCACATATCACGGTCCCGCTCCATCTCGTCGGTGTATCTTTTCTCAACATCCGACACCGACTTCTGGAGGGCACTGATGTCCGCAGTACGTTCTTCCAGATCTGAGCGGGTGCTCGCATAAAGCCCTTTAGTCTCGGCAAGCTCTGATTCCCGAGCCGCGAGCGCATGGTGCGCCTGCTGCAATTCTTCGTTGATCCGTTTGATATCAGCGAGATGAGCATCGGAATTAGTTTGCAATGCATCTAGCGCAGACTGAAGTTGTTCTGCACGAGCATGTGCGGAAAGAGCTTTGGTGGAAGCGTCGTCAAGGCGAAGAGTAAGGAGATTGATTTCTTGACGAAGTTTGTGGTCGGGGTCCTTACTTGGTGATGTTGAGCGAGAAGGAGACTCAACGGTACTGGAAGTCGCTGAGGATTCAACTTCGCTTTCAGGGTCAGATGACGAGTGTGATACATCATCGGATGCAGCTGGGGTCCCGGAGGCAACTAATGCGTTCGCATTCTCCAGGTCTTTCTCAAGTTCTCTCAGCTTTATTCTCAATTCGCCTATTCCACCTGCACTGGCTGTCTCCTCTGCCTCATCCCTTAATCGCGTGTTTTCATACTCTAAAGCCGCGATTCGACTCTGCATACGCTCAAGCCTTTCGTCAACAGAGGCAGACGGTGTTTCTGCTCCGGCTCGCGATAAAGATCGACCAAAACCAGGTGTAGATGACCTTGGTCCGATGCTAACCCCAAACCCAGGTGTAGACGACCGAGGTCCGAATCCAGGAGTAGAGGATCGTGGGGCATGAGATCGGCTAGTCGCGGACATGACAGAGGCAGTGGACGCCACGCTGGAAGGCCTCGAGTGCATAGAAGTGGACGACATAGAATTGTTTACAGACGTCGAGCCTGCACGAGACCGCGATCGTGCACGGGAAGAAATAGTTGCCGCGGATGCAATCCGCGATTGTGGTCGCCGAGATGGAGACGGAACGTTCTGGGAAGAATACGAATATGAAGTGGAAGCGGCAGAGGGTGGTGATGCATTGTTGCTCGTTACACTGGTAGAAGGAGAAGGTGGAGATACAGTCTCTCCAGTTAAACCGCGGATCCTTTCTTGGATTTCTCTTGTCGTCTTCTGCAGATCAGTAAGACCTTTGAGGGTTGGATCCTTATTCGGACTTGGAGGAGGCGGCATCGAGACCGCGCTAGGTAGTCTCGCACGAGGTGTTGCCCCGTGCGGTGAACCAAGTCCAATACCCGACGCGGTAGCAAGATTGCGGGCTTTAGGAGTGTTGAATGGAGAAGAAAGGTGGGATGTCTGATTTAGTGAAGGTATTCTTCGAGGAGAAGCATTCGATGTAGTTGGAGACGGTAGTGAGGAGGGGATAGAAGTCCCAGCAGCCGAAGACGCGCGGGGAATTGAAGGTACAGCAGGAACAGGAACGGCTTTCTCCACATTCGCGCCTTGGGACCGAGTCTTAACTAAAGGCGTCGCACCGGCATTTAGAGCTCGTAATCGGCCAGCACGCGCTGCTGGAGTTTCTGGACCAACGCTAGTGGTACTAGTCGATAGGGTGTTAGAGGGTGTTACTCGACCAGAGTATGAGGCGGGTTTGTAGGAGTAAGAGGATGTGGATGTGGATGCGTTAGAGGAAGTCGACGCAGCTAAACTGAGTCTTCCTGTTCGTGCAGAAGGTGTAACCCTTCCAGTGCCAATACCAAGGCCACTCCTGCTAGAAGAAGCGCTAAGCAAACCAGACATAGTTTCACTCCCAGCAGTCGACGCTACAGACGGCGGCCTGGAAACTCCAGCTGTCGCTCGAGACAGCTTGGAAACACTTACAAATACTCCGCACATTGGAGCACAATCAAAATATCTCTTTCCATCTGGCGTGCTTCCGTCGTTCTTCCCTTTGCCAGCAAATCCAGCACTAAGTTCGACTCCAGCCCAGATACCTTGCTTCGGCGGGATTTCTCCTAGATATCGTAAAATACCCTCAAAGCCCAGTGACTCGATACGAACTGGCGCGTTAAGTGTAGGTGTGAACGCTGCATTCGAAGAAGAAGAAGCACCAGATGTCCTAGATGGAGGCCTTGTGGATTTGGCAGCTAGTGGCACAGACGGTACAGCGGGAATGGAGTAAGTCGGTGTTTTGGCTCGTTCAGCGTTCGCGATGCTAGATGAACGTGACCGAGGAGTTGGCAAGCTGGATCCTCCGCCTATGCCAGACGGTCGTCCTGGTGTCCGCACACTTTTCATAACGGCTTATCGGAACAAATACTTTCTTTTCTTCAGTTCAAGCTCTTTCTGCCTGATAAATATTGCTCCTTTTATCGTAAAGTTGCTTTCTGAGGTTTTTGCAGTTGGAAAGGAATTTCCATAAAGGACATGGTCAACTTACTTATAATCCTTTCTAATTGCGGTCCTTCTCGAACGCCTTTGAATCAGAGTTCGACGGAAATGTACAAGGCGGCTACCAGGCCAGTACCAGGCTAGAAATCACAATCGCGTCCAACGTCAAGCACGTGATTTGTGCACCTTCTTATTCACCACTAGCAGCAAGAGGCATAAACGCGTTGACTGCTTCAATCAGCTTCAATCACTGACGAAATGCAATTGAATTTCCTGAAATTTCTATAGACCAGGACATTGATCTGGAGGTACGAGACCTTAAGAGAGCTTTTACATATTTCGGCCATCAACCTATGCCTTAGTTGTGACTCTCCAAGCTTGTAGATCCACCTTCAAGAATGATTATTTCAAGAATCCAAAGGGTCTCAGATGTGGAAAAAATGCAATGCATGTTTATCCAAAGAGTTCCATGGGTAAGTAGATTTTCATGCACTTGTTCTAGGAAGAATTGAATCATGTAGAAGAGAGCACTTGGAATAGGTCTATGCTCCTCAAAATTCATATGAATCTTATGAATATTGTCTTGGACCTCTGTACTTTTTCGAAGCCTTTAACTTTGTTCTTTCTTTGTTCCTAGAGGATTGATAGCAGTCATAAAGGTAGCCTTGAAGGTAATCTTCCTGATATACAATATCATGAAAGTCCTGGAGCCAGTGGCTGCTTGTAAAAAGAGTTTTCTGACAAGTTGCATGATATCCCTGCACAGGTGCATATCCATAAATACCATAGTAAACATGATTCAAAAAAAATCTACCTCATGTGTCAACAAGTCATGAGATTCACTTGTTTTTGACCTGCAGAAACAGCATCATCGACATTGTATTTGGATGGCATTCCACTTTGATTAGTGAGTGACTGATTGATACACGGGGTCCCACTACGAAACAGGCAGTAAAAAAGGATGGTGTCCTGTTCTCCAACATCAACTGGCAGCTGGCTCTGGAGGCGCGCTCTCTACGACACTCTAACTAGGGCATTAGATCCATCATGTGCGAATACATTGTGACCGGAACATATTATTGCGAAAAAGTTTGAAAACCGGATACGCAATACATCCGGCCATTTTAAACGTACAAGGAAAATAGTTGGTTCACCTCAGATTGCATGAGAGAGCGAAGACTCCCAGAAATTCCACCCTTGTTTACATGTATCCAACCCCGAAGAGGAGGTTCCTGGATAAGAAAACTTTCGATGGTTGGTATCCGTTGTGCAATGCAAGAAGTATACCAAATGAGAGCAGCTTCAATCTCGGCAGCCCGATCGGTTTGCACATGCGAAGTACGAATCCCCAGGTGACCATGATATCTTTCGGCAGTAGCGAACGTTTGCGGACTCTGGTACGTCTCTAAGTCTCCAAATTTCAGATTGCGAAAGAGATAAACCAAGTTCACAGTTCGAAGTGAAGAAAAGTGGCTGAGACAGCCAATGATTTCATCCGCATTCTGAATGCCAACTATTTAAGTGTTTTGGTCCGACGAGAGTCATCAGAGACGTACTATGGATGCACAATCAGAGCCTGGTAGTGGCGATTCGATCGTTAACATAGAAGTTTGAGGAAAGAAGGTGTGCGCAAGTTGCAGAAGCCGTCTGGACGACCATTCGGATATACAGAACCACAACCCGGCGACATGCCATCCGCAAAGAGATTCTGTAGATGAGGGGAAAGCTGTACTGGTGGACCGGGCGATAGAGAATGCCTTGAATTCAAAACTATCAACAAGCCCCTCTTCATCAATCGCGTTGAGGAATGGTAAAATGAAAGGGACCACGCGATCGATGTTCCACTGCACACGCGACATGGAAAACCTAATTCTCCTCAAAAGTGGATGGGCACATATGAACTCAGGAAGCCATGAGAGTTCAGGTATCAAATTTAACCACAGCTCGAGCTCCATGAGGCCGGAGAAACTGCGGGTGCTGAAAGAATTGTGAACTGGGACTAGCAGCTTGGGCGGCACGGTTAAACACCGTATCTGCATGCCATACTGAATATAGTTTGCGAGTTCGTGTTCAACTCCTTCGGTATAAAGCTTGATGCTGTCAAGAGTAAGCTTCGACAGGCTGGAAGGTCCCAGTTGACTGAGGTATTTCGAGGGCAGAGATTTCCACGATGCGATGACAACATTTTGTATATGTTGCTGGGACAAAAGATCGAGCAAGGGCATATCGACAAGAACCCCATCGTTCAAAATGATTTGTGAGAGGTTCGTTAAACGGTGTAAGAGGTGGTGCACAATGTCAAGTTGACCTGGCGAATAGCAATAGTAATCGATTGTCCTACACAGAACATCAGCAACTGACTGGGCTAACGGAAACGTGGTGGCTGCATACCTGATAGACAAGGCGAATGATTCATTTATGACACACTGGGCTTTTAGCTTCTCTAAATCTCCATAAGCTCCTCTGACCTCGACGTATGCAAAGAGAAATGGCATGCATATTCTCCGGAATTGATGGTTGGTCAGAGACAAAGAGAGAAGTCTGGTCCTCGAGTGTTTCCAATGAAGTTCGAGGAGCTGGGGCACAACAATGGCAGGATTGGACACAATATATTCCACTACGAGTTGTACGAGCTCTTCAGGCAACGGCGGCATGACGAACTTAAAGAAGATGAGTATGCGGCTTTAGTGAGATAACCGCTTGTATAAGTACTAAAATAGGGGTGTTGTGGACGTCACCTGTCCGAATACCTTCAATGATTTATTTTATGATTAGCAGCAGTTCACGCGAAAAAAACGCGTTTTGATCCACACCAGATCCACACCACAGTGCACTCCTTTCTTTGACACCGAACATTCAACTAGTAAGTACTGACAGTACAAATGATGAGGCGGGAAGGAGAAGCCTGAGGAAGCTAATTGGGACTGAGGTAAGCCCAACTACTTCACATTAAAGAGCCTTATCCTTTGCTGTCAATATCATATCAATGTTCATACCGTCTCATGACTCTCATCGCATAAAGATAAATGTATCCCGAGTGTATCAGCGGTAGATACAACATCCTTTTAATAATTAAAAAATTTCCTCCCTATACGATTGATTCGGTGTCATTGTATGGGTGCTGAGCTACATAGAAGAGGACATATCAGCAAAGATAAGAGTTGTTAGCAACGCAAGAGACACTAACGATCGTAGGGGAACTTCCTGACATCAATGTCACCGCGGTAAGCCCAGAAATCTGGCACAACGGAAGACTGCGACAGTAGAAACGAGTCAGAGAACACTCGCAACATGGGTTCCAACATAGATAGAACATACCAAATTTACCAAACCGTTGGAAAAGTCCGCACCAAAGGTATGGACGGCCTGTACGCCACTGTCATTGTAGTCGATGCGAACGGTCTGACGTGAGTCCCTAGACGGATCGTGCAGAAGATAGTTATGAGGCAGGATTAACATAGATCCCTGTGCGGTCGTGAACACTGTATTCGGCAAGTCACCCGTATGTGGGACGTGATGCATGCCTAGGTTGAACCATACGACGAGATCCTCCTGGTCGAGTGACTCCCCGTCAAAGAAGGCGGCAAAGTCTACGACAGGGTTCGCCGTGTCATAGTCATTGTTGGCATTGGACGCGCGAGGTTCAGTGTCCTTTTGTTTGGTCACATACAACGCATGAGTGGCAAAGTTCATACTGTTCAGAAGATTGCTGGAATTTTGGATGGTGGCGTGCATACCACTACCCTTCGACGGCATAATCCTGTATCCGCGGGGTTCGCCAAATTCGTTTGGAGCGTCCTTGTTCACGACCATGAACATAGAGTGGGCATTTCCGGGCCAGAAAAGTTTGGCATTGTCTTCGTTGTCCAGGTAGGAGCGGAAAAGTTTCATGGTGCTTCGTTCCATACCATGAGACCATGGATAGGAGGCAGTTACTGGGGCGACTGTGTGATTAGCGAAGGAATTGGAGGTTCCAAGGATGTCGATATCGGCCTTGAAAGTAAGGACGTGGTCGTGCATGGATCCAGAAAGACCGCTGTGAATGTGATAACCTACATCGGGGCCGTTTACATGAGCAAGAGTTCGAAGGAGTGTGAAGAAGCTCACCATAGTCGTCATTGCCGTAATAGTGAGCGGACTGTATGTAACCACTCGCACGGACGACGATCTCGATGGTACCATCGAGGTAGAAAGTGTAATCAAACTACAAAAAGATCAACCATCGATAGAAGGTAAATTTAAACAGATCATACGTTATAATCGTAGTTTCCCACAGTGCTTGCGGAACGGACTGTGAACGCAATGTTTTTTGTCGAAGCGACGTAGGCATCATCCGAATGGCGTTGAATAAGGTAGCCTTGATCATTTTCGAAGAGACAGATTCTGCAGAAATCCTTGATGAGCAAGGAACAAATCAAGGAGGGAACTTCAAGTCAAACTTACGAATTTGGATGCGTTGTGCTGACTTCGTCAGCGTGGAAGGTGGAGTTCAAGAACGTCGCATAAGTGGGACAGTCATAACCAGCAAGTAGCTCGAAGGCATAAGGTCCTAAATTGCCAAGGCCTCAGAAATCGAGCACATCAGTTAATTTGTTGGGACGAACCGAAACCATAATACTGCAAAGTCAAGTATGAATGAGATTGGCTTCGCTGGGAAGTATATGAAGCTTACAGTATCCAAGTAAGCAGTTCCGCTCTGTACAGGGTCATTACCGGCGTAATGCGCGAGAGCCTCATCTAAAAACGCAACGAACTGAGCATGATGAACAGATGGGCTTTCACAAACTACGCACCTAGACCAAGTTCATAAACGATACGCTCGCCACGATATCTGATATCAAAGAGCCTCACGCCAGAGTCTCGGCGGAAAGCCACATAGAAGGAAAAGTCCACTGTGATTAGAGCTAGTGAGAACATTGAAAAGACGCCAACAGATAGTTGAAACTCACTCCATTCGACGTACTTATTATCGACATCGACCTTATACCTGATTCCATCCTCACCAGAGGGCGGAACCATGACCGGAGGTGCCTTTTCACTGGCCCACATTGTGCTATTCTCACCAACTTTTGTCGTGGGTCCCCGATAATCACTACCAATCCAAGGTCCCTCTAAATTGAGTGTACTTTTTTCGAGTTCCCCTGCCTCCCAGGCAGCACGAAAAGACTCGGTCGAATTATAGTAAACGTCTCTATAAAGCCAGCCAATGACCGACCATCCGGAAGGGTCTCTGCCGGTAGTATTCACTTCAAAGTAGAGACCTTGAGGCATCAAAGTTTCGCCGTCGAAGATGGACGAAGGTATGCGCCAGAATGTAACCCATTGCACAGTCGTGTCGGGGGTCGGATGCCATAGTGGATCGATGCCCCAGATGTCGAGGTCATCATCGTCGCTACCCGAGGCAGTCTATCGTGTTGCGACAGTTAGAGAGGGGCTAGATATCATCTCGGAGTGAAGTTGCAACATACACCGTTCAAAAGGTCTGTTACTATATCCTGTACTGAAGAGCTGACATTGTACTAGGATAGCCTGAGTGACCAGTTGAGTGTGCATTAGGAGATTGGCTTACCATGAATTCGGATGTAAGATCTTCATCTGCATCATAGTTTCGCTGGTAAGTTGTCCCTTTTGTCGTGAGCCAGTCGAGAGATGTCAGGACCGAGTCACTGGAAATGGGAAGTGGGCCAATCTAAGATGCCCCGACGCGTCAGATATATGTACGGAGACGAAACGGAGACGAAGATATCACTGACTTGATACTCAATGACGTATGGTTCTATCGTCGCACCAACCCATATAGCGGCCCGAGCCCATCGTCCAGGTTCAGGCTGGTTATTATCAACGAACGGCAGGACGTCCGTCTTGTTCGGGGTCAAAATTTCTACCCGCATGATGCTATTATCCCAACTGAATGTAAACGCGATTAGGATCGACTCGAGAGGTAGAGGAAAACGACAAGAATTTACCTTCCAGCATCTGCTGCCGCGGTCAAATTGAGATCCGTCTGGTTATGCAAGAAAGCGATGACATCCGCTGCTTCATCGTTGCTTAGCTCTTGCCAGACGTTCGTGTAGGGGGCAGAGACTTCGGGAGCAGAGGCAGACCATCCAGCTCCAGTAAAACTTCCAGAGACTTGAGCGGTAGTTGTTGGGGGCCTCTTAGAAGCGAGGTATTTGGCTTGTTTGGAACCTGGATGAGCGACCCGAGGTACTTTTGCACCAACCTCGGACAAGAAGAGCCACACTGGCAAGAAAACGGCCAATCTATGCGTAAGAAGCATCTTGGAGAGCAAGGGCGTCAAAGACGGGATGACCACGAGGGATTTTATACATAGTTCTGAAGGTGATGCCGGAATAGAATTCGTGATTGGTGACTGAGGATCAGAAGAAGCGTATGTATTGCTTATCTATGCCGATCGTGTTGTATGCAACATGCTTGTCGAGGTGAAAATTGAAATGCGATAACAGGGAGTGCTCTGCGTACTCCTAAGGGGGTGGATCTGCTTCAGATAAAGTTCGAGTTCAAGTTGGCGATGTGATAGATTGGACGAATGAGGTCCAACAAAAATCGTTTATAGCGTTCGTATTCTCACCTGAGCATAGAGTATAGTGTAAAATTACTATTCCGAAATGCGGATGTCTTGACTGCGCTGCCTGTATCGAACCATGAGTAAAGCCAAACTCCGGGTTGACAGTCGACACTCGTCCAGCACCGAGTTTGATCCAAAATCTTCACTGTGTACAGGTCGACCCGTACACTCCTTGTTCTTTGTACCATTTTCAGCCAAAGCAACTTCGTATGTGGCAACCTCGGAAGAAGCCTCAAACATACCAGTAGCCCTTCCATGTACGTTCGGGGGAAGGGCATAATATTATGCAGGATATATGTTTAGTCGATGCTTCATCCTATATTTCCCCCTTATCTGCATCCGAACACAGACCGCATGGTCGACAGCCTCAAAGCAGCCAAGGACGCTGTTCACAGGGTGTTTTTAACTTTCGAAACTTTTCTGGAATCGAGGCTGCGAAAGGCCACGAGCCGCTAGTAACCGTTTGAAAAAGAGAATTTGCAATCTCAGTGGAAAATTTGGGAAGATTTGCGTTGGAAGGAGTTTTTCTTTCGTTTTTCGACCGAGTTGGACGTTGCAGAACATGAATCCCAAATTATGTCATACAGAGGGCCGAGCCCTATTCTCGTCTCTCCGGCTAACGGCGGAATTTATCTAAAGTTTCTCATGTTTGTTGGAGATCCGTCGCTGTTTATTACAGTCTATACAATCGTATTCGAAACTGTGCTTGGCTGTATACGAATACGAATAGCGGTAAGAAAGATTTGCGGGTAAAGCATGGGCAACAAAGGCTATTCGCCTCATCAATGGATAATAGAACGCAAATGGCCTGTTGCCTGTTTCCTCCGGAATTTTCCTCGCAACTCTTCCTATGTATGCAGTATGGAAAGTGGATTCCGAGGATTGAACAACCTGTCCTTGCAATCAAGGAACGTGTTCGGATCAATTGTAAATCACGGATGGGCGGAAGACTCTGGAAGACTATAGGGAGCCCGGAGGCGATCAGCGGACTTCAGCCGAGAGGGTCGATGAGTGCAGCCAATCTTTCTGGGGCTCGTTTAATTGGTAATGGTGAGCCTGTATGTAAGAGTAAGAAGAGTGTTCTCACCGCATACTACATGTTTCTCAATTCGTGCAGATTCAAGGTACCTCGTCAGAAGTCGTCAGACAAGTGGAGTATGCCCTACTATGCCGAAGCAAACATTAAATGTTTCCGGTTCCATCATCTCCATGGGGTATCTTCCGGGGATCAAGATAAATTTATACTGCTCTGTGGCGATGAATACCTTCCCAAAATACTCTCCTCAAACTTGCATATAATACGTAGGGTCGAGAGATATGTGCAAACTACAAGTATCGCCATCCCCACTGACCTTTCAACCAAATCATGTCCATTGTCATGAGTCTATCTCCCCTGAATTCGGATCGCAAGAAACGCAACTTCAAAGCCCTACAGCTCCCGTTATCCCCTAAGGACATAGCGGTACCCACTCGCCAAGCCCCTTCAGCGAAGAAACGAAATCCCGCACCCCTTGATTCAGCTCGGCATTTGATAGCGTCGAGTACCGCAAATAGTGCTCTTCTGACTCCGGAGTCTTCAACAACTCAACGTCGGAACCTTCATAGAACTTTGACCAATACGTTGGAAAGGTTAGACTCGGAGACAAAAGCTGAGGGCAAGAAGACTCAGCTGAACGGTCCTTTAAGGCAGGAGGACCTGAGGAACTTGGCCGAACTGGGGATGGGAAATGGAGGAAGTGTGATGAAGGTCGAACATATCCCAACAGGACTTATAATGGCAAAGAAGGTTCTAATCCCGACGATCTCTATATCTATACACTCTGACTGTCTCGGCTTACCAGATCGTTCTTATTGATGCCAAACCCACAGTCCGAAAACAAATCTTGCGCGAAATTCATATCACACATTCGTGTAACTCGCCCTACATTGTCTCATCATTTGGAGCGTACATTCTGGATCCAAATATCTGTATCTGCATGGAATTCATGGACAAAGGCAGCTTTGATGGAATCTACAAACGATCAGGTGCGATACCCATCGATGTTGTCGGTATGGTCGCAGCGAGCGTTTTGGAGGGACTGGTGTATCTTTACGACGTTCATCATATCATTCACCGCGGTAGGTTGTGAAGATACTCTCCCGACGATATACATATACTGAATTACCTTGATATCAAAGATATAAAACCATCGAACATTCTTCTCAACTCCTTGGGGGAGATTAAGCTCTGCGATTTCGGTGTCTCTGGAGAGCTCATCAATTCTATAGCGAACACTTTTGTTGGAACTTCTGTGTACATGAGTGTCGGTTTTTTTTGTTTATTGTCGCTAACTTCTTGACGCTGAAGCTGTGTTTTTGTTGCTAGCCGGAGCGAATACAAGGTGCCGAGTACTCTGTCGAGTCCGATATCTGGTCATTGGGTATTACATTGATTGAGCTTGCACACGGACGCTTTCCGTTCTATCTGGATTATGCAGACCAGGAGCTTTCGGCACAACCCAGATTTGGCTCGCCAAGAGAACCAATGCAACGGGATATGCTAGATATGCTTGCTCCGCCGATGTCTCCCGCATCTCGCCGACGCAGTCGACGTAGAAGCAAAGGTGTCTCTCTCCAGGGAGGGGTTCAAGAACTGAGCATTCTGGAACTGCTACAGCAGATCGTTATGGAGCCCCCTCCGAGATTGATATCGTCGGAGAAGGATGGAGGCAAGTTTCCGAAAGCAGCAGATATGTTTGTGAATGCTTGTTTGATTAAGGAACAACGAGACCGAAAGCCGCCTGCGGAATTGTTGAAATACGAGTGGATAGAGCAAACGCTGACTTCAGGTCTGCAGATGAAGAAGTGGGCGGAGTCCGTGTAGAGCTTGCTTGGTCTTCTACGGTCGGAACTTTCATTTACTTAGTATACCGTTGTACCATTGGAATTCTGGGGATATGCATATGCTATTGTTATTATTCAAAAGCCAGGTTGAACCTTCCTCTAAATCTGTGTTTCAGTAATATAATAATCCAGGAAAAAAAGATGAAGACTTGCCTCCATCTTTCGCGCTCTTGACAACCTAAATCTGCTTATCGCCACCAAGTCTCTTCGATCTCCTTACAATTCTCTACAGACTCTACAGCTACTCGACTATTTCTATTTGGCTATTGAGGTTCTGCTGGCTTGGTATGTAGTCAACGACGCGATTTTTTGATAGACCGCTACTACGCCATCCTACAGATACTGCGCGTCTTCTTCTCTGATGAGGATGGCTTCTAGGCGGCATGATTCTGTGTTGTCTTATCTTATCTCCGTACCCACCCGGAACCAAGATAATCAAAGTTTTCGGTCAGGTTTTCGGACGGAGCCATGTCTTTCCAGTTGCGCACTATGTCAAGTGCGTCTCCTTGAACCTGCTTCAAGTTTTATACGCTTCGCGTCAAACCCAACCCGCTCTTCTACGAATAACACAGGAACTTTGACGCACTTCTGACGACCCGAGTAACTGGATCTTGAAGTTCATCTTCCTTGTTGCTATTTGGGAGAAGATCGTCCTCGAGACGAACAGAAGAAATGTTCCTTATGTTTAATTCATCACGCCTAATTAGCATCGTGATGAGATTGAAATGGAGTATTACTAGATTTCATTCGGAATGCCCAGCTGCTAAGCTTGCTGGTATTCGTGTTTCCTTCTTCGTGCATTTGACTCTACGAGTACTCCTTTCATTCATTTCGATCTTGTCATAATGCGATCTATGCTTGGTGCTGGCCACGTTTTTATTGTCTTTAGGTGCGTAGCTGTGACCCTCTAACTCATTCCAGGGCAAGAATTCTAACTGGTGCTATGATTGTTCTCAGTATTCCCTTCCTTTTTTCCTCGGTCACCAACTCTGTTCGAGTCGCTCTCAGGGTGGAAGAAAATTCGGCTGGTATTGCAACTGCCCCTGTACTTGCTAAAGGCGTATTCTTGCGTGATTCAAATGATCCTTCCTACATAACCTATCATGTCGTGAATGTCAGTAGTCATTCCGGTCAAGTTATTCAAAGCGAAACACCGTCTGACGACCAAAAGACTGGATCGTTTGCGGTCCATCTCGATGAGCCAGGGTGTGTCTATAAAACTTCAGGTAATCTGTTCGAATCTTGCGATTGAACTTTGTGTCTAGGAAATATTTGCTTGAAGCTCAAGATGGGACGTAAGCTTTTTCCTCAAACATTACAGTTATACGTAGTGAACATATGCCGCAGGAACAAAATTATAGCAACAAGCAACGAAGTCCTGGTGGTCGCCCTTAATTCTGATAGTGGGAGTGGTAGCGACTCCAGCAGTCAAAGTATAACAAGCAGGTGAGTATGCCGGTGGATAAATGGCTATCTTGCACTCACTATCTTCTAAAGTAGAACATCAGCAGTTCCAGAGCTGAGCTCATCAATAACCACACCATTTAGTATTACCAGTCCTGAATCTATATCTTCAACCGGAATGCGGGCATATCCTTCAAACGCGTCTTGGAGCCTGACCTCCAATACATTCATACCGACTTTATCACCATCGCAAAGCACAGATTCGCACTCAACCCCTACTGTATCGTCTACCGGGTCTCCGAATTCTGATGAAAACAGTTCGAGCTCCAGAGATCAACGGACCGGACGCACTATCGGTGGAATCGTGGGAGGATTCATAGCACTGATCCTACTAGTCGTCATACTCACATACTACATCGTGCCCTACTTTCGTCGAAAACAGAACATTGGTGGCGGTAGAATTGGGGATGATGAGATGAGAACCAGCAGGTGGCGACGGCCTTGGTTCGAAATGGTTAATTTTGGCAGTAACGCACAATCATCCATAATCCCTTTCGCCCTGGCGGCCTCGGTCTCTCAGAGGGGTTCCACCAAAGAGGCAATGATATCTGAGCGAACGACGATGAGACACGACGAGGGTGCTGCATCCTTCACCGCTGTGAATGTGGCTGGTCGTAGCCATAGTGGCAGCGGAACGGAATGCACGATCAAATCCAATATTAACCAAGGTCAGGACCACAGTACTGAAGATACTCCCAGATCTGGTCGCAAACTCACATTGCCGACTTTGATTGTCACTGACGCTAGCGTCAGTATGGCTACTACTTCGGGTGAGCGTCAGCATGTCGTTACCATACATACTTAGGTCATATCTCACGTCTGACTTTCTTCCTGTAGGTGACACCTTATTGGTACCACTCAGAAGGCATACTCCTCCTCCGTCGTATAGATCATCCGTTCTTCCCATATCGAGTGGTACATAATTTGGACTTACACTAAAGAACAATTTGACTTCGAGATGCTCACGGACACTGGTAATGATATTATATACATCTGCAAGGAAGCTTGTACATATGTATTCGGACTTACTTCAACAAGAGTAAAGAAAGATGACCATAGAACTTATGCCTGACCCCACGAAATGTCGGGTTCACTGGTAGCTCGCGGCGAGAATACAGCTTGTCAAGTGCGATGAGAGTATGATTTGACCTCACTTTTAGGAAACAATTCGCTGAAATGAACAAGTTCTGATACCTACTTACTCGCTACTGACCTCAGTTCCACAACGGTTGTCGTTGTCAATGTTGCCAAAGGGGCGTTCAAACTCGAATGATGCGTAGTCGAATCGCGCCGCGCCGAACGAGATTACATGCATATGCTGTGCAAGTACTTGGATGAAAACGTTCGCATACACACAGGTACTGTATCTTGTCGGATGGTCGACGAAGTCCTGGATTTCGTATCAAGGTTCGGGGAACTACTCGAAGAACTTACTAATGGTGTTTGAGAGCTGGGGCACTCACTACTAGAGGGAAGTCGAAGCCAACTATCCAGTTATGATATCAGATTGGCAGTGCTCGAGGTAGGTACAACAAGCAACACGTCGATCCATGACGGTTTGATTAACATGTAGTGTGCGGTAGCCTACTGAGATGAGAGCGAGATTGGAGGGAGCTTCGCTCATTCTAGCAAGCCGTGCTGGTATACCATTACCAAGTTTCGAAAATGTTAATCTTTACGGGCGCAGCTGAATAATTCTTTACCTCTTAGTAGCTCTTAGTCTAGAAGGTGATGGAAGTTATCGGTCCGTCACACCAGGTACCGAGGTAACAGATCGTGACACACCAGTGACAACGTGATTGAATTTGATGATGACATCATCACCTTCTCATCTCCCAACCGGAAGTATGGGAAATGAACTTTGTCCACGCCCTTTATTAACTGAGCTGGTACAGCAAGCAGTTCTTTCTACTCTTCCACGACAACGCCATGACACGAATTTCTTTGTCTCTCAGTGCATTTTCTCTGATACAACTTTTACTTATTTTCACCACCTCTGGGGTTACTGCAGACCCTCTCCACATTCCGGTCCATCGCAAGAGGTCGGCGCCCCGTGATGTCCACTATTATGCTGCTGCTGCGGATCGAGTCAGGGCCAAGTATGGGTTCCCCACCAGTGGTAGCAGTAAGAAAAGAAATGGCGCAAGTATCAGCGCAAGGTTAGGTAAACGCGCGAGTAGTGCTGGGATTAGTATAATTAATCAAGTAGGTCTTCTATATTTCCTGGGGCAAAATGGATTATTCACAATCGACGTTATTTACAGGACGACGACGCAAGTTATTTTGCTACATTATCCATCGGGACACCGTGAGTTTATCCTACTTCAACGCTTTATTCGTCATCCGGATCGCATCATCTGCACCTGTCTTCCACCACGTTGCGCAGCAGTCTGTTCTTTTTTTTTGCTGGTTTCTCAGCTAATGTTAATGCTATGCTTCCCGAGCACACCGTCTCATTCACAAAATGCTTGTGGCCGCTTGGTTAGCTCAGTTAAGCACCTGCATTTCTGCACTCGTTGCAGACTGCTCGCCTTCAATCATCTCTGCAAAATCTCTTCATTGACGAGATCTTTGTAACTTAAACCTGTGGTTTGTAGGGGTCAATCCATGAGTGTTGTGCTTGATACAGGATCATCTGATCTCTGGGTCACCGGCAGTGGGTGCCAGAGCTGCGATGAACAGACACCAACATTTGACTCATCAAAATCATCATCGTTCAAGTCGTCGTCCTCATCATCTTCATCGTCAAGTTAGTTTCCTCGTTTGTTTGTGATAACTATGTGATACAAACTGTTTAATAACTGAACAGAAGGAGGTCAGACAACTATTCAGTACGGTTCAGGTGCTGTCGCGGGTGCACTTGCACAAGAAACGGTAGAGCTGGGTGGGTTCACGGTACAGGGTCAGACGTTTCGTACGTATATCTCAAACTCCCTTGGTGTAACTGCATTGAAGATCAGGTGCCTGGTGTGTATAGTTCTCGCCGACGAGCTGACTAGTGGGCTCCTCGACGGTCCTGTTTCTGGAATCATGGGTCTGGGCTTCGAAGCAATAGCGAGCACCGACAGTACGCCCTTCTGGCAGGCGCTGGTGAACGCAGGGGATTTGAGTAGTCCGGAAATGTCATTCTGGTTGGCAAGGGAGAGTAGTTCGAGTGAGTAGATCTTCCCTGTCCATCTTGCCAATGCTAAAAATAAATTTTTGAACTCTATCTCCCCTTGCTCCAACCCCAGGTTCAACCACTACTGTGGACGGTGACACTGAAGTCCCTGGTGGAGTTTTTACTTTGGGCGGAACAAATACGAGTCTATTCTCAGGCAACGTAGAGTTCTTGGACACACAAGGAACACCCAGCTTCTGGTTGCTAAACATGAATGGTGTGACTTTTTTTCCTTCTCTCAGCAAATTTATCTACCTGTATTTGTTTTCGTTCGCTTACTTTCTATTTGTTACAGCGCTGACTGTGCAATCGAAATCTGTCTCCCTCGGATCCTCTTCCCAACTTTCTGCCATCGACACTGGCACTACTCTCATTGGTGGCCCTACTGATGCGGTACAAAATTTCTACTCAAGTATAGAAGGCTCGTCGACAGTGGAAGGGCAGCAAGGGTTTTTTAGTTTCCGTAAGACGACTTCCAGCTTTTCTCTTTTCTCGTCCTCATCTACCGCCTTATTACCCTGACAGCTTGTAGCACGAGTTTGAACACAACAATCTCGTTTGGCGGTACTGCTTGGCCAATATCCTCTGCTGATATGAACTTGGGGCCAGTGTCAAAGGACTCAAGTGACTGTCTCGGAGGCATATTCGATTTGAGCTTAGGCAGCAACATCCCTGAGAATTCAGGCAATCCCACCTGGGTTGTGGGTGATGTATTTTTAGTAAGTACAGCTAATCATAGCCCTCACCGCATACTCACCTCGTTCAGAAAAATGTCTACACCGTCCTTCGCGGTACCGCCTCTTCGAGTAGCGATACACCCGCCATTGGATTCGCGCAATTATCAACTTCAGCCGGGGGATCAGGTACAGTTTCTTCTCCCTCTTCAGCTTTGGCTGGGTCAAGTGCTGCGCTTACCACTACTTCTGCACTTCCGTCTGCCACTTCTGGTGCGCATTTCTCTACTGCATCGATCTCTTCGATTTCTTCAATATCCATTCTCCCTTCGCCCTCAACCTCGACTGTTGCAGGAACTACAACTGGAAATGCGGATTCGGGCTCGAGTTCGAGTTCGAGTTCAAGTATGTCCTGAATCTCGTCGCTGGCTGTTTCTTTCTAAAGGTTTCTTCCAAATAGGTAACGGAAGTTTGAGATCGTTCAAAAGAATGTCGGGCATGGTCTTGAACGGGTTCATATTATTGGGTGTAGTGCCGAGCCTGTTCTTGTAGGTTCTGGGGTACGTGAATAGTAGGAAGCGGAATTTGGCATTTGGATAAACGATCTATGATGTATTCTAAGTATGTATGTGCATATAGGTGTCGGTTTGTTTATAGAGTGGTACTTAATTATAAATGAAGGCATGGGTCGCTATGCAGAACATTTTCCAACATCACACTACATAAGCCGTCTTCTAAAATGTGCAACAATTGAATAATATCTTGACTTTAAGTTCTATTTCACTCAAGTAGGAAACGTTATGGAGCCGATCATCTTAACGCGTTTGGGCTCGGGCGGCTATTCCTCTTAAATGACAATTTCTTTGCGCTTTATGGCATTGCCAGTAATCATTTCCGAAACTGGAATATTACATCCTACAAGTTCGTCTATCTAGTTGAAGTCCAATTCTCCTGGAACGAGTGTGCCATTTTTTATAGCGGCAGCATGGGCATCCGTCATGAAACCACGGAGGGACCAGTACCTGGAGAGTAGCATGTTGAGTTTCGACGATTTGTGAGCGAAAATAACACTCACGCAAAATCCCATCCTATCGTCTGTACGTTGTAGGAATTATTCGCCCAAGTCCTGAGCAAATCCGAAACTATAGCGTATGGGGAAACGACGTAGACACCGGCATCGCGCATGCGTGCCTTGGCATCTTCTGCGACTACAGCGGACGCGGCGCCAGATGCTTGAGCATTGACAAATACACTGTATCCTTCTTGACGGAGGGAGAGGGCTAAGAAGGTAGCGCAAACCTATTCAATTCAATACGCGTGAGGAATTTTGTTTGACAGAACTTTCAAGACTACGAACATCAGTTGTGATACCAGCAAGGATGAGTTGCTGCTTCCCAGTTGCTTGAACGGCTGCACGGAAGTTTGGGTCATCCCAAGCATCAATGACTCCCTGTCGCTTGATATATGGGGCGGTCGGATGCATTGCAACGATTTCGGGAATGAGGGGTCCATTGGGTCCTGTAAATGAAATATCAACGTCAATAAACTCACACTCCGTGTTCATCTCACAGTCTCTGCTTACCTGTCTCCGAGGTGGAGGAAAGAACCGTCGGTAGATTGAACACATTTCCGATGGCAGCATGGGCGAGAAGGTTGTTTCTAAACTCATCTGGCTGATAGTCACGAACTAGAGGTACAAGGCCAACTTGGTGATCGACGATGAGGAGCGCAGTATTATTGACGTCGAGGCGCTCGAAAATGAAAGGGCTGCTAGAATTGCCTGATTCGAGAGTCATTCCATTGATCAGACCAATGTGATGCAACTTGAAGTCACTGTATTCGAACACACCTTGAACAAAAGACAAGCTTGATAAGAGAATGAGCAAGGGCAAGAAGATCAATGAGTGCATGATTGATACTTGAAGGGCCCTCGAATAGATGATCACAGTAAAAACCGACCTCTTTATACCAGGCGAGATTAACTCGGAAATAGCTCAGAAGAAGGTTGCGTACTCCACTTCCTTTCACTTCCTTCCCCTTACTTAACCCGCGGCCGAGAATATCGTTACCCTTTGAAGACGTCAACATCTCAACATTGTTAAGACAGTGGCGGACAGTGGCTTTTGTTTTGACAGAGCAATTTTCTACGAATTTTTCCTTTTAGATTTTTGTGATGTAGTTGCAAGGTCAAATGGGTAGTAAGACTACGACTGCGCTTGCTTCAAGGTTCGGGAATAGCCTAATGACGATGGCCAACTAAACTATATCTTTAGACAGTACATCAAGCTCATGAAGTGACTATGTAGACGAGTAAGATGACGTACACTCCAAGGTATTCGGCATTGTCGAGGACTCCGGATCTGTTTCCTTGTTGATTGCATCGTCTATATGCGACAGTCGTTTAATCTCTCGCTGGTAGTGTGCCCTTAGTAAATGCCAGTGTTCTGGTGAGCTATAAGGCTCGAACAACGTATAGCACCTCATGAGGGTAATGGTAATTATACTTGATCCTAGAACCATGTTACAATTACTCAGCCACATGAGAGATGATATTAAGCTTACATTTATAAAAATACTTAGTGGCGGGGGGTAGCGCGCTAGTGGGGAAGGTGGTGGGCACAGCAAGAACTGCCTATAGACCGTGCGCGGCCGGTGAGCGGCAAGCGTCATATATAGGCTCAAGGAAACCATACTTATGTTGAACCCCAGGCTGCCAGGCATCTGCACTCTTATAAACCGAGAATCACTCTAGAGTATTGTATTGTGAAGGTGAGTCTAGCCTAGATCCGACTAGAGTATCTTGAGAGTCTTTTGCCAGGTTGCAATCGAGTACAACAATCCAGTCGGATTGAAGGCGGGCAGCATGTTCTCGGCGTGGTCGACAGTAGCCTCTCAAATCCAGATGGAAACGCTGAATTTCACGTCGGATAAGTCCAATCAATTCTAACCCATTCCCTGGGGTGCTATGCAAAATGAACATACTACATACCTAGTACTATTGTGCCCATACTGCATGTTTGACATGTATCGACTATTACTGATTTGGCTTTCTATTCACCGAGCCGCAGAGCGCGGCCTGTGCACCACAAATGTTCACGGATGTCCCGAGTCCTTCGCTCAACTTGAAGTGCACGATTGCTCCGAGCCCTTCGCTCATCCGATGCAAGCAATTCTTGTGTTTTATGAAAAATACTAGATACAGTATGTCAGTGTTTCATTAAGGAGGTACTGAAAGTTCACAATATAGAGCAACGGACCTCTGATGAACCATATACACAAAGCAAAATATCTGAGCGGTGAGAGTACAATTCTCCTTTCGCACTTCGTAGGACTTGACATCGCAAACTGCGAGGAATTAGAGCGGCATGTTCAACGAAGACTTCGGAGGTTGACCCGTTCGAGGGGTTTGACCCCTCACTGGCTTGAGGTTCAAGGGACTGAGATTGAGACCGGTACAGGGTATGAAAAGAGTAAGAGCTGGTCGAGATAAAAGTTGGATAAAGAAGCCAAGGACTTTTTGTATGGTGAGTAATCGTATCCTGATATTCAGGTGCCATCTGGGTGCCATTACACAGGAATAACGGACTGGGTGATAAACACCTATGTGTCGATTCCTGACCATTCTTCACTCCCCGAGAACTGATCGCCGACGATTCACTGAGAACAAGTGGAGGTGGAGTTAGGCGCAGTGAGGTAGATTTAAGCAAAAGATATCACTGCTAATAGTGGGTCCAGCATCAGCCCTTTACACACACCCGACCCCGCTTGTACACTCTTGTATTGCTGAAGCAACGTTCCGAAAGGGTTCTAACCCTTGGCAAAGCGGAGGAAGTCACTTCCGATGATGCAGTGGCGAGGCATTGAATGTGTTGAGGCTTATTTGGATTCGAACTTTTGAAGTTATTCAAGTAAGCGCACCAACGTTTCAGCTATAATGGATAGAAGACACAACTAACCATATGTTTAACTGCGTAACGGTCAATACATGTATATTAGCCACAAGCTTCTAATAGTGTCCTGAGTAAAGTTGTAAGCGGTGAAGTAGTTCGTTCGGATCGTATGCACTGTAGTTGCTCGTATGTCTTCGCAGATATCCTTTCTTTTAGCAATTCCAGGTACATACATGTGCCCGATTCGCTTACGGAAGTTCCGTCGTTGCCTGCCTAAGCCTCCACGGCATTTTTCAGCTCGAGTCGGAGCGATTGTCGAGACTTTTCCATTCCGATCCCTTCTGAAACTTGTCCGCTCTTTTTGTTCATACGGTAAAGAGCCGAGGACAGATGGAGACTGGATGGGAGAAAGACTCGAGTCACCCAGGGTGAGGGCGGAATGGTAGGGAATTATGAGGTACAACTGATCGGGTGAGTTCTGGGTGGGTTCAAAGAATCGATTGATTTTTTTCATCCAGAATCTAGAATCTTGAAGGAATATGCATATGTAGTCGCTTATCTTTTTGTATTTGACCTGGGGAGATCAGGCAGCCAAGAACGCGGTACATAAATGGCAAGTTTGATGAGAGAGTTCCTTTTTTCCTGGGGTGGGCAAAAAACGCCGTGTTCTTGATGCCGCCCTCCCAGCATAACCGCTATCCCGTCTGTTGAAATAATCGGGATTTGACAAAAGATTGGACTTTTGGAGATGCCCTTTCGGGCAAACTTTGAGGGCAGAATCAGTACGAATATTAATATTTTGGCCGATGTCGGATCCGCGTCAGATAGAGAATCAGGGATGATCAGATAATATCGGATCGGTCAAGATGACTGAAGTCGAGAGACAAGTTTATGAGCATCCTGTTCCTAGAAGAGTGAAGGGTGTTTTGAGCTTGAGGGCTGTTATATTATAGTAGCAGTACATAGGAATCTGCGCTACTTTTACCTGCATACATAGTGAGAGACGCATGAACTCGCTTCGGACCGAATGTCAATCATTGTCAATGAAGAAGCGGCGTAAAAAGCCCGTTTGTTAGTTTTGGCTTGGTCCGGCGGTAGATGGTCCAAATTGAGAGGTCAAGTGACGGCGTGGTCCGGGAAGTAATTTTAAACGTTGCAGTTTCTCGTTTTAGGCAGCGAATGTACAGGAAGAAACAGGGAAGGGAGAAAGAGAGGAATGAGCCCCGGAGCAACGCGGTCACGCTATCGGATTGTCACAAATCAGCAATAAGCGGCGGCATCATGCGGCAAGATCTATATGTCGATCCAAAACTCCCTGAATGGAATTGACCCCGTGCTTACATCGGCTGTGCTGCCCAAAACACGGATTCTCCTTTTAATACGAGGTCGGGACAACATGCAGGGCCCTCCTTCTTGTTCCAAAGGCTTCCTTCTTCAACCCAGCTTTTTTTCATGCTGAGTTTCGCAAAATTGCCTTTGTCTTTGTAGTTTCCGGTCTTCGTTCTCCTTTCTCCTTTTTTGCGTCCTCTCGGGCACGGCATTTGTTCCCCTTTCTACAGCTTTCTCCGCAGTCCGCTAAAAATGGCCAATAAAGCTACTTTTACCGACAAAGGCACCCTTCAAAGAGGGAAGGCTTGCTTACGATGCAGGTGAGTCATATACCGTTTTCACGGCTGTATTTGCTGATCGCGACACTATCAGAAAACGGAAAATGGTGATTACTCATCTGTAAACCCCAAGACCCGCGCTCATATTTCTTACAGAGATGCGACGGAAATCGACCGGCCTGCCAACAATGTACACACGCTAAAAAACCAGACGGTTGTGAGTACGATGATGGTAAAGGCAAGACGCGTACACAGCTCCTACGCGAGACCATTCAGCAGCTGCAACAACGAGTACGTGAACTGGAAGATCCGGAATACATCTCTCCCGCTGTGATGCTTCACGATCCTCATCCTCCCATGTCCGAGTCATCCTCTTCGTCCTATGATTCCGCTGGGAGCACACCGATATCGATCTCACATTCCCCATACCCTTCAGGTATGGTTTTCCCTCATCATTGACACAAAATATACACGAACTCATCCCCTGACTTCGATAGAATCTAAGAGCTCACCTTCCGAAACGTGGACACACCTTCCTGTGAGTGCTCACGTTTTTTTTCATTCATTTTCATTCATTTTCAAATTCCTTTTGCCAGGTCTCCTCTCCCTCTCCTTCGCCTTTCATGAGTGATATCTTCTTTGAAGGCCCGCGATCGTATCAATCTTCTTTTGATCTCGGTCCGATCTTGTCAGTGTGTTCCCCTCATTGAACCGCTTTCTCTGACACAATTCTGTGTAGATTGGATATCTTCTCGCCTCACCGTCACCAATGTGGCCTTGGTATACATATGGGCCACCTCAGGGAGAGCTTAAATTTGTCACCGGACGAACAAAGACATCCAGCGCTTATGAATTCCATCTACCTTTGGGCCTGTTTTGTTTCTAGGCCCAAGCCTTTAAGCCAGCACGAAGAAAGCTTTTTGTCACAGGCCTTGGATGGTGTCCGTGATGGTCTTCGTAAAGGAGATAAACTTCTAGATGTCATACAGGCCTCATGCCTTTTGTCGCTTTATTTCCTTGCGAACGGACGTTTAGTGGAGGGCAGCTTTCATGCTAGCGCAGTAGCTGCTTTAGCTGTCCAATGTGGTCTACAGACCGCGGTCTCCGGCGAAGGTTCCTACAACCCATCTTCGTCTAGGGAAAGACTTGACCTGGACCATATCCGACCTGGTTACCAAGACGGGGAACGCGTACTGACATTTTGGCAAGTTTATAATTTAGACTCTTGTTGGTCTGTCGCCCTCCGAAAACCGCGTGTAGCTCTCGACTCTGAAGACCCGTGGACTTCAATTGACTGTCCTTGGCCTCAAGACATCACTGACTATGAATCTGTAAGTTTACTTTGTAATGTTTATTCGTCTACGGCTGAGCTGTGATTTCAGGGGAATGCAACTGTGAGCAATGGCTTTCCAACGGTGAAAACGTTCTTGCAGGGCGACGTTTCCGGTGGATTTTCAATGCAGACTTGGAGGGCCAAGGCATCTGCCATATTTTCGCGTGCTGACCAGCTAGCGGCAAGTTGGAGATACAGTTCGTTCAATCAATTCTCCTTCTTGTACATCCACTAACTTCTACCAGGACTCTCTGGAGTCACCTATCCTGAGGAATTTCAAGTCCTGGAACTTACCATCAACCGTTTCCTACCGACAATACTACCGATACATCAACTGAACGCTACGATTCTCGAGGAGAAGCATACACTCATCGTTGTGCATACGTTAATACAAGTCTCTGTACTTATGTTGTATCAAAGATTCGCGCAAGATGATCCCGTTACCTACGACAAATGCTCCGCCGCTGCTAAAGCTTGCGTCGCTATCACAAAATTCATCTCCGAACAAGATTATGATTACCTCGATCCCATAATTGGAGTGAGTCATGTTTCTGCCGGTGCATGGTCGAAACTGATGTCTTTTTACAGTCGTGTTGGACAACCGTCGCCGAGTGGCTCATCTGTGAAATTACCAACATTGAATCTGCTTGGGCACTCTCTATGACTAGCACGGACGTTCGTAATGACATCTCCACTATCTTGTACGCCATGACTACTCTTAATGCACGGTTCCCCGTACTAGGTATGAATCTCTCATACTCGTTTTCTGCACGCTTGTCCCATTATAATCCTCCAAGGTATATCGATATCAAAGATACAAAAAAGGATGGCTGAGTTATCACTTACCTCAAACGTCGCTTAATGACAGTCATCGAAATCGGGCTCGCGGATCCACTTCTCATCGGACACTTATTTCTTTGGACTTGTCATTTTATCTGCGGCCACCCGTGTGGGTTTGGCATCCTCACATGTCTCAGATGAACCTTCTTCTTTGAACATACAATCTTTCCTTATACTGAACTCAGGGAGTATTACCATTTGTAGAACATATCACTTTGATCTTTTATTCCTTTCGATTTCTTGATCATATTCGGACCCTTATTCTTTGGACCAATCTGGACTCTGGATTCGCCTTCCTCACGCTCGTTCATGACTCTTTCACGTACAATATTGACGATCATCCCGGACTTTGCCTGGACTTTGGACTTTAACCCCCGAACTATTTTGGACTTTGGACATTGGACTCAATGGACTTCGTACACTTATACCATAGATATCATACATCATCCCCACTACTGCTAACGGACCGTTTTTGTACGACAATCTGCAATTACTATTATCCTTGTACATTATTCTTACATTACATCCCTAATGTAGTTTTACCTACAGTGTACTATTGGGCGTGTTGCACACTTACTCCACTAGTACATGTTTCGTTGTGGTGCGTTGCGAGCAGGACGGTGGGGACTTGGAACAAAATGGACTGTAGAACAAATATTGCAAATGTACCCTGTACAATTCGTTCCGTTCAGTATAACTTGTTACGGTTCGTGACATTCTTTCGTTGTATGTAGACCGAAGCTGGGTTTTTTTCGCTCCAGCACCGTCTTTCATCTGCCCTGGTGCCTCTCAGGTGCCTCTTGTGAATGGGACCGCGCCAGTCAAATTACTTAATATTTCCTATAATCAATCATTTTGTTGAAGACTTGATCATCGATATCCGCAAGGTTTACGGCCACTCATTCGAAGCTATGAGTATGGCTGACATTCGGTCCCGCCTTCTTCTGCGCTCAAGCATGGTTGATATTCATTTTTTACAAGAGCTATGATGTACAGTACATATAGCAAGATGCAGCTGTTCAGCTGTGAACTTACCGTGACCCGATCGACGAGGACAGTGCTGAACAGAGATCCTTATCATAAATTTTAAGGAAAACTTGAATGATTATTGATTTGGTTTCAGCGTACTACCAGTACTACCAGATATGAGCAATCATCGGTTGAGACAAATTTAACACATAGAATCCTTCATACATACATCCCAAAGGTACACGGGGTTGGTAAAGTAACAGCTTCACCAAGCAGTGATACAGAGTATGCATACACTTATGTACTGCCGTTGTGGAAACGACCTTAGATCTTGCATGGCGTCGATAAGTGCATCGATTGACTGAGTACTATTCAGTTAGGGATCCAGATCTTTAGAAGGCTCGGGAACGGGAACATCGACATCGGATTAGTGTTACACACAACGGATAGGATAGGATAGGATAGAATACAACGGCATTGAAACGGGGAAGGAAAGTGTTTGCTCTGCCTTGATCGAAATGTAAATGAACCTTCGCAGAGGCCTTTGTGTGAATTTGAGACCACATTATTGCGATCAATGTTATTTACATTGTCGCGTACTTGATAAAAATTTCTAATGATAAAAGTGCGGATAAATCTGGATAAATGGGTCACTGTTACACGCTATGTACACGTTGGAACTTGGTAGCCTGGCTAGCCGCTGTCCGACCACGAAGATTTCGTTCATTCGTGTATACAGCTCTGTCTCATAGCCCATGGGGTAGGGATTTTTTCTACTCCGACTAACTCATTCGTTTTCTCGATCCCAGTGCTCGCTCTTTCCTATAGAGGAGCAACAAAATTTGAGCGAACTGTTAAAAAGAATCAAATTTTCCTACATACAAAAATTGAATTTCGTGGAACTCATTCGGCACTGCTATCGGAGCCTTAAACTCCCACACATGTGAGCTTCCAAGATCACGTGGGCGTCTTACCTGGTGCACTGCTTACCAAAAGGAATGGCGTTCAGATATGCGTATCCTTACCTGGAACATTGTGAGAGTACCTCAATTTGCCTGGAATATTGCCTGACTCCCTTACAGAATGGCATTCGAACGATTCCGCAGTACCACCCGTATGTTCCTATTCGAGTAAAATATCATGCCCTCACTGTGTCTATTCTAGTTGGAATACACTGAAAAGCCACGATGCAATTTTGGACCACCTGGATGCTGATATCATCAATTTTCAAGGTATGTGTACTACGAGCTGCTGCCAAACTTGAATCAGAAGTTTTGTTTCAGAGGTTAAATCTAATCGGACAGCTCTTCCTGCACCAGTCGCAGCTCCCCCATCGTACGACGCGTATTACTCTTTCCCACTCACAAAGAACGGATACTCTGGTGTGGCCACTTACACTCGCCGACCTTCCGCAGAAAATTCTGGTGTGACGGCTCTCAAAGCTGAAGAAGGACTTACGGGAAAACTTCGGCAGCCTCATTTGAAGCCCCCGCCTTCGGATGAAGAACGTGTCTCACGCCCGGAAGCCTATGATTACAACGACCGCGAGCTAGGGTTTTCGGATATCAAGTCCCTCGATGCCGAAGGACGCGTCCTTACCCTGGACTTTGGCTTATTTGTCTTGATCAACGTGTACTGCCCTAACGACGGGTCCTCCGCAGAAGACACTAGTCGACTCGACTACAAGATGGCGTTTCACCGTTTACTTGAAGCTCGTGTGCGCGCGCTCATCAGAGAAGGCCGTGAAGTCATTTTGTTAGGCGACATTAATGCATGTGCAGCGGTTATCGACCATTGCGAAGGTGACATTATCGTTCGGAGAGGTATAGCGCAAGGATTTAGTGGCGATAGCGAGGAGTATTTTTGGATGGAGAATGACGCAAGACGATGGTTGAGAGATCTACTGGAGGGCGGAAAGAAATGTTTCGTTGATGTCGTCAGGAAATATTACCCGGAACGACGAGGAATGTTTACCTGTGAGCGAATTCGATGATATTTCTGCGCTCATTATTAATGAAAGTAGGCTGGAACACAAAACTTTCCGCTCGCGCCAGTAACTATGGTACCCGTATTGACTACATTCTTGCTACCCCCGGTCTCCTGCCCTGGATCAAAGCGGCAGATATTGAACCCACTATCAAAGGAAGTGACCATTGTCCAGTTTGGATAGACCTTCATGACGAAATTTCGTTGTCCGGCGGAAGAAATTCCACATTGAAACTTCGAGATGTTATGTCATGCCCTACCCCAGATAAACCGGACAGAGAACCTCCGAGATTAGCAACTAGATTTTGGGATGAGTATTCGGGGAAGCAGCGCCTTCTGGCGAGTTTTTTCAATACCGGTTCCGCGGGGGACAAGATAAAACCAAAAGTTGTTGCCGCCGAAGCTGTAAGTATTGTGAAACAAGATACATCCTGGATACATCTTCTGAGCTGACTGGAAATCTACATAGACACCAACAACCAACTCTGATAATTCCGATGTCAAAATGTTAATGACTTCCTGCGAGTCCACTTTGCATAATACGACTATCCCTCAGCCTGTATCTATTTCCTCCTCGCTGACATCGATCGCGTCCGTATCTTCATTTCCTACATCTTCCGGCACTTCCACCCCGACTTCCACATCCTCGCGATCAAATTCACTGAAGAAGAGGAAGACACCGCCTCCTTCCACCTCTTCATCGACTGCAGGCACCTCATCCTCATCGTCTGCTATTCAAACCAAACCGAAGAAACCGAAAGGGGATGTTCAAAACGTGAAGGACCTGAAGAAACCCGGACAGTCAAAACTCTCTAGCTTCTTCGTCGCTCCGCCTACGACCCGAGACACGAGCAATTCGAAAGCAAAAAATTCAATAACGTCGAAGATAAAACCTAGGCGGAGCGAATCAATAGCCAACCTCGCTGATACAGGAACACAAGTTATAGTGGACCTCACAGCGAGCGATGACAAAAACGACAAATACCCCGTGGCTCAAACAATACAAGAGGTTGAGGAGGAAGATATTGACGAGGACTTACGACAAGCTATCCAACTTTCGCTATCGCAAACATCTTCCTCTTCAATGCCGTCGCAATCATCACCTATATCATCATCTCATGAAGCTTGGAAGTCTCTCCTCAAACCTCGAGAGCCCCCGAAGTGCTTGGTGCATAACGAAGTCGCGAAAGAGTTTCGAGTAAACAAGCCTGGGGTCAATAAAGGTAGATCGTTTTGGGTCTGTTCAAGGTGAGTTCGCTATTGTATCGCGTTTGTTCTTTCTATCTGGTCACTCACTACTGAAAATTCAGGCCGGTGGGACCCGGATATGATAAAGGTCGTTCAGAGCGACCTCGTGAAGAAGTCGATTCGAAATGGAAATGCAATTACTTCGTATGGAGTAGTGATATTGGAGTCAACCGTACGACAAATCAGTCTGGAAAATAGAGTCTTCTCAAGACTTTCTTTCATCTGTGAGCCGGTCTACCTGAGGACTGAGTACTGAGGCTTGAGTGTCAGTCATATTGACCGACCGGTTTAATCCTGGTTTAATCCACCTTTTTCCTCGATCAATTAGTCTTTCCGAAGTCTACCTGCCTGCCGGTCGTACGTGTTTTGGTCACAAGGCTAAGTGCGCCTGACCTACCGGTAATCATGTTTGACTTCGAACCTCCTCAATGACGGTTTTTCGACATCTTCCTTTCCATTCACGGTAGTAATTGAAAGTCCTGACCCATTTAAATAGGGCTCGCCTGGACTCTCCGAAAAAGACTCCCATTCCAACTCCTCATCTGGACAAGTGCAAATTGAAGCTGATCTAAATGAAACTCACGGTGTCTTTCATGCTCAGTTTGAGCTTTTGCGCAGGCTTGGCTGTAGCACAAATCCTGTCCCAATGTGCCACTGCGTGCGTTTCCCAGGCAGCGGTGAAGGATGGTTGTGTTAGCTTGTAAGTTCGAATCGAATTGTGGGTGCATATGTGTTGCACAAATTCACTGGCACGCGTTCTCGTCACAGCACGAACATCACTTGCGTATGTACAAGTGCGCAATTCCAGCAGGACGCTCTATCCTGCTTGACGGCGGAGTGTTCTTCGTCTGATTTAACCACGTTGGAAGGGCTGCAGGCACAAGAGTGCGGGGCCAGTGAGTGCCCTATCCTTGTTTTCGCTGACGTTCAACACGTATACTTACGTTCTTATGATTTCCCTTACACCTAGTGCAACTTTCTGCAACTGGAACACCTAGTGACACCGCGACGTTCACCGCTTCGGGCATCAGCAGCGGCAGTGGAACCAGTCTCAGCATCCCAAGCACTTCGGGAGCTTCGAGCACCACGACTGTTACGAGTTCTGGGAGTGCTTCAACTACTGTCACCTCTGGGACTATCATACCGCCTGCATCTAGCGTAGCGTCTAGCCCAGCATCCAGTGCGTCTAGTCCTAGCAGCACCGGAAATAATGCCCAAAACGTTCAAATTTCGATGGGCATGGGTTTTATTGCGCTGTTGGCGACGTTGTGGGCGTGAGAGTTACGAATGCTTATTTTTTTACCTTTTCAAAAAGCAATGGCACTGTGCTATTGCAATTTTTTTTTTGTTGTACAACTCGGACGTTTTCTGTCAACTGTATATACTTGATTCTTGATGTCTGTATGGTATTCTTACTGGAATGAAAGCAAGTTGAATAACTGGGGACAGTGAAACCAACCAGGTAAATCCGAATAAAACGGCATTCTTACTGACTCTCCATATTATGCGCTTCCAACCCTTCGATGCAATTATCATATTTTGCAGACTGCTCTCAATAATGTACATGAGGAAGAGATCTTTTACTTTTTGATACTGTATTCACTATGTATCACTCAAAATCGGCAGGCAAAACACAAAACCATTCTTACAGTAAACCAACTAAGGGGCTTGGATACGGTGTGACAGGAAGCTCGCTCGAGGCCTGCCTCAAACGCTCACCATCTTCCTCACCCAACTTTGAACAGGACATGCTCATTTTCAGCAGCATTGGCGCCATATTTGTCAAGCAGAGACATGAAGCTGCCGATACTATAAACAGCATATAGGTAGCTGCTATTGGGCTCGGAACTAAGCAGAGACAAGTTCATTCGATGAGTGAAGAGAGTCCGGGATCCAGGTTCACTTAATAAAGATTTCTCGATGGGTCCATTGCACACTTTTAGCAGAGACGATATCCAGGATGGCCATTGACTCGGATTGAAGCACAGAGACAAAATCTACAGTGGCGACGTCTCCTTTTCTCCATGTTCGATTTCCGCGTAATTCAATCCAATTCAAGTCTGTTGTTATCTGCCCTTGAAATATCTCAGTTTCCCGAGACATGGCCATGGAAGTGGCATTTCGACCGGGTTTTCCAGTCTCAGAACATTCCCAACACTTACATCTCGATGTTGAAGCGCTTCCTGGCATATTGTAAGCCATCCTGCAATGTTAATCAGTAATAGTCTTCCTTCAGAGCAAATGGCCACAGACCTAGCATTGCGTGGAGGATGGCTGTAAACAACACAAGCGGGCTGGGAGAGGAAACCAGGGAGGTTCCAATCAGTTTCCCAACGTGAAACCGAAGGCTTCGATATTCAGGCAAGGGTGTACTATACTTTTGGTGTAGAGAAAAAAGGTCCCAATGAAATTCCGCCACTCCTTTCTTTAATTCCATCTCGGTTGGAAGAAAAATGTCGTTGGATGTCCGGGTTCCATGTGAGTGATTTGCTGGAAAATCATAATAATGCTGCCAAGTTCCGAACTTGTCACCACACACATTGAGCATCCACGTTTCCGGGACTGAGGAACGACCTGAAGCGAGATCGCGTTTTGGCCATGTAGCTTTCATCAATCCATGGGAAATTATGCCTCTACGCGGATTCAAGGATTTCATCAAGATCATTAGCTCCTGCTTCACATCTTCAAGATCTCGAGTTGGCCCATATGCACTAATCGGCGTGATAGCGAGAGTCGATGGGTCAGGGATATTTGATGCCTTTGTCTCTGATCGAGTACGCGAATCAACCTGATTTCTAGAACTCTTCTTAGAGTTCGCAGGTGCTTCGACTCCCTTCTTAACCTCAGCATTAGCGACGCGTGCTGAACATCTCAACTGTATGACTAGAAATAGAGGAGTTGTTGCCACAACTGGGAGAGGTGAAGTAGAGACATCCTCTCGAACGCTATACGATATCCGTGTAACCTGACTTGCTCTACCTCTACAGCTATTACCATCATGAAGAACCTCCTTGATGTTGGCGACGATGTAATCAGGTTTATCAGAATTGTCAACTGGGAGCTTGACGCACCACGCTGCCATACCGGCATCTCCCGCATGAAAACAATCGAGAAGAGACAGGAAGACATGAAGGAGAGATTCGTGTGAATTTTCGTCACGCAGATCGAGGGGAAGAGAGGCAGATAGGCCTCCGCGATAGAAGATAAGAAACCTGAAGGTGCCCTCCTTGTGGTTGTATCCAAGTACCAATGAATACTGCCGAAGCGGACATCGCGCGTAGGTCGCGGCCTGACACACCAATTCTATCCAGTTGTCCTTCACTTCTACAGGCAGCAAGATGGGTGACGCATTCTTGTCAGGTGTATTCCAGTAAAGCTGAGCGGATTTGACCTTACAGTCGTCACTGTCGGGGAAGGCCATAAGCTTTTTCCCTCCCACTAGATGAGGTTTCGTAGGAGACGCCCCATTCACACTATCCTGGGTCTCCTTATCGTACACAATGAACTCGAGGTCGTGAAATGGACCTTTGGTGTAGCGTTCGTCATCCGTAAGTTCTTCCTTGCAGACGGAGACACACGCGTTTAGAAACTGAGCTAGTGGAGTATAGAACGGACGTTCGTCGGGGCCGCTGGGCCATTGGATATCCTTTACTTGTGGTCCGAGCTTCATCACAGTGTTTTTCAACATTTTCATGAACCCGGGCGAATCAGAAACACAGGCGTAGTTGCCGAGATGGTCAATAACTTTGTCATCTAGGGGATTTTTGCGGTTTTTAGGAGATAACATCCTCGCAACGCGATCCAAAGGGAGCTGCCATGTGTGGTCTCCGAGCTCTGTACGCATAACCTCTTTGAGATCGGCCTGGTGACTGGTGCGGGGCGTATGTCCGTCGTGCATGAAGGAGCTGTTGTGAGTCCAACGAGGAGTTCCAGATACTGGAGACGAGATGCTTGATTGAGCAGGAGTTGCAGGATGAGGAGATGATGTGGAGAACAACAAGCGCCCGAGTCGACTGCAACTTTTAGATATGATTGGGCTGATAAGATTAATTTCAACCCGCCCCACGCGCCTTTGATACTTTTTTTGGTAACTGTTCGCATCCTCCTCCGCAGTCTCTTTCTTTTGCCGCCGAATGTATCGAGAGCCTGAAGAGACCCCTTTCCTCTTTTGTGTCAATTCAGCTGCCTTTGAAGACCAACTCCTTCCCAATCCCGCCTTGCATCAGATATCAAAGAAGGGTGAAGAGGAAGACGACTCAGTGCATGCTTGTGATGGCTGATATCATTCAAGGGTATACATTTTGGTTTGACAAATGATGATCTAGAGAGGGAAGGAGTGTCTAAAGAAGACAAAAAAGAGGGTCATACAAGTAAATACCCTAGGAATTGAAGTTACCTCAGACTGAGGCCTAGTACCTGGAGCTCGTTCGAAATCTATGCATCAACAGTCACTCCTTCCCGTAATTCCTCCGCTACATCTTCAAGATTCCTCGACTCACACCGAAGCCACGAGATATGGAGCAGTAGGGTCCCATCCACCGAATTGCTCTTCCTCTTTCGCGCACAGACATCCCTCTGTTGACCAGTCGGACGTGACCAGCTTTCCTACAAGTGCGCTCACAAAAATTGCTCTTTGTTCTTTGTCTCAATCTGTCCTTCTTTCTTTCCTCCAGTCATGGCACAATATCTTTCCCAGCCTTCTGTCGAAAGCTTCTGGATCTGGCTGAGCGAGAATGACCATTCCATCCTCGGCGCGGAAATTGATAGGCTGGTAGATCATATCAGTGGTCTTTATGATCAGCTGAACGTCCTCAGACGCGCATACCAGGCTCGCATTACACCGATATTGGAAGAAAGAGCCAAGAAACTCCCGAAATACAACTTTCTCGTGAACTTTGTCTCACCTATAGGCCAACTTCCCCAGGAGAGCCTCTCGGAGATTTTCACTCAGGCACTTTTTCGCGGAGGATCATCCACGGGATCACGTCCTCGCCCTCTGTCGGTTTTGCCGTGTCTCTGTGGCTTGGAGAAATACTGCTATAACGACTCCGCAAATCTGGACTAGGATTTACTTTGACATCGATCTTGGTGCAACAAGGATCATGAGTGAGGGGGTTAAAGCGTGGATTTCCCGGAGTCGTGCTCTCCCAGTAGAGGTCCACCTTGATCCTTATCCCGAAGACAACGATAAAACGACATACGACTGGATGGTCGCAAAACATATCTAGGTACACACCTTGGAGGCCCGGTTTCGAATTCGAACATTACATCTCTGCGGTCTTTCGAGATCGTACATTCCACTCCTAAAGTTACCCCGCAACTCATTTCCGAACTTGGGAAGAACTTTCCTTCGATATCACTATATTATACCAGGCGGGAGAAACTATCGAAGAAATCGCGCCTCTGTATATAAAGAAAGCCGAGGCTTTCGTAGAAGCAAATAGCCTCTGCCGGGTTAGCATTCAGGAGAATGGTACTCAAGGACGTTGTCAGCCTTTACTGGATAGGCTGATGCTTCGTTCGCTAGCGATTCGAGATTGGGATGGCCGCTATCCAAATGTTTACGCCGACGTATCCTAACAGGTCAACAATCTCGTGCACCTGGTCTTTTCAGTTTCTTCGACTCGGTTCTTCGTTCCGTTTTCAGAGGCGAGAACTTCATTCCAGTTTCTCCTATTATGCACCCTCGGAATCCGTTCATTGATCGATTGAAATTTGACTACCTTGACGGGTCCGAGAACCTTCTTCGAAAACTCACGAATTTCGAGGCGCGCTATGCGAAAGGTGGCCATATATGGCTTTCACAGATGACCGCTATGATCCTTTCGCGGTCATGTCCAGCGGAAGACACGTCGGACTTGTCCAAAGCGCCTAGTGCAAATTATAGACTGTGTCCATTGCAGAACCTTGTTTTGCGTGGATTTCCTGCTCCGGAAGAAGACCTCATCAGGATCTCATCTTTACCTGGTTTGAGATTACTTCACAAGAATAGAGTGTAGTAGTAGGACAAGAGTAGAGCAGAGTCGGTCGGATGTTGAACTGTCCGTTCTGCGGTAAACCCATTCCTTTTCTTCGAACATTTCTAATTTATCCTTCTAACAGGCCGTGGTCATCAATGCATATTGATAATGGCTACAACCTGTTGGTCAGTGGAAGATGAGTTAGTCTGTACAAACTTGATGGGATGAGGAGTAGAAATCGAATTGTCCTACCATCCGTCTCGCTTCATATTTGGATGCAATACCCAGTCTGGATGGACTTTCAGCGTAATTTACACCTTCGAAACTACATACTCTGGCACATCAGTGTTTGTTTCATTGGTTGATATCATTCGTTAAGGACAATCATAATGACAATGGCGGAGTTCGCAGAATAGTAGCATCAAATTACAGTAGCGGTGGCGACTTGCTTTGTTCTAAGGAGCGTGGAACATTGCGTTCCCAACATCTGCGGAGCTGGCACCTGGATGAGCTGATTTATGTGTGAGGGGATGATCCGGAATCCTGAAAAACAACGAGCAAAGGCAAGAAATCAATCTGAACACTGAAAAGGACTTAGTCAAGGCAGACCGGAGATGCGATTGATGTACTCAGTGGATTGAATCCTCAAGAAGGGAAAACCACTGCGGCTCCTGTGTGGCAACGACATTGCCGAATCTTTCCTTTATAACCCGAATAACATCTTCCTCTTCATCGTCCTCCAACTCTGTAACGCTAAGGTGGTGGGAATTATAGAGCGCAATCGTGTAATCGTACTTTGGCGACAAAGGTAGTATACGCTGGAGCTTAAAGCGACAACGAGCACTTAAGTCCTCCATGACGTCGTCCATTATATAGTGCCACAAGCATGCTCGGTTGTCCATTGGCGGTGGTCGAGGGAGTTGATGCCTTTGGTGGTAGTCAATAAAATCTTGTATATCCACTCCGAACCCGTAGAATAATTTCTGGGGTTTGATGTATCCAGGCTCAAGCCTCCAACGTCGGACGTTGAAGCGGTATTCTTCAGGAAGTGTTTTGTCCGTGGAACATTGTGGAAGGTCTTCAGGTTTAATACGCTGTGAAGGCAAGATTGATAAAAGAAAACAAGCAGTGCCGACACTACTCACACTTTTGGTGGGATTCGGACGCGGGCACGGGTTGTAGATCTCTTCGTCAGGGATATTCATAGATACTAGCTTTGGACAATATGTATCTCAGAAGGGTTGCGATTTTCGAACGGCGGCTGGATTGAAGTTTCTTTTAATGGCGCTGGTAGACAGAAGTACTGTAAGCGCTCGTCATGTGAATTCACGCGTTCACGCCCAACCATCATGTCGAATCGAACTGTTCCTTTGCGTAGAAGGACCTCCTTATTGCACGATCCATCTGACACAAAACCTCCCACTATAAATGACTTACGAGTTCGTCGCTATTTATTTATCTATCGCTCTTCGGTGACCTCGGTAGGTAAAAGAACGCTATATCTGCAGAGGTCAAGAACGATACGATGGTATATTCAATCTTTTCGCTTCTTTACCTCCAACTCACCACCTTTTGAACATAGAACCTACTGCAAAACATAGAAAATGGGTGCATCCATGTAAATGCAAGCTGATTGCGCACCAATTGTGCCTAAAAAGCTTCGTGACAAGGGGACCAGCAAACAGAGGAAAATGTCCTCAATGTGGCTTCGAATATCAGATACAAAGCAACCTTGCATTCCTCAGCTCCTCATTGTTTTTTCTGATCGGGGATACCATCTTTCAAGCGATGGGGATGAGCTTCCTCGCTACGTCGGCTGTTGGGCTAGCAACATTTACTGCTGTCAGTGTTTACACTTTTGGGACAGGATTCGTTTCGGTGCGACAGCGGTGGGAGAATTTTTTGGTCCTGGGTATGTGAAATTCGAATGCTCTTGTAGACTGTAGTATACTCACATTGTGTCGTAAGTTATCCGACCTCTTGCTGACAGACGAGCCAACTAATCGGCATGCTGGACATTATCGTTTGATGTCTCCTGTCATGAACCTGGGCACCTTCACACTTCCTGTGGCCGTCAATCCCTCCTTATTCCGTACGAGAACAGCTTACAGCAGAATCCAGCCGACTCGATGCAAGGTCCACCTTGATCTTTACCCCGAAGACGACGATAATACAACATATGACTGGATGGTCATAAAACATATCTTGGTGTACAACCTGGAGGCCTGGTCTTGAATTCGAGCATTATATCTCCGCGGTCTTTTGAGATCACACCTTCCACTCCTAAATTTACCCCCCAACTCATCTTCGAACCTGGGAGAACTTTCCTTCGACTGGGTCCTTCGTTCCATTTTCAAAGGCGAGAACTTCATTCCAATTTCCCTTACCAGGCACCCTCGAAATATCTGTGTATGAGTCTACGGTTTTGCATGAACACTTTGTGCAGTGTCTCACTGCACCTCTTCTCGAAGACTCGACCATTCTTCCGCTTAACAATCACAACACTTACTACGACCTCTCCGAACATATTGAAGCATCTCAGAGACGAAGACACGGCACTATCGCCTCTCACAATACATGGATTTCACCATCGATGGCTATCACTGAACGTTTTCCAACCTTTTCCTCCTTGAGCCGTCCATATTCTCTGGACCTGGTACGTTCGACCTGATGACTCGAAACCGTTCATTAAACGATTGAAATTTGACTACCTTGACGGGTCAGGTGCACTATGCGGAAGGTGGCCATATATGGCTGTCACAGATGACCTTATTAAGATCTAATCTTTGCTCGGCTTGAGATTTACTTCACGAGAAGTGTATAGTAGGGCGAAGAGTAGAGTAGAGTTAGTTGGAGGTTGAACTGACCGTTCTGCGGTTATGAAGCAAACTCATACATTTTCTTCGAGCATTGATAATTTATCCTTTTCACAGGCCATGTTCATCAATGCATTTTGATAATGGCCACAACCTGTTGGTCAATGGAAGATATATATGAGTTAGTCTGTACACGCGTGATAGGAGGAGTCGTCGGCGTAGAAGTTGAACCAATCGACAATGGTCTGGTCCTAACGGCCGTCTCGCTTCTTCGCCAATCAGAAATTCATATTTGGATGCAGTTGGAAGTCAGTTAACCTAACTCATGCTATAGTCACCTTGCTTGCAAGGTCTATTCTACCCTGGAATTGGACAATTTTGATGTGCAGGCACACTTTGAACTTGTTTTGTTTTGAACGTTCCACAACAACTCTCCTATTCTCTCCACTGTGACCTACATGAACATACTATGGAGGTCCTGTGCTGACTCGCGGCGCACCCTAGTATGTGCGCCGCATTCTAAAACTAGAATATGTACCAAGCAAGGTGTGGTCCACGACAGTGGAGCCTAGTATATATATACTATGGAACGTGGACATGCTCAACTGTCAAGTCTAGATAGACTTTCAGCATTATTTACACCTTTACTCTGGCACATCAGTGCTTGTTTCATCAGTGGATATCATTCGTTAAGGACAATTATGATGACAATGGTGGAGTTTGTGCAAAATGGTAACATCAAATTAGAGCAGCGGCGATGACTTGCTTTCGTCTAAGGAGCATGGAACATTGCAACATCTCCGGAGTTGGCGCCTGAATAGGCTGACTTGTGTGCGAACATAAGGAATTCTAGAAAACAACGAGCGAAGGGAAGAAGTAAATCTGAATGGCACTGAAAAGGACTTAGTCAAGGCAGACCGGAGATGTGATTGATGTACTCAGTGGGTTGAATCCATGAGAAGGGAAAACCACTGCGGTCTCTGTGCAGCAACAACATCGCCGAATCTCTCCTTTATAATCCGAATAACATCTTCCTCTTCGTCGTCCTCCAACTCTGTGACGCTAATGTGGTGGGAATTATAGAGCGCAATTGCGCAGTCGTACTTTGGTGACAAAGGTAGTATACGCTCGAGCTCAAAGCAGCAATGAGCATTTAGATCCTCCATGACATCGTCCATGATATAGTGCCACAAGCTCGCTTGGTTGTCCATTGGCGGTGGTCGAGGTAGTTTATGCCTCTGGTGATAGTCGAGAAAATCTTGTATATCTACCCCAAACCCGTAGAATAATTTTCGGGGTTTGATGTATCCAGGCTCAAGCCTAAAACGTCGGGCGTTGAAGCGGTATTCTTCAGGAAGCGTCTTTTCCGTGGAACATTTCGGTAGGTCTTCAGGTTTAATCCACTGTAAAGGGCAAGGTTGAAAAAAACGAAACCAGCAGTGCGAACATTGCTCACACTTTGGGTGGGATCCGGACGAGGACATGGGTGGTAGATTTCTTCGTCAGTGGTAATCATGGGTGCTAAAGGTATGTTTCTCAGAGGAGGTTGTGCCTTTTGAACAACGCGTGATAAGTGGCTTCGACTAAGCGCTTATGAAGTTTTGTTGTCCACATGGTTTGAATTATTGTGCGTCAGGTGCACAACTATCGGCTATTGTTCTGTGTATGCACTGAGAAAATACAAACGGTCGCCTGATGAGTGGAACAAAAGAGTTCATTCAGTACTAATAATTCAGCCTGTCAACTCACAAGGAACAATAAGATTCTTAGAACAATTTCACAATAAGTTCAAAAGAACAATAAAGGGTAGTTAATTGACCCAAAAAATCGTTGTGGGTTTAGCGTATCGCACTACTTATAACACCTCCAGCCCTTCATTCACCACTCTTCCTCTCATCCGAATATGGCGCCGAACAACGAACAAATGGTTACGACTTTATATCATGATCCATCGGTAAGCAGCCGACACTCGTAAATGCGCAAAAGTTCACTCCAAAGCCAGGTTGTAGTTATTCGCAGAGAAGAGTCTTTGACCCGGCTTCAAAACAATATTAATCTTGCTCAATCTCAGCATCATTCTGAGTCTCGACTCTACCCCCTCTTGAACCGCATTGTCAGTGATTTATGTTCATTGGCGAAACATGATTCGGAGGAACAGGGAAGTAGAGAGCTACAGTGTCATTCGCAGGCTCTGTTTCCCGTGGAAGAAAATCATAACCAGGTCCCAGATGTTGCGGCGTGCGTATTTAGCGCTGATTCTCTCGACATGTTTCCTGCTTTTTGGTTTGAAGGAAAAGCCCTGCCTCTCGAAAAGGACGTAGAAAGTTGGCAATCCCCCAAGGCTCGTTACCGTGCCATGGAAATATTTGCAAACTCGATACCTCAGCTTCGCCAACAAGTTAATAATGCCTTTGAATGTTTTGAACATGGACCTACGAGTTACCATGTTTTCTTATTAGTCGGGACATTTTGGTCCTTGCTCGTTTTCGAGAAACAGCAGGAAGATGATGTGAGAGACTATATTGAACAGAAGGAGGCAGCGGCCAAGCAGGAACTAGTGGGGATTGCCAAAAAGCTCATTGACAGGAAGAACCAAGCCTCGGTACTCCCCGCTGCTAAACGAAGGAGGATCACAAAAAGTACTCCAGCAGCCAAGAACCCAGAAATTGTGATGAAAACGGATATCACTGTCCCGGACCGTCTTCTCCCCCAACTTAAATATGTGAATGAGCCCCTTGTAGTCGGAAGCCCTGTCGAAAACTATAGCCCCAACTTTTTAAAAGCGGTGAATTCTGCTATGGCCCAGAACCATTTTGTCTTGCAACCGTCTTGGTTTAATGTGCCGCCCAATTTCAACTCTCACCCAGATCTGGTAAACATTTTTGCCTGTTTCAAAACTTGTCAACACTGACTGTGCGTACCTGACTCTAGACGGAAGGCATCCGGAGATTGCGGTCTGCCTATGAACGAGACTTGAAAAACATCATGTCCAATGAAAAAGTGGCTCTGGAAGATCATCTATATTCACCACCACAGGACTCGAATGATACAACCTATCGTCCTCCTCGTAGAAACATGGACAATGACCAGGACCGGCAATATGACCTCCGGAGTAGTGCGGCTGGTAATCATGGTACACTAGATAGTGCAGATACAGATTCTTCACATTCTACTAGTGGGGAGGAGGAGGAAGATAGTGATACTTAGCAGTCGATCAAGGACTCTGGAAGCTCCTTCGGAACTTTGTGCGGAATTATTGTTTAGAGTAAAAAATTGGCCAATTCCTTGTTCAAATATAGTGGTAGCGAAGTGCATAGTTCAGAGTGTTCAAAGCCCTTCATGGGACTGTCAAAGTAAACAAAGAATTGGGTACTTTGAAATAATTGCTAGTTTGTGTGCAGGTATGATACGGAATCCTATCAACTAACGAGCGAAGAGAGAAAATAATCCAAATTTGACTTTGCTGGAGATTCGGTTGATGTACTCAGTGGATTGAATCCTCAAGAAGAAAAAACCACTGCGGTCTCTGTGCAGCAACGACATCGCCGAATCTCTCCTTTATAACCCGAATAACATCTTCCTCTTCGTCGTCCTCCAACTCTGTAATGCTAATGTGGTGGGAATTATAGAGCGCAATTGCGTAGTCGTACTTTGGTGACAAAGGTAGTACACGCTCGAGCTTGAAGGAACAACAATCATTCAAGTCGTCAATGACCTGGTCCATTATAAAGTGCCACAAGCTCGCTCGGTTGTCTAGTGGAGGTGGTCGAGGGAGTTGATGCCTCTGGTGATAGTCGAGAAAATCTTGAATATCCACACCAAACCCATAAAATAATATTCGAGGTTTGATGTATCCAGGCTCAAGCCTGAAACGTCGGGCGTTGAAGCGGTACTCTTCAGGAAGCTTCTTTTCCGTTGAACATTTTGGAAGGTCTTCAGCTTTAATCCACTGGGGGAGGCCGAGATGATAAAACAAAACAAGAAAAGTGCCAGCACTACTCACAGTTTTCGCAGGATCCTTACGCGGGCATGGTTCGTAGATATCTTCGTCAGAGGTATCCATGATGGTTGCTTTGAAAGGTATGTTTCTCAGAAGCCGTGACTTTCAAACAACCCGTGTGGTGAACAGGTTTTGCTTAAGCGCTTACGAAGCCTTGTTGTCCCGATGGTTAAAATTTTGGTGCAACAGGTGCACAATTGTCTGTCAAGTTGAACATTGGCCATGTCCTTGTTCGACGAATGTAGTGGCAGCGAAGTTTATAGGTTAGAGCATCTAAGGCCTTCTGGGGTGCACTAAAGTAAATAAAGAATTGGGTACTTTGCAATAATTGCAAGTTTGTGTGCGGGTATGATACGGGATCCTATCAAATAACGAGCGAAGAGAGAAAATAATCCAAATTTGACTTTGCCGGAGATTCGGTTGATGTACTCAGTGGATTGAATCCTCAAGAAGGAAAAACCACTGCGGCTTCTGTGCGGCAATGGGACCTCCGAATCTTTCCTTTATAGTCCGAATAACATCTTCCTCTTCGTCGTCCTCCAACTCTGTGACGCTAAGGTGGTCGAGGGAGTTGATGCCTCTGGTGGTAGTCGATAAAATCCTGTATATCAACACCAAATCCGTAGAATAATTCCCGGGGTTTGATGTATCCAGGCTCAAGCCTCCAACGTCGGACATTGAAGCGGTATTCTTCAGGAAGCATTTTTTCCATTGAACACTTCGGAAGGTCTTCCTCAGGTTCAATCCGCTGTGAAGCCAAGGTTGATTTGAAAAGAAAGCAAGCAGTGCCAACACTACTCACACTTTTTGCGGGATTCGGACGCGGGCACGGGTTGTAGATCTCTTCGTCAGGGATATTCATGGATGGTAGCCTTAGAAGGTATGGATAGAATAGGATAGGATATGAATTTATTTTAGGAGAAGTTGTAACTTTCAAACAACGTGTGCGGTTCCCCCCTAAGCGCTTAGGTAACATGGTTTGAATTTCTGCCATTTTCCTAATACATACTATTGTTCTGTGATTGTATGTACTGAGAAAATGAACGGTCGCCTGATGAATCGAACAAAAGAGTTTATTCCGTACTACTAATTTAGCTTGTTAACTGACATTAAGATCATACGATGAAGTTCAAAAGAGCCTTGAGAGCAGCTCGCACAAAGCCTTCTGCGAGATTGTGTATTTGAGAGTAAAAATCAGGCAATTCCTTCTCCGAGTATAGTGGCAGCAAAGCTCAGACTTCGGAGTGTTCGAAGGTCTTCATGGGAGCATCAAAGCAAATTAAAAAATTGGGTACTTCGTGATAAGTGTGCGGGTATGATACGGAATCCTGTCAAATAACGAGCAAAGACGAGAGACAATAATCCAAATGTGGCTTTGCCCGAGATTCAGTTCATGTACTCAGTGGATTGAATCCATGAGGAGGAAAAACCACTGCGGCCTCTGTACAGCAAGGTATTCGCCGAATCTTTCCTTGATAATCCGAATAACATCTTCCTCTTCATCGTCCTCCAGCTCTGTGACACTAATGTGGTGGGAATTATAGAGTGCAATCGCGTAATCATACTTTGGCGACAACGGTAATATACGCTCGAGCTCGAAGCAGCAATGAGCATTCAAGTCATCCATAACGTCGTCCATGATATAGTGCCACAAGCTCGCTCGGTTGTCCATTGGCGGTGGTCGAGGAAGTTGATGCCTCTGGTGGTAGTCAATAAAATCTTGTATATCAACACCAAATCCGTAGAATAATTCCCGGGGTTTGATGTATCCAGGCTCAAGCCTCCAACGTCGGACATTGAAGCGGTATTCTTCAGGAAGCGTCTTGTCCGTGGAACACTTCGGAAGGTCTTCAGGTTTAATCCACTGTGGAAGGAAAAGTTGATGAGAGGAAACGAGCAGTGGCAACCTGTGGCAACACTACTCACACTTTTTGCGGGATTCGGACGCGGGCACGGGTTGTAGATCTCTTCGTCAGGGATATTCATGGATGGGAGCTTTGGAAAGTATGTATCTCAAAAGAAATTGCGATTTTTGAAGAACGGCTGGATTGAAGGTTCTCTCTAAGTAGTACCAATGCATGGCGTTGGCGCTGGTAGACACATGTACTGTAAGCGCTCGTCATGTGAATTCACGCGTTCATGCTCAACCATCATGTCGAATCGAACTGTTCCTTTGCGTAGAAGGACCTCCTTATTGCAGGATCCATCTGACAGGAAACCTCCCACTATAAATGACTTACGAGTTCGTTGCAATTTCATTATTCTTTCGCTTTTTAGTGACCTCGGTAGGTAAAAGAATGCTATATCTGCAGAGATGAAGAACGATACGATGGTATGTTCAATCATTTCGCTTTTTTCCCTCCAACCCACCACCTTTTGAACATAGATCCTGCTGCAAATCGTAGAGAATGGGTGCATCCATGTAAATGCAAGCTGATTGCGCACCAATCGTGCCTGAAGAGCTTCGTGACCAGGGGACCAGCAAACAGACGAAAATGTCCTCAATGTGGCTTTGAATATCAGATACAAAGCAGTCTTGCATTTCTCAGCTCCTCGTTGTTTTTCCGGATCGGAGATACTATCTTCCAAGCGATGGGGATGAGCTTCCTCGCTACGTCGGCCGTTGGGCTGGCAACATTCACTGCTGTCAGTGTTTTTACTGTTGGGACAGGATACGGTGCGATAGCGGTCAGAGAATATTTTGGTCCTGGGTATGTGAAATTTCCATGCTCTCGCAAACTGTAGTATACTCACGTCGTGTCGTATATCCAAATAGGTTATTCGACCTCTTGCTGACTGACGAGCCAACTAATTGGCATGCTGGACATTTTATCTTTCTTTTTCTGACACCATTACGTCTAGTGTCTCCCGTCATGAACCTGGGCACCTTCACACCCTTTTTCTTCCTGTGGCCGTCAATCCCTCCTCATTCCGTACGAGAACAACTTACAGCGGAATCCAGCCGACTCGATGGGATTTTCCCGACAACTCCTTCCACAGATCAGAAATGGCCTCCTGGCTTGAAGACATTCGGATTCATAGTTGTCGGCACGTCTATGTTGTACCACCGCGTATTTGCTCGCTTTTCTGAGTGGGTATTGGGCATGAAACAGCCTGAACCAAGAGGGTTGTTTAGAGGGCTGACATTCCGACGAGAGTTTCGTCGCCAGGAAGGTCCGGATGGGGCAGAACAAGAAGCAGTGCTGCAAGTGCAGCGCGAGGCTCCAGAGGAACCCGACACGCCTTTCGCCAATCTGAATGGGGTTACGCAGTACCCGAATATTTCGATAATGATTGGGCTACTAAAGCCTTTCATTGCGAGCGGAATGGGTCATCTTCTTTATCTCGGCGCACAACATTCGAGTACCTTACGCTTGGTCCTTGGTATTCGACGTTTTGGAGATATCACTCCATTGTATACATCCCCGAAACTTGTACCCGAACTGTCCGACAATATCTGGTACTGGAAGTACTACACTGCAACGGCCGTTCACGAAATGGATCCTGTTTGGTATGCTTTCTTTTACCTCCTATTTCCGTGGACAAGAACTAATATGTTAAATGTAGGATTCGTAATTCAATCGGACTAGGTATTTTTATCGTAGTATGTGTTGGATTTTTCTCCTTTCGTCGTTCAACCCAGGCTAACTTAGTCCTTAGATGAAAGATTGTCTGCACCTTTTCCACTTGTGGTTGACGAAGCGTGAATTGGCTAGCCGAAGGTTGAAGAATCGTGATTTTGCGGGTGTAGACTTGAATGAACTTGACCTAATTCGACCTGTATCTAACAGTATATCCTCATGAATTCTCATTAGGTTCAGATCTACATGTAAACGTCGGCAACACGCTCAAGCTAAGTATCAGTCACGTCACATCACATGTCGTGACGCCTCGATCGTCGATGTGGGGAATCGATCTTGTCTTTTGACCCTCGGTATGAAAATGACTCTGACAATGTCTCTCCTATGTATTTTTCTTGGCTCTCTCTCTCCCGCAGACGGTTGCCCTCACTATACTCAAAATTTCCATACCTTCAACGCTCTTGGAGCTCAATCATCTCAATGAACTCTTTGCAGGAAACCTCATCCGCAGTTTCTTCTCAGCGTCGCAGTGCACGAATCCGCACGATAGCCAACAATGGACCGTCAGTCGTAACTGCTGCACCAATGGCGAATGACATTCGACAGAAAAGAAAACGGGCTTCAGACAAAGTATCAGTGGAAATTGAGGATGCAGGGCTCAGCTCAGACTTGTCGGACATCGAAGATGAATTTATTCCCAAAACTCCGAAGAAAAAGAGGAAGAAGAAGGCCGGAAAAGAATCCCAAACAGTTTCCGAAGCGGTCAAGGTAGATGCTGACGAGGAAGCTGAAGGCGAAGTCAAGAAAGCCCGCAGACCCAGGAGACCCAAGCCTGAGCCGGTTTACATTATCCAGGACGTGGAAAGACGCGACACAAAGTTTCGAGGCCGCCTTGGTACGTACTGCTTTTTTTCGAGATATCAAGTTTCTCTCTGACTGTGATTCACAAAATAGGTTATGCCTGCCTCAATACAATCTTGAGAAACAAAAAGCCTGCTTCAGACGCTGTGTTTTGCTCCAGAACTTGCCGGTAGGTCTATTACCTCTCATAGAGGATGTAATGTTCAATACTTTGAAAAGAATCGACTCTATCAAGAAGAATGGGATGGATTGGGTCAGAGAACTGGGTCGTAAGAATGTGCAGGATCTTATTACCATGATACAATGGAACGAGGACAATGTACACATCTTCTATTTCTTCCTGCGCATTCATTCCCTCATCTCCTAATCTTAATCCGTTACACAGAACATCCGTTTCCTTCGCCTATCTTCAGAAATGTTCCCTTTCGCCTCCCACCCGATCTACGGCTACTCCCTCGAGTACTGTTCTTCGCTCTTAGCTGAGGCAGGCGCGTTGGCGAAAAAATACGGGCACCGATTGACGACACATCCTGGCCAGTTCACCCAGCTTGGTAGCCCTAAACCTGGCGTCATCGAGAGTTCGATCCGAGAGCTCGAGTATCACTGTCAAATGTTGGACTTTATGGGCGTAGGGAAGGACGGTGTGACTATCGTTCATGTAAGACCGCCGAATCTTGAGAAGCCGTATCTGCAGCTGATTTGGACGCTTTCTAGGGTGGTGGTGTGTACGACGACAAGCCCGGGACCATAGAACGGATCAAGACGACGATCCGCGATGTTCTACCTCAACATGTGAGGGAAAGATTGGTTTTGGAGAATGACGAAGTGAGTAAAATCCCTCGATACATCCATTGTCCTCCTGACATTTATTCCTGTGCCGCAGCTCTGTTATAACGCAGATGATCTTCTTCCTATATGTGAAGAACTAGATGTTCCTCTCGTTTTTGGTAAGTCCATGATTATTCATTCTGTACTCACATGTATTCTAATCTCAGTCTTATTCAGATTATCATCATGACGCACTCAAGCCTTCTTCCATCCCACCTGCCGCGATCATAAAACGTACAAATGCGATTTTTGCTCGACGAGGCATCCGGCCTAAACAACATCTCAGTGACCCCCGGCCGGGCGCTGTCACCCTCATGGAACGCCGAGCGCATGCTGATCGCTGTGAACGACTTCCCGATGAGCTTGAACTAGAAGGAATCGGAATCGATATCGATCTAATGATAGAGGCCAAGGACAAGGAGCAGGCGGTGTTGCAGTTGTATAGGATCTATGGATTGGAAGAAGTTAAATACGGTACGTGTTGTCATTCGCCTTATTTTGCTGAACAGTGGGTAAACTAATGTACGTTGCTTGACAGAGTCTCTGCGCCCGCCTAATGAGAATCAGACCAAGGAGACCAAGGGAAGAAAGTCGAACAAGAAAGCGAAAAAGGGCGAACAAGCTATGATCGATGGAGTTGAAGGTGAGGGCGAGGATTCGGTCAACGTTGACGAGGATAACGTCGAAGATGGGGTAGGGGACATGGTACATGCATAAGAAGACTGCAGTCAATAATGGTGGTTCGTGTTTTTATATTACAAAGTCATAATTATGGTAATGCGAAACACAGTCGATGCTTGTAAAGTATAGATAGTGTACAGGTGTGCAGTGTAGTAGTAGTGCGTACATTCATTTGAAGTACAACGAAACAAAACAAAGCGAAGATCTTATTATAGTACATTCCATTCTGGTGTAGGCTCAAGCCACTCCCTCCCTTGGAGCAGCAGTGGCTTAATTGGCAGCAAGAAGTGCGCCGATGGCCTTGTATGCAGCGATAAAAAGTTGTGCAGTTGTTTCGTCAAGGAGGTTTGGCTTGACGCTCTCGGAATCGCATCTCGCCGCGAGTTTCACCCTAAGTCAAGTAAAAGTCAGTCAAAGACTATAGATAGCTAGATACATACATACTGAATTTTGGAATCATAAAATATTATTTGCAGTACATGGGGGGAATCATTGGTTTGATCACGACCAATAATGTTACATGAGGATTGGCGGAGAACGAGGAAAGATCTGACCTGTTCTCCTGGGTTGAGATGTAGTCTCATGCTGTACTGCAGATACAGCACTCAACATTTATCTCAGTGCTGACAGTCAGACTCCACAGTCAACAGGGAATCCCTCCGTGGCTCTTACTAAGCTAGCATCGCACAGCGGACGGAGTTCATCTTACTGTTGACATTCCTCGGAAGCCCCTTGCTCTATGTCAGCTGGTGACCCTCTCAGATGTTACGACTTTGAGCAACAAGTCTGGCATCTGGAATGGGTAGGCGTACTGAAAGTCGTCCTACCGTCGCCTCCGTCACCTGTACACATATATGCTCCTCCAGTTGTGAAAGAATCATTTACAGTTGAACACAGGATACGAGGGGAAGTCTCATTATCGAGCGAGACTTGTGAGTCAAGAAATGATTCAGCATAGAGTTCTTTGATAACGCGAGCGCGTCGAAAATGTAATTGGGACAAGGACAAGTAATATTAACAGGAAATCCGAAAGCTATGATCAATGAAGTTGAAGGTGAGGGCGAGGATTTGGTCAACGTTGACAAGGATAGCGTCGAAGATGGGGTAGGGGACATGGTACATGCATAAGAGGACTGGTGTCAATAATGGTAGCTCGTATTTTTATATTACAAAGTTATAATCATGGTAATGCGTCGATGCTTGTAAAGTGTAGATAGTGTACAGGTGTGCAGTGTAGTAGTAGTGCGAACATTCATTTGAAAAACAACGAATACAAATTCAATTTATGAAACGAAACAAAGCGAAAATCTTATTATAGTACATTCCATTCTTGTGTTGCTAAACCACACCCTCCTCTCGAGCAACAGCGGCTTGATGGGCAGCAAGAAGCGCGCCGATGGCCTTATGTGCAGCAGAAAGAAGCTGTACAGTTGTGTCATCGAGGAGCTTCGGCTTGATGCTCTCAGAATCTGGAAGAACAGATGGCAGGATCACATTGTTGACAAGAGCATGTGCTACACTTCCAAGCGCCGAAGACAAGGAGGACACAGGTAAAGATGTAGAGGATGCAGGGGGGCGAGTAGAAACAACTTCAGCTGTATCTGAACTTGTTTCTGCGCGGAAGCCAAAAGTAGATGATCCCGTGGGGTTATTGTCGTTGATGATATTGGAATTCAGAGGGCCAGTCTCAGAAGTAGTGGTCTTGGATGAACTAGAATGTGTCTTGAGCGAATGAGCGAGGTCATCTTCCACCCATGACTCGGACGAGGGGAAGGCAGATGGAGCGGAGGTTCTACTACTATGCTTGTGGGAAGCCGGTTTGCTGTCATCAATGTAGACAGCTTGTCTATGAACCACAGACACCGACCGATTGGTACTGTTTTGTGCTCGTGCAGTAGGACGGGAAGCATCAGAAGTACCGCAAACAGGGACCCGACGAAGCGAGGAAGAAGGTAAGGACCCAGCGGAAACGGTAGAAGCTGTTTATGGACAGTGAGCTAGAAAAATGAGTGATCTGCAAAAACTTACAGCGAGGAATCAACGGGTTTGCTCGCGTATTGACCAATGGATTAGATACAGAATTCTTCGATACGCGGATGCTTGCCTCTTCTGGGACCTTCTTGGACGTACGATTTGTGCTTAGGAGTTTGGATATGGCAGAAGTTTTTGTGCGTTTCGAATCTCTGAGATCAACATCAGCCTCTATACTGGTCGCAGAGCGTTTATGCTTGGACTGCCAAGAGGATATTGGTGTATGAGCTGTACAATCGAAAATCAGGCGTACCGAAATGTCCATGTTCAACTCGGTCCGTTGAATTTCGGAGATGGGCTTGTCGGAGGCACTCAAACCTGGGAAAGAGGAAGTGCAATATGATTATAGATACTAGCAAGTATGGGTACTGTAGTAGCTGTTTCCGCTGTCGAGCACATACGATTACTGGGAAAAGGTGAGACGAAATAGAAAGGGGATCAGGATATATGCGTACAATTCTTCACTCATTTTGGAAACATTGTTGAGAAGATGTGAGAAGAGCGTCAGGGCATGTTCGTCTGCGATTTCCGCGGTTTCTTCCCCAAGTGCGTGAAGAAAAGTGTCGCCATTACCCCCTGGTACAACGATATCAAGTACTTGTCTGGAAGGGATGAGGTCGAAACATAGCTGACGGGAGATAGATTATTTGGATGACCTCCCAGAGCTTGATAATACCTACTTCTCGCAGAACGAGATCAGATGTAGGCTGATTCCTCTCCATTGCTCGCTCTATAAGTCGAGTTGCGCGTATTTTTCCTCGCCATACCGAGTTCGCGTTGCTTGAATCTGTGCGAGCCCGAAACTTCTCGAATGCTGTCCAATCAACTGGTGGAGGATCCAGTGCGTTTTCTTGGAGTATCGAAATGAGAAACGACTGATGAGATTGGATAGATGATGCGACCATAGTATCACTGAAAGTAAAAGAAGAATCTCAATCACTGCACAGCCACTGCGGACTTCAACTGAATCGCCCTCTGACCGATTATCTTTTCCTTAATTTGCAGTAAAAGAGGTAGGAAGTATAGCCAAAGATTGTGGATAGCGAAATATATGAAGTTTCAAATGTAAAAAACATAGTTTGGGAAGGAACATTACATGGGGAATATCGTTGGTTTGATCAGGACCAATGATGTTACATGAGGATTGGCGGAGAACGAGGAAAGGTCGGACCTGCTCTCCTGGGTTGAGATGTAGTCTCATGCTGTACTGCAGATACAGCAATCAACATTTATCTCAGTGCTGACAGTCAGACTTCACAGTCAACAGGGAATCCCTCCGTGGCTCTTACTAAGCTAGCATCGCACAGCGGACGGAGTTCATCTTACTGTTGACATTCCTCGGAAGCCCCTTGCTCTATGTCAGCTGGTGACCTTCTCAGATGCTACGACTTTGAGCAATAAGTCTGGCATCTGGAATTGGTAGGCGTACTGAAAGTCGTCCTACCGTCGCCTTCGCCACCACTAGTATATACATCTGACCTCCTAAGTAGTGAAGGTATCGTCCATAGTTGAACACAGTGTACGAGTAGATGTCTCAGTGTCGAGCGAGACTTGTGAGTCAATTGACTCAATCATAATGGAGATTGTTTCTGACTCGAGCGCGTCGAAAACGAGGAAGGAAGAGTAGGGAAGAGTACATATGTACCAGTAACTCGAGGATGCCTAAAACTAACAGATCTGGAAACGGCCCGGGGACGTGATTTTCTCACAGCATTATTATATTTTTCCTCAACCATCTTAGTATCTCTCTAATTCCACTCCAATCTCTGTTCAAGATTCAGAAAACAATGCCTGGAATTTTTCTATTCGCTTTCATACCATCTGGTTCGAATGCTGTTCGAATTGGCTCCTTATTAGCATCTATCGACGATGTATCCCCTTCGGACATGATCTGCTAGTAGTTGTTCAGTGCTATGTTTATTTCTTGTGATGCCATAGCCTGGCCAAAGCGGCGGTGAGCGCTGTTTCAGGTGCGGGCTGAATCCAATGGCAGCACTTCGAAACGCTTACTATGCGGAGGCAGCCATGCGCTCTAATTTCACTCAGCTCGCGTAAACGTCCTGTGTACGGGGCGCACACAGCTTCTTCCGTACCCATCCTCTGAAGAGTCCTGGAGATTACATAGCCTCCAGCGCAAATTCCATCCAAGCTATACAAATTCGACTACCTGACACGCATACCCTCTCACTGGGGCCGCCGCAAAATTTCCCGCCCGTGAAAAAGAGCGGGAAATTTTTCGCAAAAAAATCCATTTCACAATAAAATATTTTTCCCTTTTTAAGACCTGAAAAGTTCAATCTTTCCCTAGTTAGAAATATTGTCTTTCGCGCTTAGTACAATTTGGCATTTTCCATGTAACATTTCTCATTAATTCCGACCAAAAAAGTCATAATATTTCCAACTGTATCGTTTATCTTTCCCACCCGATATAGATAATCTTTCGCGCTCGGTAATGATAACCTTTCCCCCTTTGGTACGGATAATCTTTCTTGACCCTGTATAGAGGTCCTTTCACGATCGAAATGAGATAACTTTGTCGTTTGTGTAAGTACACATTTCCCTTATGCTCAAAATGATCTTTCACGCAATGAATTTCTCATTTTTTTACGGTCGCGAAAGTCAATGCCCGCTTTTCACAAGCGCCAAGCAGGCGCCTGTGCACACTTCCTTAGAACAGAGAATTTGTTCGGGCCTCCTTCGTTCAGCTAATTCACTGACTGACCAAGCTATGGACGTGGACTCCCGTACATATCACAAAAGTGTGCGGATCAAAAAACGCCACCCATGTGGTATGAATGAGCAGTCAAATTTCTACGATGTGATAACGATTAGACTAATACTCAAGCCTCGTGTCTGCCTTTCATTCACCTTTCCGTTCAAGCTCAACAAAGGATACTACGTTCCATATATGATTGAGGCAACCTGGCGATATTTCACGTCTCTGTTCTTCATACCCTCTTTCCATGGGTCCCAACCGTACACCAAAAACCATTCGTCATCGAGTGCCGGCCCCTAGATCCTCCCCTCGCAGACACAATATGCTACTGCGTAGTATCACACGGCCTGTAGAGATTATTCAAACCCCTGCCACTGTAGATCCTTCTACTCCAAATTCTCCGGTTCACACGAGCGAGCACTCATTCCTCAATGAGACCTCCGTCTGCCCTCACATTCCTTCCCTTGTTCCACCCTCTGATGACCTCCCCAAACCAGAGGAGGCTTCCAGTTCCTCCCTTGGTCTACCTCTTGACCTTGTTATGCCAGAGGAACCTGATGCTACATCGATTTTGGAGACAATGTTCAGCGAAACTCGCGAGAAATTCTATGACGAACAGGAGAAGTCGATACAGTTTGCAATTGAGTACGCCGAACTTCTTTCACAACAGTGTAGTGTGAGTGCATCTACATATGGACTATGTTCATCACCTTAAAAATTCTCGTTGTAGGATTCCGCAAAGATCATCCTGTTGAAAGACATTATGCGAAAGTTGGATTACTCCTGTCCCCTATGCAAGAATCTGGCTTGGAACCCCCATGTGTGCGTGTCTTATCCATTGATCTCTTTCATCTGCCTGACAGTTTGTGAACCCTAGTCTATCATGTGGACACATTATGTGCTCAAAGTGTATCACCACTGAGCGACGAAAAGGTGTCGCGTCCGGCAAGCTATGTAAATGCCTACATTGTGGTTTTCCTGTCTTCCGAAAGCCCAATCCATCCATAATGATCCAGCAAGTGGTTGAACGGATTGCCACGAAGCTGAAGATAGTACAGCCTCCCCGACATGAGCTCGATTGGATGGTTGTTGTGTGACCGTGATTATTTTTTTGCTCTCCTTCCTTCATCACACTTCTACCTACTGAGTCCTCAGAGGATATTATAATCGATCTGTTTATTCGTCGTAATCTTTAGAGTCACTTAATTCAATGTCTTGTAGTGTTTCTTCCTATATCATTTCTTTCTACGGAGTCTAGAGCTGTATCAATCTGATATACAGTGTTGCGTATCTTGAATCGGAAAGCGACAAAAAATGAACATATCATATCTGCTTATCCTCTGTGGTAACCCATCTAGAAGCATCGTTCAATGTGGACAGATGAGACGAGAGTCCGACTGGTCTATCAAGCATACAAATCTAGTGAAAGCATTGATCACTGTAAGATACCTGGAATATACGAAAGCAAACTGACCTTGAAGGGCCTGCAATCGAGTCAGTCTGTTCATGGTTTTGAGAGCTGTACCCCTCTCGAAGGAAAGATGAAGGTAGTTTTTGATGGACAGATGCACGCGCCACAGGAAGTTGAGTAGATACTCGTTTCAAACGCTTCGTCCCTGTTGGGCAGAAAAAATCAGGATAGAGAGCAGGAGTGTTATCGACATGCTGGAACAGAGGGCTGAATGCGGGGTGACGATAATCAAGGTCAAATACATATTTGAAAGGTTCCTCATCGTTATCCTCATCATAACCAGTCTCCTCATCAGACATCCCATGATGGGTGAGGATATCCAGGGATTGCAAGATATAGGTCCAGAAGACAAGCCCATCTTCATCTGCGATGGCGCGACATTGAGCGATCATAACGGAAGCGATCCTCTTTCGTCGGTGGAATTTCTGTGAGAATGAACAGAGTTCGAAGTTGAAGTAAAGTAATACGATTAGATCCACTCACTGTATGCAACGTTGCCCTCCGAGCTTGCTTCGATTTATTATCGGTGTTGTTGTTGGATTTAAGGTTACGTGCATCACTGATGATTCGATCAAGTCTGGCAGCGAACATGCACTCCCAGTCGACCATGATTTTCGAATACGACGAGTCTGATGTTAGGGAAAGAGCTCTTTGAGCGAGAAGTTTGATTACTGCTTGATTCCACTCGGAACGTCAACACGTGTTGGTCATGTCGAGCTGGATTGCATTGGATACGGGCCCATAGTTTTGTGGGTCCTCGGTAAACAAGGCTAGACGACTGGGAGAAACTGGTTCCTTGAGACAAGCCTCGTACGTGAAGCATATTTGCATTGATTCGTGAATAATTTGTCGGGACAGCCACTAAGGTGGAATGGTGAGCGCAATGTGACACAGTACAGTCATGGGCACATACGTTTATGTCATTATCAGAAAATTCTGAGAGCTCGAAACGATTTTCCGCCGACATACTGAGTGGGATGTTGCTGGTTCGATGGTAAGTCGGTTGGGCGCTTATTCACACTTGGAATGATGATAAAAAGCCACAAAAGCGCAACTCTTCGATTTTGACATGTGCAATATCTACTCTTACAGCCCTTCCAACGTCTTTATCATATCTTCTACAAGGGCATCCCATTTGCCTTTCTGCTCCTCTCTATCATCGTCGAAGTAATGCTGCAACCCAACTGCCCACCATTTGACACAAGCGAGTAGGACCGGCCAGCCATGCTTCCCATGCTTGTTTAGAGGATTCAACACCACCTCAGAACCGTCAACCGCGGTAGAAATCCCCCCCTCAGTGACCGGTTCGCATTTTGGTTGCAAGGTGCTCCACCAATCCCAAACCTCGGATGAGAATTTCGTCGTTGAACAGCCTTCTTTGTCCACATCAGCTTGAAAGCGGTAATAGCGCCTATTCCTGATCCACTTATTGCAGAGGGAAGGTCTACGAAATTTTCCAAAACCTTCCCGATAGTCATTGGGGCATATCCACTGATTCTTACGCTCGTGTTCGACCCATCGACAGAGTAGCTTTAAATAGCGACTTCCCAGGTCAACATTCAAATAGATGTAGGCGTCATAGAACCATCCAAAAGACGGAGCATCAGATGGATAAGGAAGTGTTTGTGGAGCGCTTATTTCGTCGTTGTTCGCGGGCGAAGTCGTTTCGTGATCGGTAACAGTGACTGAGTTCTGAGCATGCCCTGATGAACTGTTGGTTATGCTTGGAGTAACCAAGCTTGCAGATTGTACATGGTGACTTGATGAATCTCCGACCTATCAAATACGCAAAATATAAGGCTTAAAGGAAAAGGATTTGGAAAAAGATTAACCTTCGAGACAATTGAGGGTACAAAGGGTTCACCCTCGGAAGATTCACAGTGCTGATGTACATCTGAGACGGCCGATGCGACCTGAAAATAGTATAAAGAAAGTAAATTAGCAAAAAGGGAGATCACCCACTTCTCGACTATTTTGCAAATGAGAGCTCCTGATGTCCAGCCTGATTTGACCTTGAGAGTCGGGTAGTTCAGTTCGCCACAAATTGACCTAACGGTGTCAAGATCGATACTAAGTAAGAAGAAATCTGGATTGTATGGAAGGTGCGCACCTCGCTTGGAAGCCTTTGCTCCGGAGATCCATCTCGTGTTCTAGATAGTTCCTCTTGTAGCTCGAGAACCTGCAGTCGAGCCTGACGGTACTGATTGTAGTATATATGTATATCCTTTTTGAGAGAAACAATGTCCTCCATGTCTAAGTTCTGTGACGGTGATTCTTAGAATGTCAGAGTCGCTACTACTCCAAAAGAAAGCAAACCATACCATGATTTCATCTATCTCATGATCGAGCTCAGTAACCTGCGCTTGTAGTTCTGCAGTCTTCAACCGAAGCAAGTCAAGTTCATCCTCGTAACGCCCATTGTGCATTATGAGACGAACTCTCTTAGCATTATGATCAGTGGTGAGTTCAATAGCTAGTAATATTATAGCCTTACACGTACCGTATATGGAGAATAATCTTCGTCGTACTCAGTTTCGTGATCGCCACTCCAAGGGAGCGAACGCTTAGGCATGATAGTTGGGTCTCTCAGACCCGCACGCCGTATATAAAGGATTCTACGCGTTAGATCATAGGTCATGTGATGAACCGTGACGCCTTTGATTCTGCTTTGAATCTGATTCCTTTCATCCGCTCTTGCAGGTTTCTTGTACGGAATGTCTTTTCTCAATGTTCAAAGGGTAATTGACGAAGACAAAGCAACGCCATACAAGCGCAAGCATATAATACCTCAAAATGCCACCCGAATTCAGTTCCTCCATCTTCAACCGCACTAGCATGCTCCCGCAAATGGACCATTCCGTTCACATTGAACCTCCCACCTTCTCTTCCAATGGCCCTGTCCTCACGACCGACTCCCAGATGTCCACATCGACGAGAGCTTGCAGAAAGTTTCCGTATAATTCAGCCCGAAGACGTCCCTCCGCCTATGGCTTGCCACTCAGCTATGACGATCCTTTGGCTGCCCTGCCTTCAGCATCTTCCTTTCCAACTATAACTCAGCCCACACCCTCCTGCTCCGGTCAAACTATTGCTTCTCATCATCTATCTCCGGGACCTCCTCCTTCCTGTTACAGCCGACCTTGCCCATCCTCTATGAAGATTCCAAAGCCTCCGGGAGAGGTTGGAAGGCCTGGGAGGGGTGGTTATAATCTTCGAAAGATATTGGGATGGTCCAGACAAGATTACGACAATGTGAAGGTACGTGCCTCCTTATGTCCAGTTTTCCCGTTTTCCTTATTGCTGCAATTCAGAATTTCATCAAAATACTTGTTGCACGCCTGGAAAATAACGTCCCGTTCACACAACTTTCCCTTGTCAATATCACTCATATCAGAAATCAGGCAAGTACTTTATACCTCCGAATCTAATTTGTACTCAATTACAAGGTAGACTATTGCTAAATATGATTTCGTCGCTCGCTATGATAACAATTGGGTGATTGACGATTTTGTGCGCTGTCAACTGAAATATCAGAGGACCGTCATCAAGAATCGTAATCGAAGGAGAGAAATTTCTACTATTACGGATGGGTATGCTTGAGAGTGTGGTTGTGGAACATGTTTGAGTGTAAATTCACGAGTTTTGGTTTACCATTTTGTAGAGTTGCAATACAGAATGCAGCCTGTCGATTCCACAAATCGTTGAAGTATTTCGGTGATTTACAGCTGTCCGGTAAGGCATTCGCACCAAGCAGGGAAGTCTTCATCACTGTATTGGAGCCCTCTAAGAGTCACCTGCGTATATTGAGAACAGGTTCGAACATGCTGCCTTAAATCCCGCTTGTGCGTGAATTCAAATTCACCAATTGGGGTCACAGCACTGTCGAGCTCGTCCAGACTGCAATTGGTTGACTCCGGGAGCGATGATGTATGTATGTATCTGTTAAGATCATGTACACCGTGTAACCGTGCCAAAGCTACAAGGTGCCTAAGTGCGGAAGACGAGTGGGACAGTAGTGAAGTTATTAACAACACCGCCGTTACGCCGTTAGTCCCCGGAGAGCAAGAGTAGAGAGAGAGGAGCTAAGTAGCAGCCAGGTCGGAGCGGCGGTATCGCCGGTGACGAGGAGCGAACCAGAGAACGTTTAAAGTCCTAAGGTCGAGGAGAACGTACTTCAAGGCGTTGAGCCTGAAGACTTAGAGAAGAGTTAAGTTGAGAAGGGAGATCTAAGTTGATAATTAAACTGAGGAACTACAGTAGCGTACAGGCAGTATTTATATCTACGGAACGGCGCATCGGTGCGGAGCGCTAGACTAACTACTAGGAGCTATACGAGTAGTACCTGCAGGGTAGAGTAAAAGACAATAAGGAGAGACTAGAACGAAAGAGTAAAAGACAATAATGAGAGACTAGTACGAAAGGATATGTGTAGCGAGAAAGAACAATAGGAAGAGATTACAATAGGAGCAGATCTTCGGAGTACCGAGCGGCGGAATGGAGGCCCGCGGCATGGACTTGACAGTATCCCCCTCTTAGGCTTGAGCCCTCGAAAGCCATTAATACCGGTAGCTGGTTAGTCACCAAGGAAAAATTTTAAAGGCCGTCAGGATCGGGGATTTAGCCTATCAGTCAGCAGGAAAATTTTCGAAAGCCGTTAGTACCGGGAATTGGCGTTAGTCATCAGTGAAATTTTCGGTTCACCGTACATCAAGTACAATTCGAAAGAAAATTTTCGCTGGTCCGTGCGCAGTTTTGCCGTATAAAAGGTCCAGGGTTTTGCCGCGAAGGCCCTAACTTTTTCAAAAACTCTAAGTCCACCAGGATGTCGACAAGCCGTACTACTACCACCACCCACAACTCTGCTGGCCCTTCGCGGTCACGACCCGCCGCTCCTCCGCCCCCCGCTACTCCCGTTGGTCAGGAAAATGAGGACCTGGGGGACGACGAGGACGAAATCCTGAGGAGGGCGCACGAGAGGGTTCGACGTATCAGGGAGCAGAAGGCCGCAGCGGCGGCGAAGAAAAAGGCCGACGAGGAAGCGGCTAAGAAGATGGCGGAGGAGAGTCGGAAGAAGAAGGTGGCCGCGGCGCGGGAGTTAGAGGAGAGGAGACGATTAATGGCGGAAGCGGCGACCGCCCGAAGTCAGAGGGGAACGTCTCCTAGCGAGATGTCCGCTTCTCCACGACGACCCGTGGTAGAACTTCGGCGGGCGGCAAAGAGCAAGGGAAAGGGAAAGGCCCCAGCGCAGGTGAGTAACCTTACTTTTGGTGTGAAGCTTCTTGGCTAACTCCTTGTTTTGTAGCCAGTTGGTGGAGATCCAGATGACGGCGACGATGGCGACGACGATGACGACGACGAGGACGACCGAGCGCCGTGCGAACGGTGTAAAAGCAAGAAGCTCCCTTGCCAAATGCAGGCAGGCAAGCGGAGTTCGATCATCTGCAAGCCCTGCCACGACGCCAAAGTGAGGTGTTCGTACTCGGGGCGTCCAACGACGTCGAAACAGCGGGAAGGCGGCTCCGGCGAGCGCATCGCTGTCATGGAGAGCCAAATGGCTCAAAGCCTCGCCGACCTCCGGGCCCTACGGGAGGCCGATTCAAAAACTCACCAATACCTTCGTCAGTTGTTGAGGAGACAAGAGGACGACCATGCTCGTCTTATAGCCATGGAGACGAGGATGGCTATGATGGGTATGGGAGAAGGAACGGCGACGGCGGGACCGTCGAGGAGGAACAACACCGGGCGGCGTGAAATGCGGGTACCAGTTCATCAGCATGTAGTTCATCAGCAGCAACCCAGGAGAATTCATCATCGGTACCTTCATAACCGGCCCACCGAATATAGTAACGTAGAGGACAACGTTTATACCTTCTGTCCAACTTAGAGTCCAGGATTTCGGCAACGTTGTACTCCTCTTCACCATCAACTTCAATTGGAGGTGGAGGAGATTGAGCACGATTCGGGAATGGATTCGGCGTAACCGGCTCCAGCTGTGAGACGTGGAAAACCGGGTGAATTCGGCGAAGATAATCTGGGAGCTTGAGCTCGTAAGACAAAGTACCAGGTCGACTGATGACCTTGAAAGGACCAAGATATTTTTCTGAGAATTTTTCAGTAGGGCGAGTAGAACGAATGTGCTTAGCAAGAACAAATACTTCGGAACCGATCGGGAATTCCGGGTGCGAGATTCTTTTCCTGTCAGCTTGTTCCTTGTATCGAGATTGGGCTAAAAGGATTTCCTCTCGAAGGAAGACGTGGAGTTCATCGAGATTGACGACGAAGTCTCTAGCTAGATCAGACTTCATATCGACCTCGGGCCGAACGGTGATATTTGGGTGGTATCCTTTGTTAGCGAAGAATGGAGTAATACCAGTGGAAGCATTGGGAGCGTTGTTATAGGCGAACTCGGCGATCGGGAGTAAAGGCGACCAGTCATCTTGTTGGTAGGAACAGTAGATCCTGATGTACTGCTCGAGAGTCTGATTGACACGCTCAGTTTGCCCGTCGGCTTCCGGATGATATCCAGAGGTATAGTGAAGTTCCATGGAGAGCGCTTTACCGAGAGCCCGGAAGAACGCCGAAACAAATTCGGAACCACGATCGGAAGTAACATGATTAGGAACACCATGCTTAGAGAAGACGTGAATAACAAAAAGCTCAGCTAGTTGTTCGGAAGTAATGGTGTCGTGAGTTGGAATAAATATAGCTTGTTTGGAAGATCGATCCACAACGACGAGGATAGCTGTATAGCCATTCGACATTGGTAGTTGCTCAATGAAGTCCATGGAGATGGAATCCCATGGTCGGACCGGAACCGGCAGAGGCTTCAACAAGCCGTAAGGCCGATGACGGCGGGGCTTATTGCGACCACAGATAGTGCAAGAGGTAACGTAGTCACGAACAAAGTCTCTGACCTTGGGCCAGGTGTATTGACGACGTACAGCTTCGAGAGTGCGGTTCTGGCCGAAATGGCCGGAGAGTGGATGATCATGGAAATAGCGAAGGACTTGAAGGCGAAGATCGCCGTGATTAGGGACATAAATACGGTCGTCAAGGCGTAGTAGCTTGTCGCTACCTAAGCTCCAACGTTCATTGGAAGGATCTTTTGCAAGTTCCAAACCAACAACGGAGCTCGGATCGGCGGGAAGGGCGAGAATGATAGCTTGGTGTAAAGCTTCGATATCCATGATAATCGAGGCTCGTAAAGCCGGACCTTCCAGAAAGGTAGCTCGAAGAGACGCAGTGAGTTGTTCGTTAGTAAAGATAGGACGAAAGTTATGAGGGTTCACTTGGGCGTAGCCGATATCCCCCTCTTTAGGGTAGACGTCCCAGCGTCTAGTTATCGAATCAGGTTTCTCGCCGAGTTTCCCCGGTCGGAAGCGAATGACCATATTAAATTGATGTAAAAATTCAGACCATCGGACCTGTCGGCGTGTAAGAACCTTGGTAGTAGAGAAATACTCAAGATTCTTGTGATCGGTGACGACGTCCACCGGATCACCCGAACCTTCCAGATAATGACGCCAAGCTTTAAAGGCCTCGAAGATGGCCAGTAGCTCTTTGTCGTGGGTATCGTAGTTGAGTTCCGCCGCATGAAGCGTTCTGGAAAGGAAGGCTAGAGGATGAATTTCACCGTCAGCATATTGGATGGAAAGAATAGCCGCAATGGCGTAATCGGAAGCGTCGGTCTCCACGATAAGTGGGCGATTCGGCTCCCAATGGGCCAGTATCGGCGCAGAAGTGAAAGCGATTTTGAGATTTTCGAAGGCCTCTTGACAGCTGCTGTCCCAGATCCAGGAAGCGCCTTTTCGGGTAAGCCGAGTCATCGGCACAACGATATCACTATAATTATAAATAAAACGACGATAGAAGTTTGCAAAACCCAGGAAGGACTGGATGTCCTTAACCTTCCTCGGGACCGGCCACTCTAGAACTGTCTGAACTTTCTCCTTGGACATAGTCAATCCGTCGGGAGAAAGAATATAACCCAAATACTCAACAGTATCCATATTGAATTCGCACTTCTCGGGGTTCGCGTAAAGCCGATGTTTCCGTAACCGCCGAAGAACCTCCTTAACGTGTTCTCGGTGTTCTTCTGGCGTATCAGAGTAGATCAGAATATCGTCAAGATAGACGATGACACAAACATCGAGCATGTCAGAGAAGATGTCATTAACAAACCGCTGGAAAGCCGCAGGGGCGTTCGTAAGGCCGAACGGCATAACCTTCCATTCGTAAGAGCCGTAGCGGGTCCGAAAGGTGGTTTTCCATTCATCACCTTCAGCGATTCTGACCAGATGATAAGCGTGAGCGAGATCCAATTTGGTGTATATTTTAGCTCTTTTCGGAGCGTCGAGAAGATCTGATATGAGTGGGAGTGGGTAACGATCCTTTTTGGTAATACGATTGAGTCCACGGAAATCGACGC